GATGACATGTGTCAACCATGTCAGCGAGCCTGACCACACGATCCCATTAGTCGCCTCTTACGACAAGCATGGGTTGCTGAAGAACAATTCTAACCCGGACCTTCACGGGTAGGTATTTATATCAAGACAGTGGTTTCTACGCACAATGGGTATTTCGGGTTTGACGCAGATAAGCCCTCAATATTTGCTTTCTGTATTAACCACAACAGACCTGAAATGTGAAGTGTACAATCCGGGTGTATACGTGTTTACACGGAGATATCCGGCTACGTTCATATTTGTTCAAAGTATTTGTGTCTATTCCATGAATATAAACACAGGCCTGTGATTCTCAGAACCTCAAGAAAATATTTTCTTGATCGAAAGAAGAAAGCGGAGAACATATTTATTACCATGGAGGTTGCGTAAGAATATACAGGGTTTTTATTATTATTATGTTCTGATCAATATTGACAGGGATTTAGTGATTGACCAAACGGCAAATTGTGACTAATCCATATCATCATATGAAATAATTCCTAGAATAAAGATCGATGGCAAGCAGATCTATTGACCGGGGGTAATAGCAGTCTGAGCATGTTTTAGGATGTCGATTTGGCGCATAATAGTGAGTGAGTGAGTGAGTTTAGTTTTACGCCGCACTCAGCAATATACCAGCTATATGGCGGCAGTCTGTATATAATCAAGTCTGGACCGGTCAACCCAGTGATAAACAGCATGAGCATCGATCTACGCAATTGGGATACGATGACATACATGTGCCAAGCATGTTAGCGAGCCTGACCACCCGATCCCGTTAGTCGCGTCTTGCGACAAGCATGGGTTAGAGCATTATAAATGTCCACACAACTATAGTAAAATAGCGTAAGAATCCGCGTAAGAAACGTCTTGTCAAATAAAACAAAGTGGAAAACTATACACAATTAAACAAATACATTTGTGATAAATAGACTAAGTGTCATAACATTACTGACTGAGTTTGGTTTTACGCCGCTTTTAGCAATATTCCAGCAACATCACGGCGGGGGACACCAGAAATGGGCTTCACACATTTTACCCATGTGGGGTTTTGAACCCGGGTCTTCAGCGTGACGAGCCAACGCTTTAACCATTAGGCTACCCCATCACCCCTACTTAACATTACTTCAAACAAGACAGTTACTAGTCTGACGGGAATATTGTACCAGTTGAACAAAACGTCAAGAATATATTTCCACAGTATCTCTAAGACATGCCCCACATGGGTACAATGTGTGAAGCCCATTTCTGGTGTCCCCCGCCGTGATATTGCTGGAATATTGCTAAAAGCGGCGTAAAACCAAACTCAGTCAGTCAGTCAGTCAGTCTAAGACATCCCTGAACTCTCCAGTCCAGGTCAAGTCAAGTTAACTACAACAATGTACAATCATGTAAAATTGAATCGTTTATTTTTTTTCCTAGCCGTTATATGTGCAAAGTGCAGTAAAATGGAACCACGAACATCTCCAAATCTCACGACGTCTGAAACCTCATCAGTCTGTTCAAGCATTATTCAAAATATAAATACAACAAAATAATTCAATTCGTTTGTACGCCCTTTTAGCAATCCTGTCGTAAAGGAGCATATTGATATATACGTATCCTTAATATTACGTTAGTTGTGTACGCCATATTAGAGTTACAGAAGGGCGATAACTCTGTACACTTATATTCACTGACGAAGATTCCCGGAAGCAGCGTTGACGGTGGTGAAGCATAGGATGTTTGTAAACACGCAGTGCCTTGTATCTAAAGTATGTCACCTGGATAATTAAGAAGTGTATAGCGGAAAGTAGGTCTTGCTGGATAGAGGATACAAAAGCCATGAAACACGTTTCGCACACTGATGCTGACCGAGACAGTGATGTCAGCCAATAACCACGCCCTCCTCGTGTTGTGTGACTACTTTGTGAAACATGACTCTCTGGTTGAACGAAGTGATTCAGACTCATCAACACCTGGGATATAAATATCCAGTTTGATGTTGAAATTCGAACTGAATTTCAGGTACTTTTTAAAAAAGACTAACACACCCAAGTATATGCGCAATTCAAACAATTAATTTTCATAAAAAAGACTAACACTCCCAAATACATTTGCAGTTTAAACGACAATGAATTTGTATAAGAAAAACTAACACACCCAAATATATTAGCAATTTGAACGACAATTAATTGGTTTGAGAAAGACTAACACACCCACATATATTCGCAGTTTGAACGACAATTAATTTGAGGACAGAATCTGTGAACATGTGAAGTTGATAACTATTTCTGATAATGTGACGTAACCGTCAAATAAAAAAACATTAGAGTCCATTTGTATAGCGCTAATTCCATGCTCAAAGCATGCTCTAAGCGCACAGCTGTGAGAAGATTCAGGGAAGATAAGCTTGTCTGAAGAGATAGGTTTTGAAGCTTGTTTTGAAGGTTGATAGTGAATCTGAAAGACAGAATCATCTGAGGAAGAGAGTTCCCACATGAGGCAGCGGTATAGGAAGATGAACGTTGACCATGAGTTGCTGTTCTGACTTTAGGCATAGTGAGTAGATGAAGGAAAACCAAGTTCTATAGATAGACAACTTCTTTATTGCAAAGGGTGCGACGTTTCGGTGTAGGTACTAACACCGTTATCAGGCAAGTGATGACGGTGTTAATACCTACACCGAAACGTCGCACCCATTTCAATAAATAGGTTGTCAATCCATAGAACTTGGTTTTCCTTCATCTATCCAACTTCTAAAATGCCTCTCAAAGAAGTTAAAGTGAGTAGTTGTTTAGATTCTGAGCTTAGGGAACGACTGGGGACGTAGAGGGTGAGTAAGTGCGAAAGGTAGGACTGACTGACTGAGTTTGGTTTTTACGCCGCTTTTAGCAATATTCCAGCAACATCACGGCGGGGGACACAAGAAATGGGCTTCACACATTGTGCCCATGTGGGGATTCGAACCCGGGTCTTCGGCGTGACGAGCCAACGCTTTAACCATTAAGCTACCCCACCGCCCCATTGGAAGGTAGGAAAGAGCGTGATTGTTTAAGCACTTTTCTGTTAGGCAGAGGACTTAAATGTGATCCTTTGTGACAGTGGAAGTCAGTGTAGCTCCATTAGAATTGGTGTTACGTGGTCTTGTGTGTGACCTTTGGAGATGATTCTGGCGGCGGTGTTCTGCACTCGCTGGAGCATGTTTGTAATGGACAGAGGAGCACCATCGAGGACACTGTTACGGTAATCCAGTCACGACTGACTGACTGAGTTTGGTTTTACGCCGCTTTTAGCAATATTCCAGCAACATCACGGCAGGGGACACCAGAAATGGGCTTCACACAATGTACCCATGTGGGGATTCGAACCCGGGTCTTCGGCGTGACGAGCCAACGCCTTAACCACTAGGCTACCCCACCGCCCCTAATCCAGTCAAGAGATGATGAGGGAAAGAACTAAAATGTTTGTGGAATCTACTTTCAGATATTTTCTAATGTTCCCGATGTTCCTGAGTTGAAAATATGTGCCTGTCAGGACGAAGGTCTGGATCGATGAAGACACCAAGATCTTTGACAGATTCTGATAACGGAATAGTGTACTGCCCAAAAGTGAGCGAGTTCAAGTCTGTATGTTTCAGTTTTGCTTCAAACCGAAACATGAGTCTCATTAACCTATTCAGTCAATGACTTTTCAGCCGATCCAAATTTTCTCATGTGAAAGTGGAAATAGACATCACAAACAAATATGGTTACACTGAATTCCAATTCCTTGTTTCATAACAAAATGGTATTTACAATGAATTTTAATTTTTAAACTTTAATATCATCGTATTTCTATATTTTATGGCGAGGTGTAGGCAGCATGACCTTAACTAAGACGTCACAGGCTGCCCAAGTTTGATGAGGTCGTAAAATGATTTATAATGCATCTGGCTCATTGGTTACACCTGTTATGTGTTTTTGCGCTTATTCAATATAGTTCTGTAACGCACAATGTGATTGATATAATATTCAGTCCGTACCAGACCGCAAACCTTTTCTAGTGGCAGTGCCTCGTTTTGAAATTTCCACGATGTCCAGGTTTCTGTTTAGCAGAGCTCGCTGTACGACAGAGCACGCAACCATAACCAGCACCATAAAACGAGCACCATAAAACCAGCATTACTACGCGGCGTTAAACCCAGTTTCAGCTCACCTGGTTCTGTTTGGTAGGGTTGTAAAACACTGGTTAAAGCGCTGACTTGTCACATTGAGGATTCTCGAATGGGTACAACTGACTCACTCATACTCACTCACTCACTCACTCATACTCACTCACTCATGCTCACTCACTCACACACTCACTAGACTGGCTATCAACAGTATTCATGCAAACTTACTGTGACGTAACGCGGTCGGATTCCCAAATGGGTACAACTCACTCACTCACTCACCCATACTCTCTCAGTCACTCACTATCAATAGTATTAATACAAACTTACTGTGACGTAACGCGGTCGGGTTCCCAAATGTACAATTCACTCACTCACAAACCCACCCAAAACCCACTCATTCACTCCCTCAATCACTCACTACCATTAGTATTCATGCAAACTTACTGTTGCGTAACTCTAAAACCATAATATGGTTTACAAAGGCGTCTGCATATGCAGAAGAATTTAACCAAGTACAACTTAACCAAGCAACTTGATGTGTACATGTGATCTGAAACTCTCAAGGGAAAATATGACTGAACACAAGTTAAGCTGCTAGCGAAGCTGTTCGTCACTGGTTGAACCAACTTCAAATCAGTTCCGCTAGCCTACTGGGAGTAGACCCTATTGTCCGCCATCATCTTATCTGGTTACTTCGTCAGTGTCCCGAGCTGTGGATGCAGCTGTGCGTGACAAACAGGTAGCATACCTGGGAGGGACCGTGTCATAACTCATCCGTCGATATTTACAATCAGCCAATCGATCGCGAGACAAGGACTGCGACAAGGTTGTGTTTACCTCCTACTCTTTTTATGTTAATGCATGGTGGAATAGGAGTACAGTAAGTAGGAGCCTCCGCGGTCTGTACACTTGTATTGGCGTGTTAACAGTTTGAGACTCTCCCTCTTGGATAATGTCGATATATGATACAACAATGGGGGTGAATAGGAGGGCAATAGTTTGAAGGCTTGACTGTCGTCCATACCCGACACGGTGGAGAAAGACGTAGTTCTCGCATGAGCTACCGCAGCTATGTTCACTAGCCACTGTGTGAGACGGGAGAGGTCTGTTAAAACCTAGGCAGTGGAAGGTTTCAGCGTCTACGCCCTGAGAGAGGGATACAAAGTTTGGTGGAAAAACTGTTACGACATACGGGTGGTATACTTGAAGCTTACACAAGCTGTGAAACATTCCTGGAGGTAATACGTGCGCGTCAACATCTTCTACGTGTGAATCGACATCATGAACAACCGTGGATGCAACAAGGTGGAGGCCTGTCTCACTGTGGCCAACATCTTCGGAGTCTTTGCTATAGTGATAATTGCTGCCGCCATAGGCACAGACAGATGGCTTGTATTCACTGTCAACAGATCTCGACTATCCGCGGCGACACAAGTCGCCTCCAGGGAAGGGATCAGAGCACGGTACTACCACACCCGACAACGGGGTATGTTCAGGGAGTGTTACCCAGGTAACGACACAGTATTCCTCGACAAGGCAACCGATGTCTTGGACAAGAACTGCTTCTCGACAATGTTTGGCGACAATCCAGATGGCGCTTCGGAAGACTACCGGATGATGCAGGGGCTGTTCACGGCGTTCATGGTGATGTTCATAGTAGGTGAACTGGTACTCGTCATTGCCTACATCATCGGACTGTGTCTCTGTGTCGGGAGGTTGTTCTCCAAAGCGTGGGTAGCAGCGTTGCTCACGTTCATCGCGGCGTTTCTAGTCGCCCTGGGTCTGGCTCTGTTCCACGGGTCCGTCCATGTTGAAAGGGAAAACGTCCGAGACACATTAACAGACAGGCAACAGTATTACCAATCATGGCCCACCGAGTTGCAGAACAGTACCAAGATGGCATTTAAAGAGTCCTACATCGCTGCTTGGGTTGGGTTCGTACTAATGCTGGTTACATGCTTCTGTTACGGAATCGCTGCTCGTCTCTTGTCTCCCCCTAAGCCGAAGTCTAAAGCCCCACCTCCACCAGAGGCTTCTTACTACCCTCAGCAGGTCATCTACCCCACACAACAAGCATCCTACCCACAAGCACCTGTTGTGTATTATCTGGAATGAAATGTCACTTAGCAATAATATTTTTAGAAGAACAGTTAACTACGGATATATCGAAGTGCTGCCCCTGGAGTGTCTGTTCTGCGTGATAAGGGGAGTTAACGAAAAGCTCTATAAAGATGAACAATTTCGAGATAACCGAGATATTCAGAGGGTGAATGAGTGTTTCGAGACACGGAAGTGAAATTGAGAAGAGTTGTGTCATGCTGGACAACATCGGGAAACAATTCTGGGTGGAGGTAGTCTAAACTGAATAAAACGATTCCAGAGACAAGTAATTCAGTCGGATATATTTTACCTTAACTGTAAGCTCAAACATAGCTTTGGATACAAAATGCTTTTGTCGTATCCGACTTTGTCCAATCCGATCTTGTCGTACCCGTCATTGACTGTTCTTCGTTTACAAGAAGATGTACTCTCTTAGAGATAATGACTGTCATATAAACTGCCATGTTTGAAGTTTAAAGGATCTGAAAGTGTGTTAATGAAAGTGGTGTGTTTTGTCATTCGTGAGGATTTCATATGGAGAAAAGAGACTGCAATATGTTCTTGCACCATGGAAGCGTCCAGATCTGATTAAGAGTTAAATAGAGTAGTCCAATGGTCCAAAACTCGGTATCATTTGCACAGTTTGGTTTTGCAGGGCTTGCCTGCAAGATTTGCCCCGTAATCGTTGGTACGTCAGCATCAAACCTGTGTCGGTTGGTTTCGTCAATGTCTACAACGACGGCCTTTCTTCTAAATTAAGCTGACACGCCCTGATATAACTGAACTTTTCTAGAATTTTTCAAACCAACTCACTCACTCACTCACTCACCATAGTGCATATGCTCGTCTCCATGTTCATACGTGGGGAGTCCACGAGTTGATATTTACCACGCCACTATCAGAGTACCTTCCTATGTCTATTCTCAAGTAGTGTATCATGACATTTGTCTATTCCCAGGTAACATGTCATGACATTTGTCTGTTCCCAGGTAACATGTCATGACATTTGTCTATTCCCAGGTAACATGTCATAACATTTGTCTGTTCCCAGGTAACATGTCATAACATTTGTCTATTCCCAGGTAACATGTCATGACATTTGTCTGTTCCCAGGTAACTTGTCATGACATTTGTCTATTCCCAGGTAACATGTCATGACATCTGTCTGTTCCCAGGTAACATGTCATAACATTTGTCTGTTCCCAGGTAACATGTCATGACATTTGTCTGTTCCCAGGTAACATGTCATAACATTTGTCTGTTCCCAGGTAACATGTCATAACATTTGTCTATTCCCAGGTAACATGTCATGACATTTGTCTGTTCCCAGGTAACTTGTCATGACATTTGTCTATTCCCAGGTAACATGTCATGACATCTGTCTGTTCCCAGGTAACATGTCATAACATTTGTCTGTTCCCAGGTAACATGTCATGACATTTGTCTGTTCCCAGGTAACATGTCATAACATTTGTCTGTTCCCAGGTAACATGTCATAACATTTGTCTATTCCCAGGTAACATGTCATGACATTTGTCTGTTCCCAGGTAACTTGTCATGACATTTGTCTATTCCCAGGTAACATGTCATGACATCTGTCTGTTCCCAGGTAACATGTCATAACATTTGTCTATTCCCAGGTAACATGTCATGACATTTGTCTGTTCCCAGGTAACATGTCATAACATTTGTCTGTTCCCAGGTAACATGTCATGATATTTGTCTATTCCCAGGTAACATGTCATGACATCTGTCTGTTCCAAGGTAACATGTCATGACATTTGTCTGTTCCCAGGTAACATGTCATGACATTTGTCTATTCCCAGGTAACATGTCATGACATTTGTCTGTTCCCAGGTAACTTGTCATGACATTTGTCTATTCCCAGGTAACATGTCATGACATCTGTCTGTTCCCAGGTAACATGTCATAACATTTGTCTATTCCCAGGTAACATGTCATGACATTTGTCTGTTCCCAGGTAACATGTCATAACATTTGTCTGTTCCCAGGTAACATGTCATGATATTTGTCTATTCCCAGGTAACATGTCATGACATCTGTCTGTTCCCAGGTAACATGTCATGACATTTGTCTGTTCCCAGGTAACATGTCATGACATTTGTCTATTCCCAGGTAACATGTCATGACATTTGTCTGTTCCCAGGTGGCCTGTCATGACATGTGTCTGTTCCCAGGTGGCATGTCATGACATTTGTCTATTCCCAGTTGGCATGTGTGGCGTTAACGAGGGTTAGGCTCGTGGAAACTGATATGTGAAGTCCTTTCGACAACAATATGCATATCTGCTTGTTAATTTCGATATTTTTCGATTTCGATTTTTAAACCAATATACCAGCTAATCTCCATTTTAAGTAAACAGAGATACTGTCAAGGTATCACGCTCAGGTATGTTTGCAGTATCTGAAACTATAGACGACCGTGAAGTATATCTCCCTTTAAGCCAACCCACTCATTCCACGTAGAATGTCGCCATCGGGTTGTGTTACAACGGGTATTTGTATTGTAAATAATACTGTTCCTCAAACGAGGGATATCTTGTATTACATCATGTTAGGCATTATCAGTCATTATCAGCCCCCCCAGGCGTTAAAGGGAGACTCGCCTCGGGCTAGCTTACCTTCTTAGTAAATTTGATTCAATCTTCAAACGTTTGTCTGCAATCTAAAGTTTTATGACAGTTTATCAACACTATAATTTCACTGAGAACCTGATTCAAACTAAAAGCACCGTCTCAGGGTAAATATGACCATGGGTAAGAGAGTGTGGCGGAGAGGAGTACCCCTTTAAACTTGACATTTTGGACGATGTGGTACAGTCATGGTGTATATGTCAGTTAAAAAAGAAACCGATACTTTAAGCAAAACTTTCGTATGTTGTGTGCACATCTATGTCCATATTGTATATGTATGTTATCATATTCAAATATTATAAATATATTGCATGAATATATAGTTTCATTATTGTTCCCTGTCATTTAGAAGTCATTTGTTACATGACATATTGTTATAACGCTATACATATTATACATAATAAATCCACTTCGTATGAAGCTCGTTATTCTTTACTTCGCAAATACATGGGTTGCTTGTCATTGGATATCTGACTACAGCCGTGTGTCAGTCTTCATGAACGCAGGTCAGATATGTATACAACAACGTTGCCTTTGTAACCTGAAGAAAGCTTCGACGCCCTCCACACAATGACGCTTAGTGGTTGAAGACTGGGCTTTTGATATGGAAGTAGCGGCATAGCGTTTGACATTTGTAAATCCAGTTTTAGTGTACGGGTTTCTATTCACGCTCTTGTGACACATATAATATACACGCACGTTATTGTGTTTGTGTATCCTGTGATTAATACGATCATTAAACTTGAGGTTTTCAAACTCGACCTCAGTTTTAAACTTTTGAAACGTTGGATCAAGCTGAAGGAAATACTGTTATACAACTCGACATAAGTTTAGGACAACCAGATTCTTTCATAATACTACGGTTAACCTGCCATACCACGTGTTGGGTAGTTCTCATCTTTCTGCGAGTAGAATACATGCGAAAAACTTAAATAGAGCTAGAAATTAAAGTTTTAAATCAAAACAATTTCAGCTGATATATTATATCTCTACTGGTGAAATAACGTCACATGGGGATTATTCCACTGGCTCTGCTCGTTAGGGACAGGACAGAGAACAAAATCAGATCTGGCGAGGACACTTGACATAAAAGTGAGTGAGTTTAGTTTAACGCCGCACTCAGCAATATTACAGCTATATGGCGGCGGTCTGTAAATAATTGAGTCTGGACCAGACAATCCAGTGATCAACAGTATAGCATCGATCTGCGCAATTGGGAACCGATGACATTTGTCAACCACGTCAGCGAGCCTGACCACCCGATCCCGTAACGACAAGCATTAGCTGCTGAAGACCAATTCTAGCCCGGATCTTTACGGGTAAAGAGGTTATTCTCTGGTGTAGATGATGTAAAGCGACCATCGGGTTTACAACTGAAATGTTACAAGGTGTAAACCAAAAACGTTTTTCAAATATCCGTCAGGGGTTGACTGCAACCAAGACACCTTTAAACCGTGTCTTGAGTCTATTTTATTGACCACCATATTAAACAGTACACAGGAGCCAGTACAACGTTACGTGTAAACACCCAATGTATGACGTCAACACCCACTGTGTGACGTCAGCGTTACGGATTTGTCGTCCGCTACATGTGCGTTATGGGCACAGAATTTCACCCTGGAAAATAAAAATTTGAATTAATCCATCATCAAACAAAAGAGTCTATACACTGTGTGAAGGTACCGGGCGTTGACCCGTGCTGGACAGATGAAATGAGGACTGACCTAGGGTGGCAACAACGACGTGCACATGGGTGTCCTCCCATAAAAACTACACGTGCGTATGTCTGGGGATGCGTGTGAGATTGTGCATATGTGTCTTTCTGCTTATAATAGTTCAGACTTCTGCTGGTGTTATAGTGCTAACCCGCAGAGATATTCAGCCTAGTTTTAAAAATACTCCACTCAAATATAGGATACTGACCCTAAGTTGAGCAGTGCGTTTGACATCCCCTGAGCAAAGCCCCAGCCTTTGTTTAGTTGTTGTTTAACGCCGCACTCAGCAATATTCCAGCTATATGGCGGCGGTCTGTAAATAATCAAGTCCGGACCAGACAATCCAGTGATCAACAGCATGAACATCGATCTACGCAATTGGGATACGATGACATATGTCTACCATGCCAGACCACCCGATCCCGTTAGTCGCCTCTTACGACAAGCATGGGTTGCTGAAGATCAATTCTAACCCGGATCTTCATGGGTCAGAGTGCAGGGCAGGGTAGCAAGTATTTTAACGTTTGGTATGACACCAGGTGATCTCTACGATCTCCGGACGGGTGCTCTATCCGCTAGACCATTGATCGAGAGAAAATCGAGGCTAGGGGATCGAGAGAATATCGAGGCTAGGGGATCGAGAGAATATCTCAGTAACTATGCTTATAACAGTGTTCAGGTGAGTGAGCATTAGCTAACCATTATCATTGCTTTATTATTGGTGAGCTATTTGAGGGGGAGGAAAGGGAGAGAGAGAGGAGAGAGAGACAGAGAGAGAGAGAGGGAGAGAGGGAGGGAGAGAGAGAGAGGGAGAGAGGGAGGGAGAGAGAGAGAGATGAGAGATCTATGTACCTTACTGTGCCAAAGATTCGGAACACCGAACACAGTAACACAGTTTGATCATTTAATCAGACAGATTCATTGATTAGAAGATTTTTCCTTTTCAGTCATCTATTTATACCGAAAGAAAGACCCAGGATCATTACTTCATTTTTAAGAAATCCGGGCTTGCCAAAGTAATGTAGACTGTTTCAGAGTTTTCGGATATTGTTCTTTCTTAGTCTGAACTTGAGTTGGAGGTTTTATCTCTTTCCGTTGTCTCAGATGGATCTGCAGTCGAGTTTGGATTTTACTACAGGGCACATGTTTGATTAATGGCGCCCGGTTACACCAGTCACGCCCAGGGGGATTATTCACAGAGTCTAATGATACTATTATACAATTGTAAGTGCGCCGTCGCTTTGATTGTCAGAACCGCCGAGCGCACTGTGACGAAGTGTTGCCCACGGTGAACGTTGTGTCCACGTATGGATAGCTGTCACGCCGGTAACGTTGTCGTTACGACACCTACTTCGTCACTGCCCGATTGACCTTGACATGTGCGTGAGCTACATCAATATACATTAGAATCTGTAATCTAGCATGTGTGAAACTCAAGATCTGAACATTTGATTAAAATCTGTTTATAACATTTTAGCATCCAACCACCAGCGTGCATGTGTATGTTTTCAAAAGTTTATGGTCAAATTAGACACACTGTTATTGAAACAAGATGTTGCGTTACTTTTGGGCCTCAGTCTATTTAGTCTGTGTCAGTATGAACCAAATAAATATACCAGAAATAAGTGCTGGATGAATTATTATTCCCCGTGTTTCGAGACTTTCATTAATTCTGTACGGGACATGGTTCAGTTCAACTGAATCCAATAGTGTGACATGCGAACCGTCCTAAATCACCTGAATGTATTATAGAGCCCCCAAATAATTTAAAGTATTTTTTGTTGCTATATATGGCGTTTGTAGAGATTCCAGAAAGGCATTTCCCATATGTCCTGGTTGTAGACTAGTAATGGACCCACTTGTCCAGTCAATACCATCCACGTAATCGGGATTCATCAACCAAGTCAACGAATCTCACCACCCGATCCCGTTAGTCGCAACAAATGTTGCTTAGGACCAATTCTAAGCCTTTTCCGTGTTTAAATCGCGTGGATTGTGCATTTTGACTTACTGGTGAGACGTATACGATGTTGCAGCTAACCACTGCATCTTGACTTACTTGTGAGACGCATACGATGTTGCAGCTATCCACAACATCTTGACTTACTTGTGAGACGTATACGATGTTGCAGCTGGCCACTGCATCTTGACTTACAGTGGAGACGTGTACGATGTTGTAGCTAGCCACTACATCTTGACTTACTTGTGAGACGCATACGATGTTGAAGCTAACCACGACATCTTGACTTACAGTGGAGACGTATACGATGTTGCAGCTAGCCACTACGTCTTGACCTACTGGTGAGACATATACGATGTTGCAGCTAGCCACTACATCTTGACTTACTGGTGAGACGTATACGATGTTGCAGCTAGCCACTACATCTTGACTTACTGGTGAGACGTATACGATGTTGCAGCTGGCCACTGCATCTTGACTTACTGGTGAGGCGTATACAATGCTGCACCTAGCCACTACATCTTGACTTACTTGTGAGACGTATACGATGTTGCAGCTAACCACTGCATCTTGACTTACTTGTGAGACGTATACGATGTTGCATCTAACCACTACATCTTGACTTACTGGTGAGACGTATACGATGCTGCACCTAGCCACTACACCTTGACTTACTGGTGAGACGTATACGATGTTGCAGCTGGCCACTGCATCTTGACTTACTGGTGAGGCGTATACAATGTTGCAGCTAGCCACTACATCTTGACTTACTTGTGAGACGTATACGATGTTGCAGATAGCCACTGCATCTTGACTTACAGTGGAGACGTATACGATGTTGCAGCTAGCCACTACATCTTGAATTACTTGTGAGACGTATACGATGTTGCAGCTAGCCACAACATCTTGACTTACAGTGGAGACGGATACGATGTTGCAACTAACCACTACATTTTGACTTACAGTGGAGACGTATACGATGTTGAAGCTAGCCACTACATCTTGAATTACTTGTGAGACGTATACGATGTTGCAGCTAACCACTACATTTTGACTTACAGTGGAGACGTATACGATGTTGCAGCTAACCACTGCATCTTGAATTACTTGTGAGACGTATACGATGTTGCAGCTAACCACTACATTTTGACTTACAGTGGAATCGTATACGATGTTGCAGCTTACCACTGCATCTTGACTTACTGGTGAGACGTATACGATGTTGCAGCTAGCCACTGCATCTTGACTTACCATACGGTGTGAAATGAAAGCGATTTTGCAGCTAACACTTTGACTTACTGGTGAGACGTGTTTGCGTCCCTGACAAAGACTCGGCTGACGATCACTTCGCTGTCGCTCCCTGAAGATGCAAGTCCTTTTCCTTTGTCAAATTTGACCTTGACCCCTGACACAGATCCTATGTCCTTGGCAATGGCGATCATATGTTTCTCGTGGTCAGATTTGTGGTAATGGCGGTTTTCCCTGAAACAAGATAACAGCATTTCAAACTGAAGGACATATGTGTTTATACTTCATTGAAGCACGCACTAAAGTTGAGATGAAGGATGAAGGATGAAGACAAAATCATGCGGACATGTATCGCCGTGAAATAACTGAAGTCTATAAAGCGGTGGTAAGACTAACTCTTGGCATCATGTATACAATGGGTGTGTCCTTGTATGAATAAGTGAAAATATGATAATAAGTTATGTCCTATGATTACGTCATCTGAAATGGGGTATTGTCTGCAAAAGCAAGCTCTTTCAGGGCTGGTCCATTGTATGAAACAGGCAGGAGATCTAGGAGATCTAGATTACTGTTATAAGCTGTAGGGGTTTCAATTCGTCAAAATGTACAATGCGTGAAGCCCATTTCTGACGTCATGATATTCCTTGAATATTGCTGAAAGTTGCTTAAAGCCATACTAATTCACCCTTGCCAAATTAAACGACTGCCTTCGACCAAGTGGCGTAAATTTATATCCATAAAATAAATAGCGTACATTACCATCTTAATTAATATCTTAAGGGGTTTGTGCTCCACGGACATTTAATGAAAAAAAGATATTTTCTTATCACGGATGTCAAAAACATTTCTCGTGTAGGTACCAAAATAGCATATTGTTAAAATGACAAAAATCTAACCTCCAGCAACAATCTTACCTCGTGAACTCTGCCTCTGCACTTGTGCCCTTTGACCCTGTTAGGGTGACGTATAGACGGCCGTAAGCGTCCTCGTCGACAGAGGCAAGGTCAATCTCGACGAAAAACTCATGCCCTGAGGGAAAATAATTTAAATATGCGTTACTATAGTTACGGCTGTATTATTAACAGATATCACCATATCATTATAATTGACACGTTTGACGAGGGTGTGGGTTCGAATCCCGGATGGGACTCAACCCAAAAAGTACTAGAATCTGTACTTTACTAAGAAAGTGTAATCCCAAATATAACATATGTAACATATGTTAAGTTTGACGATTTTAACAAGAAAATTGATTGCTACCGTCGTTTTCCATGAAATGACACAAATATCATTAGGGTTGACGTTTATGTATTTATATCGTGAATTAAGAAAAAAATCAGTCCTTGATCCATTGGGCATTTGTTTTAGTTTGGTTTCACTTATTTGTTTGTTTGTTTTACCCCGCACTCAACAATATTCCAGCTATATGGAGGCGGTTTGTAAATAATCGAGTCTGGACCAGACAATCCAGTGATCAACAGCACGAGCATCAATTTACGATACGGGACTGGGATACGATGGCATGTGTCAGCGAGCCTGACCACCTGATCCCGTGAGTAGCCTCTTTCGACAAGCATGGGTTACTGAAGATCCATTTTAACCCGAATCTTCACGGGTATTGGGCATTTGTAAATAAACGTGCCCGATTGGTTTCAGGTGAACAGTTGACGAGTCTTTGCATGCGTTTATGACAGGTGTCAGCGGTGGGACAGGATACCTTTTCGCGAACACCTGGTGTCATCACATTTGTATACTGATTCATAAACGCATGCTCTGTCATCGTATCGCATGGTGATAATCACTGCATTGTCTGGTCAAGACTCGATTGTTTACAGAGCGTGTCTTACAGAGCGTGTCTTACAGCTGTAACACTGCTGATTGTGACGTCAAACAAACACATACTCATCATATAGTGGTAATTGTACACATCACAAAATAGACTGGTTTGAGTGAGTGAGTAGTTTTACGCCGCTTTTAGCAATATTCCAGCAATATCACAGCGGGGGACACCAGAAATAGGCTTCACACATTGTACCCATGTGGGGAAAGGAACCCGGGTCTTCGGCGTGACGAGCGAACGCGTTAACAACTAGACTACCCAACCGCCCTACCGGTTTGAACAACATGCACCACAGACAGGAGTATACAAATAAAACAGAATCGACTGGTCAACACATTCCTCGTGGTTTGAACAACACGCACCATAGAATACAATGTTCTAAGCTGTACATACCACAGAATAGACTGGTTTGAACAACACGTAGCATAAAATACAATGTTCTAAGCTTTACATACCTCAGAATAGACTGGTTTGAACAACACATACAATAGAATACAATGTTCTAAGCTGTACCTACTACAGAATAGATTGGTTTGAACAACACATACAATAGAATACAATGTTCTAAGCTGTACATACCACAGAATGGACTGGTTTGAACAACACGTACCATAGAATGCAATGTTCTAAGCTGTACATACCACAGAGAGGACTGGTTTGAACAACACGTACCATAGAATACAATGTTCTAAGCTGTACATACCACAGAGAGGACTGGTTTGAACAACACGTACCATAGAATACAATGTTCTAAGCTGTACATACCACAGAATAGACTGGTTTGAACAACACATACCATAGAATACAATGCTCTAAGCTGTACATACCTCAGAATAGACTGGTTTGAACAACACGCACCATAGAATACAATGCTCTAAGCTGTACATACCACAGAATAGACTGGTTTGAACAACACTACCATAGAATACAATGTTCTAAGCTGTACATACCACAGAATAGACTGGTTTGAACAACACTACCATAGAATACAATGTTATCAGCTGTACATACCACAGTATAGACTGGTTTGAACAACACTACCATAGAATACAATGTTCTAAGCTGTACATACCACAGAATAGACTGGTTTGAACAACACTACCATAGAATACAATGTTCTAAGCTGTACATTCCTCAGAATAGACTGGTTTGAACAACACCTACCATAGAATACAATGTTCTAAGCTGTACATACCTCAGAATAGATTGGTTTGAACAACACGTACCATAGAATACAATGTTCTAAGATGTACATACCTCAGAATAGACTGGTTTGAACAACACATACCATAGAATACAATGTTCTAAGCTGTACATACCACAGAATAGACTGGTTTGAACAACACGTACCATAGAATACAATGTTCTAAGCTGTACATACCACAGAATAGACTGGTTTGAACAACACGTACCATAGAATACAATGTTCTAAGCTGTACATACCACAGAATAGACTGGTTTGAACAACACTACCATAGACCATAGAATACAATGTTCTGAACAGCTGTACATGTTCCTCAGAATAGACTGGTTTGAACAACACTACCATAGAATACAATGTTCTAAGCTGTACATACCACAGAATAGACTGGTTTGAACAACACTACCATAGAATACAATGTTCTAAGCTGTACATACCACAGAATAGACTGGTTTGAACAACACGTACCATAGAATACAATGTTCTAAGCTGTACATACCTCAGAATAGACTGGTTTGAACAACACGTACCATAGAATACAATGTTCTAAGCTGTACATACCTCAGAATAGACTGGTTTGAACAACACATACCATAGAATACAATGTTCTAAGCTGTACATACCACAGAATAGAATAGACTGGTTTGAACAACACACCATAGAATACAATGTTCATACCAATACAATGGTTCTAATGCAATGTTCTGCTGTACATACCACAGAGAGGACTGGTTTGAACAACACGTACCATAGAATACAATGTTCTAAGCTGTACATACCACAGAATAGACTGGTTTGAACTGAATACAATGTTCTGAACATACCACAGAATAGACTGGTTTGAATACCATAGAATACAATGTTCTAAGCTGTACATACCACAGAATAGACTGGTTTGAACAACACGTACCATAGAATACAATGTTCTAAGCTGTACATACCACAGAATAGACTGGTTTGAACAACACGCACCATAGAATACAATGCTCTAAGCTGAATACATACAACACAGAATAGACTGGTTACATACCACAGAATAACAACACGCACCATAGAATACAATGTTCTAAGCTGTACATACCACAGAATAGACTGGTTTGAACAACACTACCATAGAATACAATGTTCTAAGCTGTACATACCACAGAATAGACTGGTTTGAACAACACTACCATAGAATACAATGTTCTAAGCTGTACATTCCTCAGAATAGATTGGTTTGAACAACACGTACCATAGAATACAATGTTCTAAGCTGTACATACTACAGAATAGACTGGTTTGAACAACACTACCATAGAATACAATGTTCTAAGCTGTACATTCCTCAGAATAAACTGGTTTGAACAACACGTACCACAGAATGCAATGTTCTAAGCTGTACCTACTACAGAATAGATTGGTTTGAACAACACATACAATAGAATACAATGTTCTAAGCTGTACATACCACAGAATGGACTGGTTTGAACAACACGTACCATAGAATGCAATGTTCTAAGCTGTACATACCACAGAGAGGACTGGTTTGAACAACACGTACCATAGAATACAATGTTCTAAGCTGTACATACCACAGAGAGGACTGGTTTGAACAACACGTACCATAGAATACAATGTTCTAAGCTGTACATACCACAGAATAGACTGGTTTGAACAACACTACCATAGAATACAATGTTCTAAACTGTACATACCACAGAATAGACTGGTTTGAACAACACGTACCATAGAGTACAATGTTCTAAGCTGTACCTACTACAGAATAGATTGGTTTGAACAACACGTACCATAGAATACAATGTTCTAAGCTGTACATACCTCAGAATAGACTGGTTTGAACAACACGTGCCATAGAAAGGACTGGTTTGAACAACAAAAACATTTAAAAAGTACCACAGAAAGGACTGGTTTGAACAACACGTACCATAGAATAAAATGTTCTAAGATGTACATACCACAGAAAGGACTAGTTTGTCCTGTGCTCAGGTAGAATGATCCCCTGGCCGAGGTTTGATCAGCGTTGTATCCCATCACTGGACATCCACCAGAAGGGCAGCCATGACAGTTTCCCGTCTCGTATGTAGCCCAGTCCTTGCACGTGTGTCCTGTGAACTTGCACGAGCTGGACTTCATGCTCTCTATGAAGTATCTATGAGATCGCCCGTGACTGCATGACACCGTGTCGGTAGCCTCTGTGAGGGTAAACCACGATAAATGAGGAATATAGTTCATGAAAAGATGCCAAATTATGTCTTCACAATTTTCGGCTACTACGTGTGTGGGTGAGTATGGTTTTACGCCTTTTAACAAGTAACATTCCAGCAATATCACGGCGGGGTACAAGAGAAGTGGTCTTTACACTTTGAACCCATGTGGGCAATCGAACCCGGATCTTCGGCGTACGAGCGGACGCTTTAACCATTTGGCTACCCAACCGCCCCTTCTACTAAAGACTGAATGTTATGGTGGAATAGGCTGGTGTGTTAGTGCCAGGCGCGTAGCAAGCCATCTTTTTCATGTAAGCCCGATAGGTTACAACGCTTCACATTTAGATAGTATTGAGGGTTTGCTCAGCCTTTTTAACAACGATCATGTGTGAGTGAGTGAGTAAGGTTTTACGCCGCTTTTAGCAATATTCCAGCAATATCGCGGCGGGGGACACCAGAAATGGGTTTCCACATTCTACTCATGTGGGGATTTGAACTCGGATCTTCGGCGTGACGAGCCAACGCTTTAACCACTAGGCTACCCCACCGCCCCAACAACAATCATTTATAAGCCCGGGATTTGTTTTCATTAAATGCAATACGTCGTCATATGTATTAAATTGAAAAAGCAATAAACGTTCCTCAGTAGATATTAAAAGTATAAATGACACAAAGTATATTCTAGTTTGTGTACTCGTATCTCAGTCTCAATGGGTCGTTCTTGACAATATCAATCACTGGTTTGTCTATAGTTTCGAGGTGGCCGTCTGAGTGCGGCGTTAAACAACAACAGAAACATTTTTAAAGTAGCTTGCCTTCGTCAGAGAGGTAATCGGATGCTTTGTGTTGAATACATGTTTGGGACATTCTCCCGGAAAAAGACGGAAAGTGACGTGCCGAACCGAGCAGTATTTTTTTTTCTCAATTACAAACAATCAGCGCTCAACTTACGATGAATATGTCCTCCGAGAAGGCCACCGAGAAGGCTGCCGAGTGGGTTGTCGGAACATCCGGGCTGATCCTCACCCCCGTTGGGGTAGAAGTCGATGTCCCCACATGTTTTCTTCATACCAAACCCTGGCGAGCAATAAACATTAACCATGATTAACTAGGGTTACATTCCTCCAGTAGACATGAATGAGTGATTATGGTTTACGCCGCGTTTGGCAATATTCCAGCAAACGGCGGGGAACACCAGAAATGGGCTTCACACATTGTACCCATGCGGGGAATCGAACCCGGGTTTTCGACGTGACAAGCCAACGCTTTATCTGCTAGGCTACCCCACCGCCCCCAACACATAGGTATAGCTAAAGGTATAGCTAAAGACAGGGGATACCTTCAAACCGTTGTGTCGACTTTAAAGTGACCTGTGTAAATACTTTGAGTTATCGGAAGTTCGACACAAACGCAAAATATGACTGAAGAAGGAATACACAAGGACCAAGTTCGACACAACAGTGTTTAAGTGTATGATAATATTGGACTTTTGCGGAATATTTTTGTGGAATATATACAAAACTAACATATCAGGACTATTTAACTTTAAGATTTTACCATGCGATAAACACAGAGATAACCAGTTGTACTTTTAACACATATATTGAAAACATGTTTTTATTTCATTCAGAGTGTTGTTTCACATTAGACAAATGAAACGTGTGTAATAGGCAACACGTGAGAGACAATGATATTATATCATTGTTATTTAAAAAAAATGCTAAATGGAGATCTTCCTGGCCCGCCATGCAGTATATAATCTGGCTTTGACTATTTTAGCGTAAGTATATAGTTACGAATAAAATATATGTGCACGTTCCCACAGTATTGGTTTCTCAAAGTTCCATATTTTTCTTAACCATATAACAATATGGGCTGAACAAGGTGGTCGAATAGGTTAAACCGACAATCGACTGGTATTTCTGATAGTCTGTTATTCCAAATACTTAGTGAACCATCGAACCCGTGTCTTCGGCTATCCCAGTCACTCCTTAACACCAAGGAACTTCGTTAAATAAAGTCTTGCATGTTAGCATGGTATTTTTACAGCATAACAGACCACCTCAAATTCATTCTATACCTGCGACGCCGCTAAACTTCTCCGCATCGGTATGGATGACGTCGACGAAGCCGGCATCACTCTTGTCAAGGCGGTTAGAGTCTGTGAAGTCGATGAAGTAGGGTTCGGCTGGATCCAAACCTGAAAATAATTACACGATTCTTTGTGACAAGACCTGACCGAAACCAATGTAAACATCTCATTTCTTTGTATGGCAGGTATCAGTGGCCAATCTGTGTAGAATTGTTCCCCTTAGCCTTTGACAGGATCCGCTATGTCAGCATATGAGTGGAACCTTGAATGCTTTGAAAAATATAGTTGGATCAGTGTTTAAACAATTATATCCCTTTCTGAATATTAGAAATCCGTCCATCCCACCACATGCACCCAAGAACCACCCCAATACACTCACTCACACAGACACACGCACGCGCGCACCTTGGATATTTAAATCCAGACATCCAGGAAAGAAAGGGCGGATGTGAGAAACTGGCTTTGATGCCTGCCTGTTCCCCGAGAAGTCGGAATCAAGTAGCACAATTGCGAGTGGTTCTAAGACACATATCGCGATCATCTGTGTTATTAAAACTTCAGGAAAAGGTCACAGTACCTGAGTGTGTTGGTTTGTTGTTTAACGCCTTACCCAGCTATATTCCATCTATATGCCGGCGGTTTTAAATAATTGAGTCTGGACCAGACGATTCAGACATGGGATTCGATAACATGTGTCAACCAAATCAGCGAGCATAACCACCCCATCCTGTTTGTTGCCTTTTACGACAAACATGGGTTTTTGAAGACCATGGGTTTTTTTCACGGGTCTCACCGTACCTGAGATTCTCCTGATGCCCCTGACGGCGGCGCCTACATTCCCGCTGATCTGAGCCCCGAGACTGTGACCAATTAGATGGACCTTGTTCAGGTCCACGTGGAGCGACGAACGCAAGTACTTGATGAACCTGCCCACCTCTGCTGCTACCAGGAACGTGTTCGCTGTCGCCTGGGTGAAGGGGAACGCGGACCCGTTGCCCCAGTCGACCACGATCACGTTGAAGTCACCCTGGAAACAAGTGGAGGGTTGAGTGATGGGATTTAGATGCGGATTGTTTGTTCGTTAAAGCCTCATATTGCTGGATTGTGCTAAAGGCGCACGCTGCTGGATTGTGCTAAAGGCATACACTGCTGGGTTGTGCTAAAGGCATACACTGTTGGATAGTGCTAAAGGCGCACACTGCTGGGTTGTGCTAAAGGCATACACTGTTGGATTGTGCTAAAGGCATACACTGTTGCATTGTGCTAAAGGCATACACTGTTGGATTGTGCTAAAGGCATACACTGCTAGATAGTGCTAAGGCATACACTGTTGGAATGTGCTAAAGGCGCACACTGCTGGATAGTGCTAAAGGCGCACACTGCTGGATTGTGCTAAAGGCGCACACTGCTGGGATGTGCTAAAGGCATACACTGTTGGATTGTGCTAAAGGGATACACTGCTTGATAGTGCTAAAGGCATACACTGTTGGATAGTGCTAAAGGCGCACACTGCTGGATTGTGCTAAAGGCGCACACTGCTGGGCTGTGCTAAAGGCATACACTGCTGGATTGTGCTAAAGGCACACACTGTTGGATTGTGCTTAAGGCATACACTACTGGATTGTGCTGAAGGGGCACACTGCTGGATTGTGCTAAAGGCGCACACTGCTGGATTGTGCTAAATGCATACACTGCTTGATAGTGCTAAAGGCATACACTGTTGGATTGTGCTAAAGGCATACACTGTTGGATTGTGCTGAAGGGGCACACTGCTGGATTGTGCTAAAGGCGCACACTGCTGGATTGTGCTAAAGGCATACACTGTTCGACTGTGCTAAGGGCATACACTGTTGGATTGTGCTAAAGGCATACACTGTTCGACTGTGCTAAAGGCACACACTGCTGGATTGTGCTAAAGGCGCACACTGCTGGGTTGTGCTAAAGGCATACACCGTTCGACTGTGCTAAAGGCATACACTGTTGGATTGTGCTAAAGGCATACACTGTTCGACTGTGCTAAAGGCACACACTGCTGGATTGTGCTAAACCCATACACTGCTGGTTTGTGCTGAAGGCGCACACTGTTGGATTGTGCTAAAGTCTCACCTTCTGCAAGAGAGTATCCTTCATCTCTGTCACCCATGAAGTATGACCACTGTTTGAGAAGCCATGGATGATGAACTTCGTCTCCTTACTGGCGCTGAAATGTCCAGAGCTCAACAAATTCTTCCAGTGTGAACTGTCCGTTGCAAGCATGACAGACTTACCATGCCGGTTGTACAATTCAAAGGCTGTCTTAATCACATCGGGAGCCTGGGGCAATGCCGTGAAAGACCCGAAGGTTTTGAAACAACCAAATCCGCTGTAACACTTATCAGATGCAACCAAAACAGCCACAGCACAAAGGCACAACAGTGTGGCCAGATTCATGGTCAGGATTCGAACACGGACCTAAGATGTAACAACTATTTTTACAACAGAGACTAGCCTCTGAATTAGCCACGAAGACCCAACCTGTCTTAAACACCGACAGCTTGGACAGTCCTGTCCGTTATCAAGGCATTGACAGAAAGATAAGCCGTCTTTGTGGGGCGATACACCTCCACGAAAAGAATGATTGGAATGATCTCACCTGATCACGAGTGAGTGATTGTATCCAAATGAACCCTCATAGTTTTAATCTCTGATTTGTCTGATTCCTTGAATTCGTCCCAAACAGCTGTGTTTCAGCTGGAATATTGCTTATATAATTTAGTTCACTCGAAGTCTCAAACAAGCTTTCATAAAGTTTAAAAAGCCGACGATATTCCTAGGCTATCAAAGCAACCCATATTCATAATAATAATGATAATAATAATAATAATAATAATAATGGACATTTGTTATGCGCTATAATCCACACACTAGTGCATGCAGGGGGAAGAGGGAGAGAGTCAGTTATATACAGAGGAGAAAAGGTAAGTCTTAAGTCGTGATTTGAAATCTGTCAGAGAATCAGAGTCTTTGATGTGGACTGGCAATATTCATTAAGAGTGAAAGAATGATAGTTAAATACGCCCACGAGTGTAATCAATCTCGGTTATCTCAGAAATTCCACCGGGCGTAAAAGGCTGAAAAATTCAGAAAGATATCAAAATATAATCCCTGAAATTACACGTAGTGATGACATCAGCTGTTCTCGAAAGGTTTAGTATTGACACCAAGTGTCCTCGGGAACTTTTAGTGGTGACACCAAGTGTTTTCAGGCGGTTTAGTGGTGACACCAGGTGTTCTCGGGGAGGGTTTAGTGGGGACACCAAGTGTTTTCGGGCAGGTTGTGTGGCGACACCAAGTGTTCTCGGGAAGGGTTTAATGGTGACACAAAGTGTTTTCGGAGGGGGGTAAACATGACACCAGGTGTTTTCGGGAGGTTTAATGGTCACACCAGGTGTTCTAGGGAGGTTTTAGTGGTGACACCAAGTGTGTTCTGGAGTGTTTAATGGTGATACCAAGTGTTCTCGGGATGGTTTAGTGGTAACACCAGTTGTTCTCACATCTTCCAGCATGATGCCCACACCACCAGAGCAACATTGGACTTCCTTAGCCATCATGGCATCCAAACCCTACAATGACCTGCACTCAATCCGGATTTAGGTCCAATAGACCACCTTTGGGACGAGATTCAAAGAAGACTGAATGACCTCCAACCAAGGCCGACAACTGCGACTCCATCAGGCATTTTGCAGAGTGTGAACCCAAGTGCCCATGGCCTTCATCAAAAGGCTAATTCATTCCATGTACAGACAATGCAAAGCCGCCATTGATTATGAGAAAATAAATGATATCTTTTTATTATACGTGTAATGTAAAACTGAACCATACCTTTTATTATTATGATAATTATTTTATGTTTAAGGAATGACATGTGACATCCCTGAATAGAGCAGTGCAGTGCAGTTGCTTTATTTTGCGTTATACTTCGTTTGCCCTCGATAACGATTGTAGACAAATACACTTACAAAGTACTTACAAAGTACACTGTAAGTACTCTGTTTATCGGAATACCTCGAGGATAGAAAAAGTTAACTGAATGACCGCGTTGTATGTGTTATCGGGGTCACTTGTGTAAGTAGGTAAGTCAGGGTGTGTCGCGGTGGGAGTATTGTCGTGTCACCAGTTTGTCTCAGAGATAGTGCCAGCACTCCTTCCTGGGTCATGGCACAGACAAACCTAGCCGCGAGATCATTGGTGCCTCGTTCACCGCATTTACCGCCTGAAATAAAGGACAGATAGATTCATCCCTGAATTTTATAAGTTCAATTAGAGGCGGTGGGGTAGCCTTGTGGGTAAAGGGTTCGCTTGTCACGCCGAAGATCCTGGTTCGATTCCCCACATGGACATATTGTGTGAAGCCAATTTCTGGTGTCCCCGTGGTGGTACTGCGGGAATATTGCTAAAAACGACGTAAAGCTCAACTCACACAAAATGCAAATTAATACAGTATTTTGGAATTTGGGTAGTATATCCTTTTTCTTGGCCAGTACTTTATTTGGAATAGAACCAAACATCTTTGAAAATGTAAATTGATAAGATTTTAGTGTATAAAATCGCTATAAGCTGTGAGCACACACTGAAATTTGGAGAAATTGGTTGAATGTAATATGTTATATCTGGAATAAACCCCGGTGGCTGAGTGGATTAGATAACTGGATTTGCGTGTTGGCTTGTACGTGCCAGCCTGAGAGTGTTTGTGCGAGGCCCAGGTGGAACACAACCGAAAAAATGTATTTTGTACTTTAGTTTAGTAAGCTAGTGTTTTTCAAAATATACCATTTCCGCCTTATGCGTGATTCAGACATCATGAGTGACAATGTCAACTTTGTCGTTTCAAAAGATTATTATTTACAGTCGGTAAGGTAGACTTGAGAATGTTCCTGCAAAAAAGATAGATGTATAGATTTGCGGATATTTTTAGTTAACAAAATCTGAAGCCCAGATGTGACTCGTCAGTCTAAGGTTTTGCAGAGTTGCATCCCTTTTTCATGTCATAATCCGCTGATCTCGGGTTCGAGTTCCAGACTATGATAATGGTCATTGGTTTGTTGCCACCAAATCCGTACTCATGGGTTTGCCTGCTGTGTGCGTCTACAACGTGCAAAACTTTCTCTAACGATAAATGGATAGGAAAATGTTTCAAAACAGCATCAGTTCCCTCACTTTGGAACGAAGCATGATCTTTTCATAATGTACAAACATGTGTTTTCACGGAACATTTGGCAGAAACACTTCCTCAAAATGGTTTGCATGTACCTTCCTTGCATACATCTGAAAGTAGCACAGAGACTAAAACACGTACCTACCCATTCGTTACAGATATTGCCGATGTGACGTTAAATATTAACTCACTCACTCACTCATTACAGGAATTGTAGATTAGCCATCGAAAATGACGTTACGTTTTTATTCATATAATTCGATTATCGACTTCAGGGATTGAATTAATATCATGTGTTATATCCTAGTTACAAATGGTCTTCAGTAGCGGTTGGGTAGCCTAATGGTTAAAGCGTTCGCTCGTCACGCCGAAGACCCGGGTTCGATTCCCCACATGGGTACATTGTGTGAAGCCCATTTCTGGTGTTCCCCGCTGTGATAATTGCTGGAATATTGCTAAAAGCGGCGTTAAGCCATACCCACTCACTCACTCACTCTTCAGTCGCCCATGCTCGCTGACTTGTCACCGTATCCCGACAGTGTTGATCGATGCTCATGGTGTACATTACTGGATTCTTCATCTCAAAGGGTACTTGAGGGTGCGTGCGAACCCGTGACCTTCCGCTCTCCTGGCGGGTGCTCTTACCACCACACCAAGGAGACTGTCTGGCCTCTTACGAAAAGCATTGGTTGCCTACGACCAGGGCCCCGTTCCTCAAAGCGATCGTAGCGCTACGATTGTGTTAACTCCCATACTTTAACATTTACTTACGACTGTCGTAGCGCTACGATTGCTTTGAGTAACGGGGCCCAGTTCTACCCTGGATCTTCACGCGTAAGCGAGTACTGCAGAGGATGGACGATAAACACTGAATCAATACGAGTCACTAACATTTTAGAACTCCGGTGGTTGCTTTCACAATATCTTAGAGGGAGCATGGGAATTTGGTTCCTTTTCCTATAAAATCTCCATGGTCTGTTTTGATGGAGCGCGGACACCCACGAGTGTTCGGCGACGTTTTTAATTTGTGCAGCGTCTGCAAAAAATACCTGGTAAACTGCATTCCTGTCCATGATAGTAAAAAACTGCTGAATCGTAAAAAATAATATGTATGTATATTAGTTTCATTTTATAATCTACTTAGCCACATGAAGCCAGTAGAAGGCGAAAATATTAATCGTTTGAATTTAAATTAACGTAACGCTATAACATGCGCCGCGTAGGCGGTATTTATAAACAGGCAACGGAAACTCTAAAGACCGCTTGGCTTATTCAGACACTCCCTTTTAGAGATAATAGATCACTGAGAGGAGCTTTAATATGCTCATTCAACCCTGTTGCTTTGATGACGTCACACGACATTGTTATTAAATGTGGGTCTTGCAACAAAACACGTCACAGGGTATTGTGACGTGTTTGTAAACTTTGTCGTCCGTCTGGGCCTAGTCTCTTTTTATTTAAGACGCACGGTTCGTTCTACCCTCATAAGTACAGTTTAGACTTGAACTATTATAACGTTAAAACACTCCGACGCAAGCGTTCTCGTGGCGTATAAGTGCTGCAACGTTACAACAGTGCACAGCCAAACTGTACTTTATTGCACTATATATGGGGTAGAGTGAACTGTATGTCTTTTCTAATATGCCTTCTGATTTAACACTTACTGACGATTAATCTAAGGCATGTTGTCGGTGAACTAATTTAACAATCCTCGTTCAAGACTAACTGACATAGGACAAGAATGCGTTTGATATTAGCCAATCAAGACGAAAACTACAGTAAATTTATAAAATCAGATGAATGCGACAATCCCAGGAATCGTTGGCATGTTAGATAGGTCCTTCCTAATCGGTATTTTACCGGTATTTATGTAGTAAAGTGCCCCCGTTATTATAGGTACAAGTATGCGGTTTTAAAGACCCAGTTCGTGTTTGAAGGGTCTGGATTATCGAGAACTTGAAAATATATTTTTCTGAACAAATCAGAAGTGCTTCAGAATCCGCTACATGTATTTTGTTCTTAAACTTTAAACCTGTCCAACTTTTATGTGAGGGATAGATGTTTTTAACTTATATTCGACATCTGAATATATATCAGGAAATATAATAATTAATTATTAGAAATATATATAGAAATATTGATGTCTATTTCTCCTTATTGTCGGGGGTGAGGTTAACTCGTGCTGGCGATCAAATTCATTCTCACCAAGATACCTGGGTATCCGTTTCTAATCTCAACGGAGTTATGCCCCCTTTCTGCCTCTGTCATAGAGACAACCCAGTTTTCGATATTTGTTGCAACAAATTTTCGTATCGAGAATTGAACGTAATACATAAGCACAAAACTATATTTGATATATCATTATGTCGTTCAGATAAAAGGCAGCATTCCTTTCGCTTACAGTTTGTGCAAATCTCAAATGTTCTCAGCACAGGAGGACATTTGTCGGAAAATGACAAACTGTGACGATATTTGCTGTGTTTGTTTCACATTAAGCAAAATATCGGACAAAAATGTTTTAGAAACCAGTTACATATTTCCACTTATAATCTTTTCAGAAATATAATATTAAACCTCTTCGAGGTTTGACCCAATGTCCGCTGACTGCAATTCTTGCACACGGTCCATCGTTTGGAACTTACATAAACAACGTCAGAAACGAAAACGGCAAGGGACTAAGATATTTGGTTTGATAAGAAATTGTGAAATGGTCTTGTTTCTTGATGTTTTAATGCCGCACCCAGTATTATCACAGCTATATAACGGCGGTCTGTAAATATTCGAGTCTTGGACCAGTGATCAACATCGTGAGCATCAATATATACAGCTGGGATACGATGACATGTGTCAACCAAGTCAGCAAGCCTGACCACCCGATCCTGTCAGTCGCCTCTTACGACAAGCATGGGTTACTGGGGGCCAATTCTAACCCGGGTCTTTACGGGTATGTGAAATTGTAATTCTCACTGACTATTATCAAGGGAATAACTAACGAGATGAACAGAATTACAATTTGTCTTCCGTGTCATAAATTGAGAACAAGCACTGCATTATACCCGAGGGAAAGATTAACCCGGGGTTCGAACCCACGCCGTTGGTGTGACCTGCGAACACTTAACCACAAGGTGAGGTGACGATCCCTAATAATCATCAGAAACACCAGACCATTTGTCCCACATACATACATGTTTGTAAGTGACACAAATAGAACTGCAGTCTAGACTTAAAACAACACGTTACACTTCGCTTATCTTGGCCAGTGTTTGTATTTGATAAGCACAAAACATTTCTACATTACACGTTCAGTGTGAAAAGCTGCATTGCAAGATTAACTTGCCACCTGTTACATTTGGTGTGTCCTTATATAGGCAGGTATCACCTGTGATATACAGTATATTGCACTTGGTATACTGTATAATGCATAATATGCAATGTGCAGGCAAAATTCGAAATACGCCTCTCTTCACCAGCAGTAAATGGGTACCCGGTAGAATGACATGGTAATGTGACATTTAACCTTGTAGCACCTGACAGGCAGCTTGGGTTGTATACTCCTCCGGGAGCTGAGAATGAAAACCCTGATCCATTGACCGGAATCATAATGATTACTGATCCATTGACCGGGATATTATTAAACACTGATCCATTGACCGGGATATTATTAAACACTGATCCATTGACCGGGATAATAATAAACACTGATCCATTGACCGGGATATTAATAAACACTGATCCATTGACCGGGATATTAATAAACACTGATCCATTGACCGGGATATTAATAAACACTGATCCATTGACCGGGATATTAATAAACACTGATCCATTGATCGGGATCATAATGAACACAGATCCATTGACCGGGGCCATAACGGTTTCGCTTGGGGGATGGAATCTAGTGCATCATCATCGTCATCATCATCATCATCATCGTCATCGTTGGTGCTGTTGTCGTCGTCGTAGTCATTGTCATCTTCATTACCAACGTCATCAGTCTCACAACAGACGGGACTCCGACACGATCACATGTGCATGTTGACTTCCGTAAATAAACGTTACACACAGACAGTTTAACGAGGGTATGTCGAGCACCTGTCAACCCAGATCTGGCACTTCCTATAAGCATCCAACTCACTCTTCTCTAACTTGTCAATGACAGAAGACAGAGAGAAGCTGTACCGCCTATCACCCTGCTTCTGTGCCCTCCGTCCTGCTTTCCTATCGACTAGTCTCTCACCAAGGTGTCCACGTTTTGGTTTTGGGAAAGAAACCCGGTCGGTTCTACTCACCCTGCCTCCCATACTATCACCGTCCTGAGAAACTATTTCAATTTCCGAGGTGCTGGCCTCACTCCTGAAAAACATCTTGGCAGGGTGCAAAATTTGGTCAATCCGCCTCAACATCAGGTACGTTTTCTCACGTTCAACTGCTTCAGGATCGAACTCGGAAACCTGCTTCAGCCGTTGGTCCCTTGGTGGTAGCGGGTGTAAAGGTTCGATGATTCTAATCGTTCCGTTGCGAGATCTGAAGTTCGTATTGGTCCTGAAAGGTCTATCTCGTTGACTTCCGGCAACCCTACTCATCATAACACCACGTTTAGGAAGTCCCACGTTCACCTTGGTGTCCGGCGTTAGCTTTTTGTCAAATTCGAGGCTGCTTGCGCCCCAAGGGTTGAAGGGCTGTGAAGAATTGTCCGGAGAACCTTGTAACTTCGCTCGTGACAAAGCAACATTTAGGGGATCTTTATGTACAGTTCGACTGTGAAGTTGTAGAACATTTTTAACTTTGGGGTTCTCAGCCATTGGGCGGCCTGCATGAGCGTTCCATTGCCTGTCCGCCAAACTGTCCACGGTCCGCGTGTAACCAGCTCCACGTCTGACGTCAGCTAGTCGTCTGTGTCGAGACACCCGTGCAGTGAAGGACTCCTCATCTCGAACACTCTCAGACAACATGGTCTCAACAGACATCGTACGGTGATCAAAAGTGATAATTTGTGTTCAGTACCAACCAGTAAACACTCAACTGAGAAAATATACAGAACATGTACCCATCGAAGTATGTGCCCTCCGATCACTTCGTGTCCTGCGACGCCATATCAACGTCGTTCATCTATCCCCGGAGTTACTGTTTGATCCGTAGAAGCCGACGGAACAGTAGCAATACATGTAGAACCGGTTAAGTCTCCTCTTGACTCTCAAGTTAGCTGATAACACTCACTGATATTTGACTGGACCGTCTTAGCAACCGCTGATAAGAAACTCTTGTTATAATTCTTGTTATTCGTGCACACTTCAACGCTAAACATACAATCCACCGTTGTAACCACACATGAGGGCAATCGGTCCATCTAAAAGTAGGCTACGATTATACTTTACAGAATAGCTTTTGACGGTGTGCGATAAGTGGTAACAAAACCCTACTTTTCAAAGCAAGTTATATTCAATGGGTGTTATAATGCTTGCGTGGTGGTGTTCAATATTGGCCAAGTGCCAGTAGTGTTTGCTTTTGTCCCATAAGATTTACTGCCCATTTACCAAGTGTATATACCACAGGAGAACGTCATCGGTTTCACATTATAGAAAAATGGTAGACAAAAAAATGTTTACAATACCCAGGTCTATAGAATTTCACTCAAGTGTCTTTTTGATATCAAAAGTAGCATAAATTCGAGGTGACAAAAAGTTGTTTTTGTTAAAATAATAACAAAACACCTTTGCGAGCACTTTTATGGACGCGTGTTGATATATTTGATATGAGAGGACATATAGAGAATCTCACCCAAGTGTCTACTGATATCAATTATATCAACACGAGTTGATAACGTTACAAATATCCGAGGCTTGCCGAGGATATTTTAACTTTTATCAGCAAGTGTCGTGGGTATGGATTAGTCCTTGTAGGCTTTGCTGAACAAATGAGTTTTCAGCAATAATTTCAAAATACTTTGTTCATTTGTCGATCGGAAAGGGAAACATTATTGTGATTACAATTGCGGATGCAGGTGGTATTACACTGTTGGAATAGACACGTTAAGGACTGAGTTTGAAAACTGGTGCCGTAAATGATAATTTTACAGTTATGGTCGTTGATCCAGCTATTTTACACACTGCATTGTGTAGAAGCGTATCGTGAATGAGGACGGTGGGGGTAGTCTAGTGGTTAAAGTGTTGGTTCGTCACGCCGAAGACCCGGGTTCGAATCCCCCCCCATGGGTACAATGTGTGAAGCCCATTTCTGGTGTCCCCTGCCGTGATGTTGCTGGAATATTGCTAAAAGCGGCGTAAAACCAAACTCAGTCAGTCAGTATCATGAATGAAGCTTATCAAAGGGATTTTAATGGGTGCTATATAAATCATTTTATTTTACCAAAGCAAGGACCTTTTTTGTGAAATCCGTTCAAATACCATTTTTTTCTGACCATAGTACCTATCGCTTCTGTTATATAGTTGGCATATCCATATTATTCACTGCTGTATGAACAAACAAACATCCCCATTCCAACCACCTTGACAGACGCGTGAAGATCCGTAGCGATTAGCACAGGGCACATGTCAATATTTTGGGCCAATGTTTGTTTTGTTTATTGTTCAACGCTCTCTCTGTAATATTCTAGGTATATGGCGACAGTTTGTAAATACTCGAGCCTGGACCAGACAATCCAGTGATTTACAACACGAGCACTGATATTGTCAACCAAGTCAGTGAGCCTGACCACCCGATCCCGTTAGTCGCCCCTTTCGACAAGCATGGGTTGCCGAAAACCAATTCTAACCCGGATCTTCACGGGTCTTTTGGGGCCAGACCTCAATACTGATTACATCGTCTTGTGTTTAAAACGAACACATTCCACAGTCAAATCCGTTTAGCAAAATGACACGACAAACTAGTATTTGATAAATGTTTATTCATTGTTAATTTAAACATAATCAAAAAACACTTGCTTCAAAATGGAAGCTCATAACAAGATGTTTGGAGGAATATGACGAACGCACTGGCAACAACTATAACAGCACTATCAGGAGGAGGGAAGAAATGCAACAGGTGTCGTTATTCAACGAGTGATAGGACAAAAATGTCCCAGATTTCAAAATTAACTGGAAAATTTCAAGGTTATCAAAATCGTGACGTCTATTCAACTACATACGGGACATGTGTACTTGAGACATGTTTGACATACCTGTTCAGATATGGTTTCCAAACAAATATCGCAAATATAAACAGCCCTTGGAGAAGAAAGCGACCTTAGCGCTGCGACAGTCGCCCAGGTTATCGTAACTCCCATACCATTGGCCTACGATCACCAATCACCGTAGCGCAGCTAAGGTTGCTGTGTTAAACAGCGCCCTGGTTTCATGTAACCATCAAGCATGCTGGTGGTTACTCCAATACATCGACTTATGACTATCATAGCGCTAAGGTGGTCGTTACTCCCATACATTGACTTACGACTGTCATAGCGCTAAGGAGGTCGTTACTCCCATACACTGGCTTTAGACTATCATTGCGCTAAGGTGGTCGTTACTCCCATACATCGACTTATGACTATCATAGAGCAAAGGTGGTCGTTACTCCCATACATTGACTTATGACTGTCATAGCGCTAAGGTGGTGGTTACTCCCATATATTGACTTACGACTGTCATAGCGTTAAGGTGGTCGTTACTCCCATACATTGACTTACGATATCATAGCGCTAAGGTGGTCGTTACTCCCATACATTGACTTACGATATCATAGCGCTAAGGTGGTCGTTACTCCCATACACTGGCTTACGACTGTCGTAGCGCTAAGGTGGTCGTTACTCCCATACATTGACTTACAACTGTCATAGTGCTAAGGTGGTGGTTACTCCCATACACTGGCTTACGACTATCATATCGCTAAGGTGGTCGCTAAGGTGGTCGTTACTCCCATACACTACACTGACTTACGACTATCACTGGCGACTATCATAGCGCTAAGGTGGTCGTTACTCCCATACACTGGCTTACTGGCTTACGACTATCATAGCGCTAAGGTGGTCGTTACTCCCATACACTGGCTTACGACTATCATAGCGCTAAGGTGGTCGTTACTCCCATACACTGGCTTACGACTATCATAGCGCTAAGGTGGTCGTTACTCCCATACACTGGCTTACGACTATCATAACGCTAAGGTGGTCGTTACTCCCATACACTGGCTTACGACTATCATAGCGCTAAGGTGGTCGTTACTCCCATACACTGGTTTACGACTATCATAGCGCTAAGGTGGTCGTTACTCCCATACACTGGCTTACGACTATCATATTGCTGTATCCCTACAATCACTTTGTGGAGCCGGAGCCAGGTACAGGTAGGAGTGAACAGAGGTTTGCAAAAACTCCACAATTTTACACAATTGTGAGTCCAAACTAAAATATACAATGTTGGCGATTTATTTTTTAACATGATATTGGTTTTAAAGAATCTTAACATTCTTCAAAGATTTTTTTAAATATTATTTCCTGTAAGCATAGAGCGAATGAGTATGGAGTGATCGGTTGTTCTCAATATTCCTATGGAAACATAGGTTTCACATTTTTCTTGAACAAAGGCCTCAGCTGTGAAACTAGGTTGGTAGTACAAATGCCATGTATATGAAGGTGCCTCAGAACAAAGATGTCGCAGTTTTGAACTATACTAACAAGCTCTATAAAATTGTATCATGAATCAAAGCTAGAAACATTCTCAAGTTGCAAATATCTTTATATGAACAGTTTTGGCATCAAAATAAACATACAAATGTACATATACATGTATTAGAAAAAAATAATTATTAGAAAATAAGTTTTTATATATCTACTTTTATCATACCTGACAATGACGATGGTAACTCACAAACTATATCTTTTGAGTTCAGAAATATTGACAAAAAATTCATGAACTTCTTTATTACATGGAAGGATGCATGGATGGATGAACAAATGGATGGATGGATCAAATATGACATAAGATGGATTTACTGGTATGATAATATCTAACAGTCCAAGATTAGGTTGGTTATCATTTCACACATGTTGGGATTTGAACCCTGTGTACAGCATGAAAAACACAGCCCTCCTACCACAAGGCTATCTCACTTCTTCATTGCCATGTTCTCAAACTGGTCACACAGATAACAGAAACCCTTTTTTTCAAAAACAATGAGTCATTAACCCTGCTTAAAACAATGAAATACGTATAAACATATGTCAATGATTTGCTCATAATGGGTGAGTGAGTGAGTTTGGATTCAAAGCCTATTTGAACAGTATTCCAGCTAAATCATGGTGTATCAGCTGAAGGATGGCGGTAAGCCAGAAGGGATGCAAGTGTTACCAGTTCAGTGAAACTCACAAACATAGGTATGGTGCTGCTTAGCGTAAAACCATAACCTTTTCACCCAGGGCTTCAAACCAGATTGAAGGGGATTGGAATCCCAAGGGAAGCAACTCTGCACAGTGAACTGTAGTCTCTCAGATGACTAAGCCATCTGTCCCCTGTTTAATTTAAGGATTTGAGGTGATAAAACATGATTTGGTTAAATATGGAAATCTGGATTCCAAAGCAAGAGACTTTGATGAGGGCATAACTCATTCATTCAAATACCTCATTCATATTTCATCTCCTCTTATATCATCTGTCTGTCACATACTACTCAGCTGTTGATAAGACTAGTGAAATATTTTATTCCATTACCAAACTAAGGACAACAGCTCTGACAACATCTCCACACAATCACTCTTGCTCAGTCCCACATGGAAAATCCCAATCAAAACTTGAGTACTATATAGACCCTTATCAGGAATTCGTCACAGCATGTGGATCCGAGGTTCCTCAGCGTTCCGCTCACCAAGGTGACACTCAATCCAGGAGTGTGTCAGATTTGACCTGCAATGCATGGATTGTAAGTAATGTTAAAATGGAATAGGTACAGAAGCTCACCTTGAGTGAAAATCTTCACACAGAAGAGGTTTCTCCAAATGTATATACTGGTACCTCACACAGACATGCAATCAACAGGTGTTTTGTTGACTGGTTATTTATCAACACAAGTTACACAAATGAAGCAGCCCCAGACTAAAATATACAAACTCAAAAATTGGTATGAAGGTTCATCTCACTGACTGACTGACAGAATATGGTTTTACGCCGCTTTTAGCAATATTCCAGCAATATCACGGCGGGGGACACCAGAAATGCGCTTCACTCATTGTACCCATTGTGGGGATTCGAACCCGGGTCTTCGGCGTGGAAGGTTCATCTAAGAACTGACCTAAAAATGTTTGTGTTTATGGAGGTATATACAACGAAAACACCAACGAAATGTGTGTACAAGGTGAGTGTGTGTGTTAAGGATACAGTTAACGCTGACACCATTATGAAGATGCTTTAGATTATCTTTTCATTTCCCCTCCGTTGACGATCCAATATTTCCCCAACAGCACAATGTGCCTGCAACAATTATGCCATTAAAATGTCCTTATACAGGTACATGATATGTTGTTGAAACATGTTAGTGAGCGAGATTAGTTTTATGCTGCTTTTAGGAATATTCCAGCAATATCATGGCAGGGGACACCAGAAATGGGCTTCACACATTGTGCCCAAGTGGGGAATTGAACCTGGGTCTTCAGTTAATGAGCAAACGCTTTAACCACTAAGCTACCCCACCGCCCCTGTTGAAACAAGAGGCGAGCATTACCTTCCTTTCCAGTGCCAGGTACATCTTGGTCTTGTCCTTGATGTGAGCATTACCTTCCTTTCCCAGTGCCAGACTGTTGGCTCTGGGACCCTACAGCGTTGTCGACCGCCTCCATCACCAGCTTACGCATCTCCACTGACTTGTGCTGAAGGTCATGTTGTTGCATGGCAACAGGGTCCAGACGAATTTCACTGTCTATCATTTCTGTATTGTACCTGAGAATGTTAGCAAAGTGAAAAACTGAGTGAGTGAAAAACTGAACTCTTCCCCTATGTATTTTCTTCCAAATGCAATACTAAGATGACAACATAAAACTCATCAATCTGCTCCAGGTACACCACCTACCCAGTTTGTCTTGACCTGACCCAGGTACACCACCTACCCAGTTTATCTTGACCTGACCCAGGTACACCACCTACCCAGTTTGTCTTGACCTGACCCAGGTACACCACCTACCCTGTTTGTCTTGACCTGACCCAGGTACACCACCTACCCTGTTTGTCTTGACCTGACCCAGGTACACCACCTACCCTGTTTGTCTTGACCTGACCCAGGTACACCACCTACCCAGTTTGTCTTGACCTGACCCAGGTACACCACCTACCCAGTTTGTCTTGACCTGACCCAGGTACACCACCTACCCAGTTTGTCTTGACCTGACCCAGGTACACCACCTACCCTGTTTGTCTTGACCTGACCCAGGTACACCACCTACCCTGTTTGTCTTGACCTGACCCAGGTACACCACCTACCCTGTTTGTCTTGACCTGACCCAGGTACACCACCTACCCAGTTTGTCTTGACCTGATCCAGGTACATCACCTACCCTGTTTGTCTTGACCTGACCCAGGTACACCACCTACCCAGTTTGTCTTGACCTGACCCAGGTACACCACCTACCCTGTTTGTCTTGACCTGACCCATGTACATCACAGTTTGTCTTGACCTGACCCAGGTACACCACCTACCCTGTTTGTCTTGACCTGACCCAGGTACACCACCTACCCAGTTTGTCTTGACCCAACCCAGGGACACCAGGTCTTGACACACCACCTACCCAGTTTGTCTTGACTCTGACCCATGTACATCACCTACCCAGTTCGTTTTGACCTGACCCAGGTACACCACCTACCCAGTTTGTCTTGACCCACCCAGGTACACCACCTACCAGTTTGTCTTGACCCTGACCCAGGTACACCACCTACCCAGTTTGTCTTGACCTGACCCAGGTACACCACCTACCCAGTTTGTCTTGACCTGACCCAGGTACACCACCTACCCTGTTTGTCTTGACCTGACCCAGGTACACCACCTACCCTGTTTGTCTTGACCTGACCCAGGTACACCACCTACCCTGTTTGTCTTGACCTGACCCATGTACATCACCTACCCAGTTCGTTTTGACCTGACCCAGGTACACCACCTACCCTGTTTGTCTTGACCTGACCCAGGTACACCACCTACCCAGTTTGTCTTGACCTGACCCAGGTACACCACCTACCCAGTTTGTCTTGACCTGACCCAGGTACACCACCTACCCAGTTTGTCTTGACCTGACCCATGTACACCACCTACCCAGTTTGTCTTGACCTGACCAGGTACACCACCTACCCAGTTTGTCTTGACCTGACCCAGGTACACCCATCCAGTGTGTCTTGACCCTGACCCAGGTACACCACCTACCCCAGTTTGTCTTGACCTGACCCAGGTACACCACCTACCCAGTTTGTCTTGACCCCCAGGTACACCACCTACCCAGTTTGTCTTGACCTGGCCCAGGTACACCACCTACCCTGTTTGTCTTGACCTGACCCAGGTACACCACCTACCCAGTTTGTCTTGACCTGACCCAGGTACACCACCTACCCTGTTTGTCTTGACCTGACCCAGGTACACCACCTACCCTGTTTGTCTTGACCTGACCCAGGTACACCACCTACCCAGTTTGTCTTGACCTGACCCAGGTACACCACCTACCCTGTTTGTCTTGATATGACCCAGGTACACCACCTACTAGTGTTGGGAATTGGTTAACATCTCATAATTGATGATTGATTCATTACAACCGATCAATCATTGAAAATAATTGGTTAAGGTAATTTATGAAATTTGTTAATGCACATTAAAATAAGGGGAAAAAATGTAGTTCTTCTGTTTTTATTAGGCAAAATTTCACATCTTTAAAGGAAGACTAGTATGTTAGGAACATAAATGTCTTGGAATCTTTAAGATAAATTCAATCATGACTTGAAACGAGCTTGTAGTGCTTACGAAATGTAACAGACAAAACCAACCATGTGAAAAATATTGTTAATGAAAACAAGTGTTCCAGAATTGTTTGTGTTCGATTATGAGAAATTATGATCGATTGCTTGGTCGTGTAGTCACTACGACCAATCTTCGAATATTTCAATTAATCGGACCACCACTACCACCTACCCTGTTTGATATGCTTTGATCATCATCCTGCGGGTGTCATGGTCATGCTCGTCTCTCACCTCCAGGATGTGAAGAACAGTTGATGTCTGATGTAGAGAAAACAACACTTAATTCCACAAATATATTGAAAAACATATTCTTTCTGAAAATTTGTTTGAGCACACATCAATGTACTTCATAAAGTGTGATGTCAAGTAACAATCACAAATGCAAATTCTGTGAGTAGCTGGAGTCATGTCAGTGTTTCAGTGATCCACTTGTATCCACTTTTCAACAATTTTGTCTAGTGCCGAAAATAATTTCTTTCCTGTTAATCAAAACTGATTATTCTCTGGAGTTGGCGTTAACCTGAACTAAATCGTTGGTTCCCAATTTGTCTTGATTTTTAACCCATCCAAAAACCCATGATGCAAATCCTGACATAAGCTTTGTCCACCTGGGTGATCCTGGGTGATAATATAGCTCAAAACTTCAAAGAGAAATTAAGAATGAATTTATATTCCAGATAAGTGTTTTGATTGTTTGTTTGTTGTTTAAGGCCACACAATATTCCAGCTATATGACAGCGATTATGTATATAATTGAGCCAGGACCAGACAATCCAGACATGCGGTAAATAAGTCAGCACGCCTAACCACCCGATTCTGTTAGTCACCTCTTATGACAAGCAAGTTTGCTGAAGACTAATTCTGACGTGGATCTTCATTGGTTAAATGTAATCAGAGTCAGTTCCCGTACCGTACTGTACATGACAGCGTAGATCCTGCCGCGACTACACACTGTCGTAACTACAGCATTGGTCTGCAGGGGGAGCTGCCTCTCGTCGATGGCATTACCACCAAAGTCTGAAAAAAGAGGTCACATCTGTTGTGAACTGCAAACTGATTGATATTTCATTCCAAATGCCTCAACTGTAAAAGTCAAATTGTAAAGGATTCTTTAATAAACCTAGGCCATTAGAAAAGTTACCCTGCAGACAACATAAAGGGAGACAACTGCACAAATAGACTGCATATTAATTCATGGAATATAGCCAGCTATATACATGTTCGTGTGTCTAATCTGTCAACCTCCAATTCCAAACAAACATTTTATGCAAAGTTTTACGAAGTACTACACAAAGGGAGACTACTCACATGAAGGCCGGGACAGATTTTCTGCCCTCATGACCAGTTTGCCTGTGTTGAGGGACACGACACGCAGACGGCCATTGAAGGTCAAGAAGAGATAATCAGAGCCAGTAGGTCCAAACACACGAGAAACCTGAAGTAAAAACAGTTATTGGAGTTATCCTACGAATTTGAAAAATAGTCTCTTCTGATCAGTTAGAGGGTTCAAATCACAAAACAACACCTTCGACTGAAACAGCCTATTTGAGGAGTGCAGTTTTGGAGAGCTGAGACTAATGAATATAGTCATACTTTCACAGACGGTAGGCACTTGGAAATCACTGTATGTACAATTATAGGTTACAATTAGTGGTGGTCCGGTTAATTGTAATAATCGAAGACTGGTCGCAGTGACTAAACGACCAAGCAATCGAACATGTTTTCTCATAATCGAACACAACCAATCTTTGAACACTTGTTTGCATTAACAATATTTTCAACAAGGCTGGCTTTGTCTGTGTCATTAAATTTACATTTCATAAGCACTACATGTACAAGCTCGTTCCAAGTCATGATTGAATTTATCTTAAAGAATCCAGGAAATATGTGTTCATAACATACTAATCATCATTTAAATATTTGCAAATGGAATTTATGCAATTTGCAAAAAAAACAAATTACTACATGTTTTTTTTTCTTTATTTTTGTGTGCATTAACACAAATAACAGGAACATTTGATAAATGACGCTAACCAATTATTTTCGATGATTGATCGGTTGTAATGGACCAATCATCAATTATCAGATTTTAACCAATTCCCAACACTAGTTACAATACTTCGAGTTTCAGTGAGTACAGAATTGACAGCATTTGCAGCAATGGGTGTTGGGTGGTGGTGGTGGTGGAACTGGGTTAAACGTCGTGCTTGAGAATATTTCGCTCATATGACGACGTACATGCGTGTGTATGTGTATGTGCGGCTGCTTGTACTAGCCCAGACTGAAGCTGGTTTTATAGTACTAGCCCACTGAGATACCATGCCGCAGTGAAGCATGAATACCCCACTCAGACACATTATACTGACTCCGAGCCGACCAGTCCTTGTTGTACCCATAAATGCCAGGCAGAGACCAACAAGTACCATATGTTAACGTCTTTTGGTATGACGCGGTCGGGGATCGAACCCGTGACCTTCCGCTCTCCGGGCGGACGCTCTAACCACTACACCACGGAGGCGGTTCAATATCAAGTAAACATTTGGGCTGCTTGAGTGAGTGAGCTCAAATTTAACTTTTCATCCGCATTATTAATGCCGAGGTGTTGTGAGGAAGACAGTATTGTTCTATATTGTATCAACTTACATCACAAGATACAACATCCCTCTGTTGGACTTCCTTATACTCGGCGTCGGTGAGAGGGATGTCTCGTCTTATGTCTTTCAGCTTCATAGTTCGAAGGTCAAGGACGAGGACTGTCATGTGTGCATCTGCAAGGTAGGGACATGTTCGTCAGTACCTAGTCTTTAGAGATTTCAGTCATACACACTTGGTCACATCAGTATTGATTGTACCTGCCTTTAACATACTTATCATTCCTTACATAGAGTGAGTGAGTGATTGTGGTGAGTGATTGACAGCAAGAGCTCAATAGAGAGAGTGAGCTGCTGAAATAGGGTTTAACGTCGTGCTTGAGAATATTTCGCTCATATGACGACGTGCATGCGTGTGTATGTGTATGTGCGCCTGCTTGTACTAGCCCAGACTTAAGCTGGTTTTATAGTGCTAGCCCACTGAGATACCATGCCGCAGTGAAGCATGAATACCCTACTCAGACACATTATACCGACTTCGAGCCGACCAGTCCTTGTTGTACCCATTAATGCTGAGTGCCAGGCAGGGACCAACAAGTTCCATATGTTAACGTCTTTTGGTATGACGCGGTCGGGGATCGAACCCGCGACCTTCCGCTCTCTGGGCGGACGCTCTAACCACTACACCACGGAGGAAGTCAAAAGAGAAAGTGAAAGATATGGTGAGTGAGTGAGTGAATGAAGACATAAATTCAAGAATTGCAAACAACTAATTCAAACTTTCCTCTACAGGCTATTCCAGAAAATCAATTCAAAACTCCAGTTTCCGAATTATCCTTTTTAAAAAAAGGTAGACAAAATGTGAGATATCCTAATTCAAGCTACTAAATATACCTAAGAACATCAAATAATTCTGTGAACATCTGCCTTTCATGCAGGACACGTGACTGACCTTTTGGCGGGAACTGTGGGTACAGAAGCAGGAACACCATCTCCCTCCCGCTGGACGTCTGACACACCTCCAGGATGCCAGAACACTTCACCTGGTGCAAGGGAGATAACTCACATAACAACAGTGTTTTCTTCTTAACATCTTTAAGTTGCTTTTTAGAAGTTGGGAAGTACGATATAGAACAAACTTTATGGATAACAACTTCTTATTATTCGTTAGTGCAATGTTTCGATACAGATTCTTGTACCGTTGTCTCCTGCTCGACAAAAGTAAAAGAATCTGTATCGAAACGTCGCACTTACGAATAAAAAGAAGTTGTTATCCATAAAGTTTGTTCTATATTGTTTTCTTCTTTGATGGGCATGTCATTCTTCAACGCAGTGTTGTCATGGAAACAAGCAGATCTGACCCTCTGCGCCAATCCAGCTACTAACAGTGGCCTAAGATATGCAGAAAACAAACTTAAAAGGGCTTAGTACAAAGCCCTGTGTATTACTGATGTTAAACAACACTCATGTGAGATTCTCCAAACATCCGGATCTGTCTAATTTGTTGTTTAGCTGATTATCACCGTGTTTGAAAACTCTTGTAAAAAATAAGAAACATTAAGTTGGAAAAATGGCTATCTTGCAGAATTTCTGCACAAGCTTGTAAATGGTTGTCAGGGGAGCATTACCTTTTTTGGCTTGTACAGACGTGTGAGGTAGGTTGAAATCTGATTGGTCCCCTGGTATCGCAGGACAACATGAAACATGGCTCCAGAGTCCTTAATATCTCCCTTGGGGGTGTACACTGTCGACTGAAACAAAACGGTTCTGACTATCAGGGGTTTAGCAATGATTTGTACATCAGTATCCTTGGATGCCAATTGTTATATCCAAGATATGGTTATTTTCAAGGTCCTTAATTTTTAGGTATTTCCACAGATTACTGAACAACGGATATAGCCTTTTCTTTTGTGTATTAGATATCTCTGACATACAATAACAGGCATATATTCTCAAATAGAACCATCAATCCGCAGACAAATTTTCTTTCACAATTACAGTGTAATGATAGGATCAAATGACCAAGATGTTGCCAGAAGGCTACACCATTTTTCACGTACGCTAGAAATAAGAGATCGAGGTGGAGGTGTAGCTGTTATTTTGTAGTGATGTCATAAAGTGCTCTACAGTCAGTGTCTGTAACGAGTGATGAAACACTTTCTGTGAAATTGAGTTCTGATCGACAATGTACAATACTCACGATAGTCGTATAGACCCCTAGGCTGCCACAAGGAACTGTACAGTCATGTTTCCTCAGTGAGTTTGACATCGCTATTAGATCCAGGAAAGTTGATCATTTGTGGAGACTTTAACTACCATGAATGATGCATCTGACAGAGAATCGCAAAAGTTCCTGAAGGTGCTGAGTCAATGTGACCTGATCCAGCACGTAGTGGAGCCTACCCACATTCGAGGTCATACTCTAGACTTGGTTATTTCAAGGTGATGACCTTCATGTAAGGAATATAAAAACAGACTTTTCCGTCAAATCTGACCACTTCGCAGTTCTTTTTACTGCCAGTGTGTTTGCCCCCATGAGGAAGAGAAGGGAACTATCCTTCAGAAAATTAAAAGGGATAGACAGGACTGACTTTAAGTCTGACCTTGAAGCCTCTTTCACTGGATATCAGGACATGACAGTCAGTGAATCTGTTGACTTGTTTAATCAATCAGTGGCCAGAACCCTAGATTCACATGCTCATGCAAAGCAAAAGCGCCGGAAGCTTGAGAAGCAGATGCCATTAGACTGGACTCACTGTCCACAAGCAGATGCATGCTGCCCAGAGAACCAAGTGAATGAGCTTATTCACCAGGCTAAGTCCAGCCATTACAATGCTGCTTTGGAAAACGCAGGGTGTCAGAGAGAGATATTTCACATTTCTAATCAACTTCTCTTCAAGCAAAAGACAAGATCTCTGCCAAGCACTAAGTCACTGGATACAATGGTGAATCAATTCTCAGATTTCTTCACTGAGAAGATTAGGACAATACGCTTCATGTCTGCTGAACATTGATGCAAGCAGCAGCAACTTTACATCAACAGAAGTGCTATTCAATGGTTCTTCATACCTCACATGCTTTTTGCCCCACATCAGCAGAAGAAGTCAGACAACTAATAATGAAGAGTCCATCCAAGTCATGTGCTCTCGATCCAATGTCAACTCACATTCTCAAGGAATGCCAAGAATCTGTCATTCCAATTCTCACTCATGTCATAAATCAATCTTTTGATGAGTGTTTTGTACCACCATTGTTAAAAGATGCACTGGTAACTCCTTTGCTAAAGAAATCTCAACTCGACCCTGAAGTGATGAAGAACTATCGGCCAGTATCAAACTTGCCCTTCATTTCAAAACTAATCGCCACATGACCCTCAACAGATTAAACAAGGCCATAACACCGAGACTGCTTTGGTCCGGTTCAAAACGACATTAGAGAATGATGGAGCTGCCATTCTTGTGTTATTAGATCTTTCCTCCGCTTTTGATACCATCGTGTGCTTCTTCATACATTGGAAAAGAGACTTGGGTATCACCGACAAAGCTATATCTTGGATTGAGTCCTATATCTCTGATATGGCACAACATCAAAGAAAAGAAGAACTGCTCTTCGAGTGGATCAGTCCTTGGTCCGATCCTGTTCACAATGTACACTTCACCACTTGGGGATGTCATTGAAAACATAATCTGCAATTCCATCTGTATGCAGATGACACCCAATTGTACATATCAGACCACAAAGTAAACCATCAGTTGACCTTTGCTGTCATATCTAAATGTGTTTCTGACATCCGTGAAATCGATGACACCTCTTTAAGACATCTCTCACTGCCGCTTTCATATTCAGTATCATAGAACCAAGTAAAAAGGCTCGTAATCTGGGAGTAATTCAGGACTCTGTTTTTCATTGAAGACCATATCAGCCAAATCAAACAGGCATACTTCCACCAAAACATTGCTCTAATAAGGAGTATATAAACACACGGTGGCTTTCACTCATCCAGGCATCGTGTTATCCCGATTATTGCAATGCTCTCTTGGTTGGGCTACCAAAACAATCTAACAAAGTTACAGCAGGTACAAAAATTTAGCTGCTAGAGTTGGGTCGAACCGGCAAATATGAGCACATAACTCCAGTTTTGATGCATCTGCATTGGCTCCCAATAGTCAAACGGATAGAATTTAAGATTCTTGTGCTTGTATACAAAGCTTTTCACGGTATTGGCCCATCATACATCAATGAACTGATCCAGTGCCATCAACCCTACCGCTGAGTAGTGCCCAGCTACTATTGTGCCACGTGTGTTTGGAGACAGGTGTTTCTCAAAAGCAGGTCCTATGCTTTGGAACAATATCCCATTGGGCATTAAAAGTGCAGATGTACATTTAAGAGAATGTTGAAAACATTCTTTTTCAAATCATGTTACAGTTCCGCTCTTTCCTTGTCAGACTCATTTTCTTTGAGCAGGACTTCTGGATATTGGCGCTATAAATCTCTATATCAGGAGAAAGGTTTTCAAATACTGATACGCTGAAGGCTCATGGAGATGTTTGGTTTCACATATTTCTTCTGCATTTGGCTCAATCCAATCAACAAAAACTGAGATGGTGAACTACTGCGTGGCTGGAAACTGTCGTTCGTTCAAGTACAAAGACATAATAACATGTCATGTGTACAAGTATCACTTGCCTGTCTGTATAATTACATACTGTGACAGAGATAGAAATCAGGTGCACGAGCCATAAATCAATGTATTTTGTTTATGGTGTTTAGCCTGATACGTTTCAAGTTCAAATTGCATGTGGTCAATGATTGAAGTTGTGTATTGCATATTGTCATTAGCAGACAGGCAGGCAGACACATAGGTGTTAATAAAACAGACACTGAGTTTTGTCTGTGACAGAGACTACTTACCACAACCAACATATATTTCTATGTTTCCAAAGACATGTATTAAAACATTTCAGTTTTCAAGCTGAGCAATATTTAACAAAGAAATTAGTATTTCTAATGCTACACTTTCTTGAAAGCTTGGTTTGCAAATCTGCCAACCCCACAAAAACAAGATGTGAAAACAGAGTAAGACAAAGTATAGGACCAGTGCAGACCAAAGATGCTTGTAATCACAAGAAACATCTTTTGTTCTTCAAGTTTGACCACAGCGATAACCCTTGCACATCACTTGCTGTGTTTTTACGAGTCGCCTTCCCGGTTCAAGCCGCACGAACCTAATCACTGCGTATGTGCTGGGGTGAAGTAAGTGAATCGTTTCAACTCCAATTTCGCAGGGGTTGTTTCATCGCGTTATTTTTCAACTTTATAAGTTGAATTTGCAATTTTTGATGATTTGTATCTGTAAGTCCATACCGAAAGGTATCAGAATCTGCAACGTTGTGTTTTGCATTGCAGGTGACCTTTAAAGCACTTATCTATTATACATACCGGTATGAATTGTGCAACGTTCTTGATTTCTTTTACATTTCTGGTAGTCAACAATTTTTTTGTATTTCATTATATGAGGCATTCTCTTCCCACAGACTTTCCTCCTGTCATATCTTCCTACGTAACGTAGGAAGATATGACAGGAGTAACATCTGCGGGAAGAGAATGTATATTAGGGAACTGTGTATATTTATTTGAGATACATTTGGATCTGGATTCATAGAAAGCTTCAATACCAACATAATCAATTGGGAAATGTTTAAATTCCAATCTGGGAATCTTTACAGTTCAGCTCTATATCAGGGTTGGGGGAGTATCCTAGTGGTTAAGTTAAGCTCATCACACCTTTGACATGGTTTTGGACTTGTTTTCATACATTGTAACCATGAGGCGAATCAAACACGGGGACCGCCTCCGTGGTGTAGTGGTTAGAGCGTCCGCCCGGAGTGCGGAAGGTCACGGGTACGATCCCCGACCTCTTCATACCAAAAGACGTTAAAATATGGTACTTGTTGGTCCCTGTCATTAATGCATAAATGGGTACAACAAGGACTGGTCGTCTCGGAGTAGGTATAATGTGTCTGAGTGGGGTATTCATGCTTCACTGTGGCATGGTATCTCAGTGGGCTGGCACTATAAAACCAGCTTCAGTCTTGGCTAGTACAAGCAGCCGCACATACACATATACACGCATGCACGTCGTCATATGAGCGAAATATTTTCAAGCACGATGTTAAACCCAATTCCACCACCACATCAAACACGGGTCTACAGCATGATGGGCTAATACTTAAACCACTAGGCTACACCATCGCCCCTTTCACTACGACTTAAGCAAAGTCCAAGAGTATAACGGAGACCTACCAGCAGACCCTGCTCGTCCATATAGGTCTCATGCCAGGGGTCCCCCAGCTGCATCTTCTGCAACGTCGACTCCACTACAACACACAACATCATCAATGATGACATCAACAACAGACACAACCTCTGAGAAATATGTGCTGCAAGGAATGCAATCATGCACTTTCCTTGCTCACCCATACATTTACATGACAAGGATCAGGATTCTTTTCATCAATGTATGGTTTTGGGTCAGATTTCTTTATTTCCTGCTTAATGACTTCTTTCAACCAAATAAATAGAAACAATACAAAAAATACTGTATTCAATTTTGAAATGTGATTATTTTTTACTCTTGTGATCCTAGGTGTTTTAGGACATATATCTGTGAATAATGTCATTAAACTGGTTTAGCCTCCTTCGTTCATCAGCTATTGAACATTCCATCCCGGTTAAATCTCTGATTAAAGAAAAAGCTTGACCTGGTGTACTACTAAAGAGACTAAAGATGAGCACCAGACAATACAACATAGTATTCTTCATCCTCTTGAGGAAAGGGAGTTAACTGACTGAAAAGGTATAGTGAGTTATCTCCCTTGTCTCGTGAAGCTGAGTGTTCCTCCAGATGAACAAATAAACATGGAGGTCAAGGTCATACCCTTCTTCCTTTCCCGAGCTATTTCTTGTCTTGTTTTCTTCTTTGATTGTTTTACTCTGTCTGTAAATATCACCTGAAACATAAAACAGCCTCAAGCTAAAACACAAAACAAATGCTGGAGTGGGTTCGTATTTCACTTTTGACACCATGTAAGATAACAAGTATGGCAGCTCAACCAAAGCGCCAGGATGTTTATTCATGTCACTTATATCTTGATGGTACAAAGTGTCACATATATTAAATTACATTTGTGATGTCAGTCCATTGTCTGCTTGCTCCATTACTTTTCAGGAATGGAGTGATGTGTATCAGTTTCAAATTAAAGCCTTCATTTTGTCATTTTGACATTTTATTTTGATAACAGAAATATTCCCTCCAGGGACTCAGCTCCGTTATTTTTTAAGGAATGGAGAGTTACTCAGACATTACCCTTTACGTATTGACAATATATCACACATGAGTGGTGCATATATTTTCTTTTCCCTGGACCCAACTACTTTCATAGCTTGACTTTGTTTCCAGTTTGAATGACCTGATGCTATGTTTAAACAAAATATACTGTGCTTCTACAATCTAGCACAATGACTGGTCCCTTACGTTTGGTTTTTCGGTAGTGGATGGCGAGAACATGACCTTGGACATCTGGATTCGGTACTTCTTCCGTGGCAGAAACCAGCCGAACCCAGACATAAGCTGCCTGGGGACAATCATCATCATCATCATCATCATCATCAGTTGAAAACCAGTTTTATCATATAGTGCATTATCTGATAAATATGCAAATAAGGTCACCGTGCAGGAACTGATTCAATTCTCCATACATCAATGCCATGGCTGTTTGATCAAGATTATGAAATTCTGATCTTCACAACAAGTTTACGTTGACGTTTTGGTGGGTTATGTTGACTTGATGACATTTGAGAACAATGATTAGTACGATTACATGATGACTTTATTGTTAAAGTAAAACTCTTCTTTCAACACCTGACAGGATTAGGTGACTAGCGGGATTGGGTGGTCCACCTCGCTGACTTGGTTGACACATCATTGTATCCCAATTGAGTAGATCAATGCTCATACTGTTGATCACTGGATTGTCTGGTCCATACTCGATTATTTGCACATCGTTGCCATATAGCTGGAATATTGCTGTGTGCAGTGTAAACCTAAACTGACTCACTTACTCACTCACTCACTCTTTCAAAACCTTCCCTCCCCTACCCAACGTGTCTGTAATTAATCAAGTTAAGACCAGACAATCTCGTGATAGACATCATGAGCATCGATCTATGCAGTTGGGATGCAATCATCCAGGTCAGCAAGCCGAAACCCCAAATCATGTTAGTTTCCTCTTAGGACAAACATGGGCTGCTGAAGACCAATTCCAGATAACAGAGTATGAAGAGAGTAACAAAACAATATATTCAATAAGATCTTTCAATAGCATTTAGAAGTGATACACTTAAAAGGGGAACATTATAGATGACACCTTCTGTATTATGAGGAGCTCTATGTTTCAGGGTATACCCAGGAGCATTATGTCTTTTATCATATTTAATATTTACAGTCAAATCCCGATGAGTCGAATGCCGGTGTCTCGAATATTATGCATAACTCGAAGTACCTGTCGGTCCCGACCATTCCCTGTTATAGTTGTCATCATTTGAATACCGGTTACATGAATTCGTCTCATAAATACACACGATGACTCGAGAAGGAAATTTGGTCCCATGAGATTCAAACAACAGCAATCTTGTATACATAAGCCGAAGTCAGTCAATGAGAAGTTCATTGGTGTAGCAAACTGATCCAATTAACAAACCAGCCGCGTGAGTTCAAAAGGCAGATTAGTGATTTAACGGAAATCACAGTCTGTGCTAATCAGACTGGAACTGATAAGGTGCCCCTATTAGTGATATGGAAATCATTAGATAAACAAATGCTTAGGCGGAGGAATTAGGACTGGATCATCTTTTTTTCTACCCTCATAGACATACCTATGTCTTGAATACATCGATAAGTCGAATTTATTACTTGACTGGGATTTGACTGTATATCATTATCGATATTATTACTCTTATTGTTGTTGTTGTCACAGAATAGTGAATACAAACATCATGTCACAGTTAAAATCTTACTTATCATATTTCCACAAATTGATGAAGCCCTTTATATCTACGGTGACAATGTTTCCCAGCTTGTCGACGAAGCCAATGTATATTATGGGATGTTTGTGTTGACGGAACAGTTCTGCCTCCAAGCTCTGTCCAATCAGATTGACGCCATGATTTGTATCCTAAACCAAATTCAGAAATCAAAGGAAATAGAATTAAGTAAATATGAAAAATAACAACAGTGTCAGTTGAGTCAAATCAATATTTCGTGTATTAAGCAAGACATGCTCAGAAATAAAGATGGATGAATTCTGATGCCTATGTCCACACCAGGGTTCTGATCTACAAAGCATTCGTAATGTTATGACATGTTATAACTTATAGTTTATCATAGGGTAGCGAATGTCAAAGCGCTACAAACATTCTTTTGGATTAGGATCCAGGTCCATATCCTATACAGTCCGTTTGAGACAAAATGATATCAATGAATTGAAATCTAACACAAAAACAAATAGCCATAAAAGAATCAAACCAACGAGGACTGCAATAATAACAACAGACCGACTCTAGAAAAAATATTGCATAAGTTTTATCACAAAAATAAAAAAGTTGTTTAAGAAACTGTCATCATTTATTTGTGCGTTTTCCAAGCTTGTTACAAGGGCGCAGTGGCAACAAAAGGAACAGCACGAAAAGCAAGATGCACGTGCATTAGTGACGTCAATGCGCCCTTGTAACAACTTGGGAAAACGCACAAATAAATTATGGCAGTTTCTTAAACAACTTTTTTATTTCTGTGACACAAATTATGCAATTTTTTTCTAGAGTTGGTCTGTTTTTTTTGTTGCAGTCCGCGTTGGTTTGATTCTTTTATGTCTATTTGTTTTTGTGTTAGATTGCAATTCATCGGTATCATTTTGTCTCAAACAGACTGTAATTAGTGCAACATGTGAAACTGAGACACTGAGAGTCTTTAAAGTCATATAACATTTTAAGTTCCATGACCATCATAAAATATTTATGCATGAAACACGCAAATGTGAGTCAGAACAACTTCATGAAACTTGCTAGTGTTTTCAATACACCCCGGTCTCAGCCACCTTGACGAAAACTATTGTGATGCTGTAATCTGCTGTCTGATCTGATTGAGTGAGTGAGTGAGCTTAGTTTTATGCCACACTTAGCAGTATCCCAGCTATATGGCCGCAGTCTGTACATAATTGAGTCTGGACCAGACAATCCAGTGATCAACAGTATGAGCATCAATCTATGCAATTGGGAACCGATGACGTGTCAACCAAGCCATTGAGTCTGACCACCCGATCCCGTTTGTCGCCTCGTACGACAAGCATGGGTTACTGAAGGTTCATTCTAACCCGGACCTTCACGGGTTGATCTGATTGAATACCAGCTGGGCCTGTAACATGTAATGGAGTTCCCGGGCTAGGTACAGCTGGACTTGAGTTCCCATTCCCCGATCAAAGACTCAAGTTGAAAAGGAAGGGAGATAACTCAAACCAGAACTTGCTGCCAAGGACAGATTACTCTAGGCGAGGGGAGGTGAAATTGGGTTTAACGTCATGCTTGAGAATATTTCGCTCATATGACGACGTGCATGCGTGTGTATGTGTATGTACGGCTGCTTGTACTAGCCCAGACTTAAGCTGGTTTTATAGTGCTAGCCCACTGAGATACCATGCCGCAGTGAAGCATGAATACCCCACTCAGACACATTATACTGACTCCGAGCCGACCAGTCCTTGTTGTACCCATTAATGCCGAACGCCAGGCAGGGACCAACAAGTACCATATTTTAACGTCTTTTGGTATGACGCGGTCGGGGATTGCACTCGTGACCTTCCGCTCTCCAGGCGGACGCTCTAACCACTACACCACGGAGGCGGTCCAGATAACTCTAATTAACAATACACGTGAATGTAGGTCAGCACTAGCTGAAGAAAGGGAAGAGAATTGTTCAGAGAAAAGTTCTCATTGTGGCCTTAATTTGTCTAAAATGAAACCAAATGCCATATAGAGGGCATACTATTTGGACATATGTGAACTTCAATCAATTCAATACTTCCACATCTTAAATAGCATATAACACAAGTAGAGAGCTTTGGTCTGACTCACATGGATGTTGGAGTTGAAGATTGTTGGCGCGCCTCAGAGTACTCCACTGTCTGGTCTGCGTCGGCCGTCACGGACAGCGGCTCCAGATTGCACTTCAGCATGTCTCCATTTTCCAGACAAGCACACACACAGTGCTGAAGTTACAAACACGGAACTAGAGGAGTAGTGTCTTCAACAAATTTACAGCTTGTCATTAGCTTGTTCAAGCAATATTTAACATTCAAAATGGCTTCCATGGGAGACACTGCATGGTTAGATTAATCAGTAACAACCACGGTAACAATCAACAAAGCTTTCGTAATGTTAAGATCTATCCTAACGCTACTGATACTTCTTTCCAGTTCTTTGTTAAGTCAGTTTTAATTCATTTTGTTTTTACATAAGCTTTTTTGTGTGAAATGACTGCTGTTTAATTTCCTTCCTCCTTCTGAGAGCATTGTTGAAGTTGTTTTGTTTTCTTATTACCAGTAAGGGTTGCTGGGGACCAGTTCGAACCCAGAATACAGACATAGATTATCAAGCACATGTCTGTTATCAACTTGTTTTCATGTTATGACAGCTGTTCTATTTCCTTTCTACTGCTGTTGTATTTCCTTCCTACCGCTGTTGTATTTCCTTCAATGTTGTATTTACTTCCTACCACTGTTGAAGTTGTTTTGTTTCCTTCCTACCGCTGTTGAAGTTGTTTTGTTTCCTTCCTACCACTGTTGAAGTTGTTTTGTTTCCTTCCTTCCGCTGTTGAAGCTGTTTTGTTTCCTTCCTACCAGTGTTGAAGTTCTTTCGTTTCCTTCCTACCGCTGTTGAAGTTGTTTTGTTTCCTTCCTACCACCGTTGAAGTTGTTTTGTTTCCTTTCTACCGCTGTTGAAGTTGTTTTGTTTCCTTCCTTCCGCTGTTGAAGTTGTTTTGTTTCCTTCCTACCACTGTTGAAGTTGTTTTGTTTCCTTCCTACCGCTGTCGAAGTTGTTTTGTTTTCTTCCTACCGCTGTCGAAGTTGTTTTGTTTCCTTCCTACCGCTCTCGAAGTTGTTTTGTTTCCTTCCTACCGCTGTTGAAGTTGTTTTGTTTCCTTCCTTCTGCTGTTGAAGTTCTTTCGTTTCCTTCCTACCGCTGTTGAAGTTGTTTTGGTTCCTTCCTACCGCTGTTGAAGTTGTTGCTTCCTTTCTACCGCTGTTGAAGTTGTTTTGTTTCCTTCCTACCACTGTTGAAGTTGTTTTGTTTCCTTCCTACCGCTGTTGAAGTTGTTTTGTTTCCTTCCTACCCCTGTTGAAGTTGTTTTGTTTCCTTCCTATCGCTGTTGAAGTTGTTTTGTTTCCTTTCTACCGCTGTTGAAGTTGTTTTGTTTCCTTCCTACCGCTGTTGAAGTTGTTTTGTTTCCTTCCTACCGCTGTTGAAGTTGTTTTGGTTCCTTCCTACCGCTGTTGAAGTTGTTTTGTTTCCTTAACACATTCTAACCTAGAATCCCCACAGGCAGACTAACACAGGCTGCTGGGAATAACGCTATTAAACCAGAAATCAACAAGATGTGCCAATGATGAAGATGTGGCCACGAGCCGCTCCCTTACCTGCGTTCCGAGCAGCGTGAAGCTGGGGAAGAACGCCGCCTTGATGGGGCTCTGGGGACTAGATAACACATCCTGCTCAGAGAACGGACCTGAAGGCAAAGTGGAAGTAATATTGCACATTTTCATCTCCTGATCCTTAACACGTTGACAGACACCGAATTTGCCACTATGAGTTATCTCGTAGCTACATTGTGGTATTTTAAAACAAGTTTCACATGTTGGCAGAACAGGCACAAGAAGCAATCATCTCTTGGCGGTAACAAAGAATGCCAGGAGACATTTGTTTCTTGTGCCTATTTTGCCAACATGTGAAACTTTTTTCAAAATACCACTGATGTAGCTATGAGATAACTCATAGTGGCAAATTCGGCCAGACATTGATACTACAAGTATACTCGTCATAGGCACTCAACTTGCTAAATCCTTAATAGAAAGTGGTCTTGTGTGCAACAATTTCAGCAACAGTATGTGAATCGAATTATGCATTATTTACAACACCTTGAATATAGGGTAAGTAGATTTGTTCCTTTGAGAACATCGTAAATGTGAACAGAATTACATTTTCGTAATATATTAAATATACATTAGTTTTGTTTCATTAACAACATCCTAAATATGAATAGTGTTATGAACAACACATTGCATATAGCTTGTCTTAGATTTCATTAGTAATTGCCTGTTTCCATAATCTAGCTAACCCACCAAAACAAATCACTGAATGAACTGTAGACTGGTAATGTGCTATAACTCATCATACCATTTCAAAATTGAAACACGTGAAGATCTTCAGTACCCCATGCCTGTCGTAAGAGGCGACTAATGGGATCGGGTGGTCAGACTCGCTGACTTGGTTGACAAACATGTCATCGGTTCCCAATTGCAGAGATCGATGCTCATACTGTTGATCACTGGATTGTCTGGTCCACTCGATTATTTACAGACCGCCACCATATAGCTGGAATATTGCCAGGTGCGGCGTAAAACTAAACTTACTCACTCACTCACTCAAAATTCAAACATCAAAGCCAACCTGGTGTCGGTAGTTCCTGTAATATGGAAGTGTAGAATAGAAGGTAGAATAAAACGATGGCTAACCTTGTTGGAAGATGAAATCCTTCTGGTCGACATCAAGGAGTGCGATACGGGCCAGCTGCTGGGGAACGTAACCAGCTGAGTCAGCTTGAATCTCCAGCCCACGTATGTCTGACCTCTGGGTCCCTCCGCCATCAAACGACCACACGATCAGCATCCCCTGAAAAACCAGTCAACAGTTAAACAGTGAAACACAGTCTACGAGGTAGGGATTGAGTTATTCCTGCACTGTTTCTTCTTTCAATTTAGGGGCGGTGGGGTAGCCTAGTGGTTAAAGGGTTGGTTCCTCACGCCGAAGGCCCGGGTTCGATTCCCCACATGGGCATAATGTGTGAAGCCCATTTCTGGTGTCCCCTGCCGTGATATTGCTGGAATATTGCTAAAAGCGGTTTAAGACTAAACACAGTCAGTCAGTCTTTCAATTTACACCAGAAGAAGAAGCAGAAGAAGAGGAATATTTTACTACAGGGTCACTGATGTAAAGACTGACTTACTGAATTTGGTTTTACGCTGCTTTAAGCAATATTCCAGCAACATCACGGCGGGGGACACCAGAAATGGGCTTCACAAATTGTACCCATGTGGAGATTCAAACCCGGGTCTTCGGCGTGACGAGCCAACGCTTTAACCACTAGGCTACCCCACCGCCCCACACTGATGTAAAGAACAGAGAAAAGAAAAATGAGAGTGTAAAATGCACAGTAACCGAAACACCAATGTCTTGTCCCTCAATTTCACATTATGTTATTAAATGAACACATGAATTCTAAAACTGCACTAAACGTACACTTGCTGGTAGCCAGGTGTGCGAGTTGTACGTGTGAAATTGAAATTTCACTGCACATGCTTGTTGATCACCTGGCTGTTCTACCAGTAACTGGTCCCCCCTCCTAAAAGAAATAGCGAAAAGTGACAACAAAATAACGATTGTTTGCTAAACAACTTTTTTTTCGGGGTGTCCAAAATTATGAGACAAATCATCAGAGTTGGTCTGTCGATTTCATGTGACTGTGCAAAATTTGGTTTTGTTGCAATTATTAGATTTTGTGTTAGTGAGTAATTAATCGGTCTCAAATGAAATCAAACGGACTGTAGCTCACCTGGTTGCAGCATGTACAGCATGTACACACAGAACCATTCTCTCGAACATCCACACCACAAACACACTCATCAATACACATGCATAACACAAGCTTTAACACAACCAACTACAACCCAACACAATGAGTGAGACCACCTACTCCTGTGTTGATGGTGGACAGTCTGGAGCTGTCCATGCTCCATGCTATATCTATAACGCTGTCGTCTGCGCGGTCGATGTTGTGGATCGCTCTGACAGGCCGCCATGGCTCCATCCATGTATCGTACACAATCAGATCACCTTCAACACAGAGAATACAGGTCTAGGTAATTTTCTAGAAAAGTTCATTGTTGTCAGTATGAGCTTACTACAACAATTACGACCAGATTCTTCTTGATGTTGTTTATAATAACCATGACAAATAAATAACCCATATAGCACCTGACTTCTGAACTATAGTCCGTTTGGCTGAAAAGCGGACCGATGAATTGCAATCGAACTCGAAAACTAATAAACATAACATACTCAATGAAACGCTGATCATAATCAAAACATCATACCCACTCTGTGAGGTTTTTGCAGAATTTATGTCCTAAAAATAAAAAAGTTGTTTAACAAACTATCATTAAAATATTGACACTGTTCACTATTTCTTACGAGGGAGGAGTGCAGAGAAAGGGACAGCCAGGTGTTCGAGAACGGATGGAGACGGCACAGCACAGGTTAATGAATAAATAACTTTGTCTGTGAACGTGCTTCTTCTTGAGTTGATCAAAATTTAAATCTGCAGAGATAGCAAAGCTTGTCCTGTCCTTCAGCCTACTGTGGTCTATTGTTTGTATAACTGACTGACTGACTGACCACTAGGCTACCCCACCGCCCCCTATTGTTTGTATAAGCGTGGTTAACACTGCATTCAGCAGAAGTAATAAAAGTCTTTTCTATTTCATATTCAGGAATTGTAAAACAGAGATTTGGTATGTGGTAGAAACTGTTGATATTGGTTGTTATGATTACTGAATACAACATTAGAATGGTATTGTTCTTGATGATGATGATGATGACGATGATTTTCATCACCACAATGTCAAGTTTCTATGTTGCCGATAAATGCTTGCTTGTTAACATGAAATACACAGTGCGACTAATCACGAATGTCCTCCCATTCACTCACCGTGTGCTGTACCAACAGCCAGGAATCGCTGGTCATGTGACACTCTTGCCATCTCCACGCCCTTGCACTTCCTACCAACAACCAGCTTCTTCACGGCAGTTTTCAACCCCTGGAGATGACAAAACATATTTGGAAAGTTAGTGATTTAGAAATACAGTTCTGTCTACCCCAATATTCTTCCCACACAGGTTACTCCTGTCATATCTTCCTACGTAACCTCTGTTCTAATATGGCCATATTTCCCGGTTCTCGTAAAATCCCCTAGCGGCAATAAATCGCAACACAAATTATCTCCCTTCTTTCTATCCAATCCGATCACGTGCTACATCGACTTAGATCCAATATGGAGTTAGTTGATCAATGTGCGAAGGATAGATTCGGTATTTCATGTTCAACTGAGAGTGCAGGAATAAATCGACAAGCTGTTATTGTTGATGTAACATACATACATTTAATGGCCAACATGTCCGTTTAGTCAACAAGGGCGATGAAGACGCCTTTGATCCGCCATTACATGACTGGGTTCTTTTGTGCTGGGGAAGAGGTTCTAGCTTTCCCGAAGCATACAGAATTACCGAGGCTTTGTGAATGATAACTTTTGAAACAACGTCGCTGATTGCACAACTAAATCTGATTGCAACCAATCACAAATCCAGAACGCTCGCACCATGAAAGGGCCGTATTTGAACAGAGGTTATGTAGGAAGATATGACTGGAGCAACCTCTGTGGGAAGAGAATGTCTATCCCCAAATATTGTGTAATAAACTAGTTTTGCCCTGAACTATGAGTAAAAGCACAAGGACACTTGATGTAACAGTTCAGGACCAAACCATACTTTATTACACTATACATGGGGGTAGAGCAAACTGTACTTCTTTTCTAAGATGCCAAATTCAATACTTATCAACGATTAATTTAGACAGAAAACAAACAGAAAACTGGTGGTGACGGTGACAATTCACAATGATATTGATCCATGCTGTACATTTTGATTGGTCACTGATGCCAAGTTAATGAGGATGAGAAATGCTGTTATACACCGGTGATACGGGTGATGGGGAGGGTGACATGACTGCCAAAATGGAGCCTTGTTTTTCCGAAAAAAAAAAAATATATGATAAAAAGAACAGAGATATGATTACTGAATAAAGAAGGATGGTACTGGCGACATGGAAGGAAACTCCATGATTCCATCTCTATGGTTACAGGACACAGGAATGACCAGGCAGACACGTGGTATCTTGAACTTGACTCACTTTCCAGTACTGTTGTTCCTTCTTGTGGTAGATCTTGGTGAATTCCTTCCTACGATTCTTCTCCTTCGAGTCCGACCGTGACGACTCATACTTCCGTAGCGACATCGGCTTGATGTGGTCGTACGTAATCACCTCCACATCAATATCAACATCCTCCTCTCTGCAATACAAATATAACTGTCACCCTCCTGTGATCTATCTCACCCATTCAATCAGTAAGTAAGTAGACTCACTCACACTCATTCAATCAGTAAGTCAGCAGACTCACTCACTCACTTACAAGAACGTACCCTTAAATCACACAACTTCACCAAACAAGTACTACTGAAAAGGCCTCAACTCACTCACTCACTCACTGATGCACGCACACTCACTCACAAGAATGTACCCTTAAATCACACAACCTGACCAAACAAGTACTACTGAAAAGGCCTCAACTCACTCACTCACACATGCACACATGCACGAACGCAGGCATGCACACACTCACTCACTCACTCACTCATGCACACACGCACGCATGCACACACTCACTCATTCACTCACTCTTCTTCCGGTTCTTCTGGTTGAGGCTGAGGTTGTTGTTTTGGTTTTTGTTGTTTTTGCTTCTGAGGTTGCAGTGGTCTTGGTTGCGGAGTCTTCCTCTCAGGTTTGCTGTGATGGAGGTGCTGTGTGTGTGCCCATATATCCTTCCTGAAACACGAAACACTTCCTGTTTCACCAGTGAGGCAACGTACCTCTGGGTATACAAACACCCACATTATTGATATTGTTTAATCAATAAACCTGTGAATATCTGGGATAGAATTGGACTTCAGTAACCCATGCTTGTCGTAAGAGGCGACTAACGAGATCGGGTGGTCAGACTCGCTAACTTGGTTGACACATGTCATCGTATCCCAATCGTGTAGATCGATGGTCATGCTGTTGATCACTGGATTGTCTGGTCCAGGCTCGATTATTTACAGACTGCAGCCATATTGTTTATTATGACCTTTCGGGACAACTTCTTACCCCTTCATTAGATGACTCAAGTAAGACTTAGCTGACATCAATTGTACAGAAATATTATAACTGTAATATCTTTGATGAGGTGTGAAGTGACCATTAAAAAGGACTGAGTGAGTACAGTTTTAGCAGTGATCTAGCAATATCACAGCGGGGAACACCAGAGATGGTCTTCAGACATTGTACCTACATTAGGAATTGAATCAAGGCCTTTAACATGATGAGCAAACACTCTAACCACAGGTCTACCCTACCACCCCATAAATAAAGCAGTTTCCCAGGTTTTCTTGAGAAAACGTCATGATATTCACCCATTCATTCATAGCCCTAAGCTCCTACATGTCAAGTATTTCAGAATTTGTGTAGGGAGCAAGTGTAGATTTTTGAAAGTATACAAACATTTCGTCTGCAGTCTACCAAACACAGATGCTCAATGCAAGTTAGTAAATTCCTAACGAAGCCAAGCAGCTCAATTCAATTAAACTGAGGCGTTGTATAAATATGAGTTAAACCATAGTCATATATGTTATTTTTTGTCACTTGGGCAATAATTCAGTGTGGGACTTAAGTCAGTGACTGGTGTAGTCTTGTATGATTTCTCCTTGTACAATTTGCCTCTACAAATCAATATTTTGTAGACTAAAACCACTGAACATAGTACTCAAACCCATGTTCAGACCAGTAGTCTCAAATCCTTTCAACTACTCTTTACTGACGTTTTCTACATAATGCACTCAATGCTAGAGAGCCTGTGATGCCTGTGCTTCACCTGTGCTGGTTCCTGTTGGTCTGCATGGAGAAATAGCCACGGGTCACCACGTTGAAGGCTGGATCCTCTGGGTTGCGACCATTCTCCTGCCCTGTAGTGATACTCTGTAACAAACACATGCACTGATACTCTGTAACATGCACTGATACTCTGTAACAAATACATACATGGATATCCTGTAACATGCACTGATACTCTGTAAAATGCCCTGATATCCTGTAAAATGCCCTGATACTAGGTAAGCAACACATGCACTGATACTCTGTAAAATGCCCTGATACCCTGTAAAATGCCCTGATACTAGGTAAGCAACACATGCACTATACTCTGTAAATGTTCTGATATCCTGTAAAATGCCCTGATATCCTGTAACATGCACCGAAACTCTTTAACATGCAGACACTCTGTAACAAATACATGCATTGATATCCTGTAACATGCACTGATACTAGGTAAGCAACACATGCACTGATACTCTGTAACATGCACTGATATCCTGTAACATGCACTGATACTAGGTAAGCAACACATGCACTGATACTCTGTAACATGCACTGGCAATCTGTAACATGCACTGATATCCTGTAACATGCACTGATACCCTGTACATGCACTGATACTCTGTAACATGCACTGATATCCTGTAACATGCACTGATACTCTGTAACATGCACTGATACTCTGTAACATGCACTGATGTCCTGTAACATGCACTGATATCCTAAAACATGCACTGGTACTCTGTAACCAATACATGCATTGATATTATGTAACCAACAGAATACACATACTGATACTTTGTAACTAACAGATGCACTGATACTCTGTAACCAACACCACAAATGTACGGATACTCTCTAACCAACACAACAGATGTACTGATACTCTCTAACCAACACCACACATGCCTTATCTGTAGCCCTGCTAACCAACACCACAGATGCACTGATACTTTCTAACCAACACCACACATGCAGTGATACTCTCTAACCAACACTACAGATGCACTGATAATCTCTAACCAACACCACACATGCACTGATAATCTCTAACCAACACAACATACATTCGTGACCAACTCGTGTTATTCCGGGACAAGCCGAATAGCGACTCGTGCCCCTCTGGAAGGATTTCATATTGGCGTAGGAGCATCAGAACTACTTTAAACAGGAACGATAACTCCATTCTTGTTTGATTCCAATGGTACTTAATATCACCGAAGTAATCATACATTGTATTGCTGTTTATGGTTTTAAAGAATTAAACCTTTTTGATACAACTAAAAGAAGGAGAAAAACTTATTTGTTACAGACTTATTCTGACTTAATTATTCACCTTATATTTCCAGTTATATTTCTAAATAGGGTTTGATAATCACAAATGGGATTTTTTTTTATTAAATATGGAAATAAAAGTTATAAAAGCTACATTACACCCCAAAGCAGAAACTCAAAAAAGACTTTAAAATATTTCTCGAACTGAACATTCGTGTAACCTTGCTCTCATGCCCCAAGTGGGATTTTAAATGAATTTGCTGAAATTCATGTGAATGACCCAAACTAAAAAGTCAGACTAAAATATTCCCAGAGATGTGAAATATATGCCCAACGTTAAAGATTCAAGATGATTAGTTACATGCAGATATATGTCTAATATTATTGTTTTGAAACTCGTAGCGATTTCATTTCCTTTAATTGTTGGAAGCGCATGTACAATCTCCATAGCAAGCCCGCAAGATCGTCAGAAATACCCTCAGTTCGACCCATGAGAGCCGTTATGTCAACAAACGCACGTGCGTGTATTTAAATCTCTCACCGTCAATCGCATGATTCTTACCAAAAACTTCATATTAGGCAGCAAAATCCTGTTAGCTAAGTTCTCTGTAGTTTAAATATGACGATATATATTTTTCATGATTTTTTAAACAATGACATAATGCAATAAACAATTTAAGAACTCAGGATTATTTTTATCAAAGCACCGCAGATCATTTACGCTAGCGTTCTGATTGGTTTGTCGTATTTTTGCACATAACAAGCATCGATAGGGGGACGAGTCATCTTGGACGTTATGGAAAGAGGCAAGTGGTGACGAATGCACGACACATGCACTGAAACTCTCTAACCAACACCACACATGCACTAATACTCTTTAACCAACACCACACATGCACTGATACTCTCTAACCAACACCACACATGCACTGACAGTTTCTAACCAACACATGTACTGATACTCTCTAACCACTGATGTTGGGACACCACCAAGCCCTTCAGTTTATGTCAACATCTCACTAACCTCCACTGTATTGAGAAACATGCGTGTTGTAGAATTGTGAAATGTGCCGAAAATGTGAACTGTTTCCAGGGCAACCTCTCGAGCCAGTTCTCTCGTTGCCTGCAAACACAGCATAAAGAAAACCTTAAATAACTTGTTTTAGATACCAGTCAGTATCCTTTGAGTGCTGAATTAACAGTAGCACAAATAGTTTTTTGTCTAAATAATGTCAATGAGATATTTTCAAACGAAAATGAAACATATGACAAAATCAACTGGGACACTGCTCATCATTTGAGGATATCCATCTAGTTAAATATTTTTAAAACATGTCTTTTTGATTACCAGGTAAATATGCTTAGATTGCACATTCATTTTCTACACCCAGAAGAAGTGATGAGCTAAAGATGTAAATAAAACTTAGTTTATAAGTGATCTCATTCTGTTGAAAGGCTGACATAAGGAGACATTCTGCAGAGTTACTTCCCTTTCAGCTGTCATAATCTTATCTATATGACTAAAATGGAAAGTGAATAGAATTTACAAAACATATTTTGTAGATCGGTCTACAAGTGATAAAAAGGATACATTAAATCTAATGACATCTGTTGGTGTTTATCTTGTGTATTCCCTTCCCTCACCAGCAGCATGAGCTCCTCGGCAACCAGCGTGACGGCTCGTCGCTCCGCCAACGCCTCTGCTGTCTTCTCCCACTCTTCATTCTCGGCTCGTACCATCGCACTTGAAGACGAGCAAGTTTTTTTATCAAGTGACAGTAAGTAATGTCCATTTTTCAGATTGTGTCATGGTTACTAGAAGACCATAAACAGTGTATATGGAGTAGAACCTATCCTTACACTTGCTATGTCATCACCAGATCCTGACATATCTAAGGGATGTAACTCTGTATTGATAAAAGTAGACTGCTTCACATAATTATGCAAATAGATTCTTATTCACTGTCATGAATGTTGATGCAAAATTACAGCTGGGGACATATTCTGAGTAAATCTTGTATTTGAATCCATGACCAGTGGATCCTCGAGCAACTAAGGGAATTAACTCAGTAAGAGAAATGTCCTTCAACACTGCTCCCATGAAGATTACCCACATATGAAACAAATAAAAAGAACAAAAATTATTTGTGATGTGATGAAGAAAAATGTAAAATAGTTTCAATACAAAACTGAAAGATATATGATAATTGTGTTTGTTTTATCATTCTAATGCTATACTTATTGCTACCTAATCAGCTTTTGTAACAATATGTGACAACGGAAACAAGCTGTTTGTTTGTTTCTTTTTTCGTTTGTTTGTCACCCATATTCCATCACATCAACCAAACATACAAACTGTTCCAGCAGCGATGGCCGGAGCAGCAATACTCACTGTCTCATCTCAGCCTCAAACATGTGGACGTCAGGCTTGATGTAGGTGATGAGGAAGTCGTCAACGATGTCCTCCACCAGTTTGCGTACGAGGACGTAGTCTGCAAGCTGCCAGTTATCATACGTCTCCAGGCCAAGTTCCCCATTGTATGGCCTCTTCTTTGTCTCGTATTCAGCTCGTATCTCCTCCCTGTGTGATATGGACAACCATTAGACATACAGGAGTTAAACTGACTGACTGAATTTGGTTTTACGCCACTTTAAGCAATATTCCAGCAACATCAAGGCGGGGGACACCAGAAATGGGCTTCACAAATTGTACCCATGTGGGGATTCGAACCCGGGTCTTCGGCGTGACGAGCCAACGCTTTAACCACTAGGCTACCCCACCGCCCCACAGGAGTTAAACACTAAGCCTGACTTCTGGTTAGAGTTGTCAAACAAGTTCTTCTGTCCATGAGGAGATGTTGTGCTGCCATCATGGCTACCCGAGGTCACATTCGTTAGTGATTTCTTCTGTTACAACAGTTTTATCATTGTGAAGTTCGTATTGGGCAGGTCATGGAAAGTAGTGCATTATCTTCCCAATAAAAGTATTCTGCAATGGACTTTGATTGTGTGTATTGTTACCAGGATGATAGCAGTATGACACACATCTATTTTCATAATAACGCACATGCTACTTCCATTGAGGGATTCAATTTTCCAGGTGGCACGTTTTTTATTTGGTTGAGTATATGAGGCCTGAACATTTGTGCTTTTGTTACAAACAAGCATTAAGTAAAATGAAAATATAACTAAACTTTGCTAGAAAAATATTTCTTCAAGGTTTTGTTTTGACGTTTAATTAAAAGTCCTTAAAGGATTGAACAGGTCTTATTTGTGGTGAGTTTGTTCTTTTCGTAAAGTTGCACTATTCCAGCTATATGGCACCACCCTGTAAACAATCGAGTCTGGACCAGACAACACAGTGATTGATATCATGAGCAGAGTTCCATGTCATCATGGTATGTTGAATATTTATCAACTATGTCACAGAGTCTGACCACCCGATCCATTTAGTCGACCCTTAGTTGCCAATACGGTGAAGTAATGCACAAGCATAGGTTGACCAGCGTAGGTTGCTAGGGGCCACTTCTAATCCACTAGCACAAACACACGCAAGAACGCAGGAACGCACATACATCACACAATAATCCTGATCATGACATTAAACGTTTCACCTCACCAGGTACCCACAGGATGACAAACCAGTGATCAATATTATGAATTAGTGAGTGAGTGAGTATGGTTTTACGTTGCTTTTAGCAATATTCCAGCAATATCACCGTGGGAGCACCAAAAATGGGTTCACACATTGTACCCATGTGCGGACTCGAACCCGGGTCTTCAGCGTGACGAACGAACGCTTTAACCACAGCGCCACCTGACCGCCCCTCAGTATCATGAGCAATGTCTTGTGGTGACACTGGTTGGTAACCAGAGCTCTTCAGTTGAGTGCATATTGCAGTATCCTACCTAAGTCTGTAAATACGGTCCATGGCATAGGGGAGATCGTCCACTGCGCGTCGGACATGCGACCCAGCGGAGTGAGCACTGTGTTCGCTCGGTGTCCCCACACCAAGCATGTTAGGGCTGACATTAGGATTGGCTGCCAATACTTCGCTTCCTGAAACACAAGGCTTTACTTTGTGTACTTGCAATACAACAGTAGTGAGTGAGTGAGTGAGTGAGTGAGTGAGTGAGTGAGTGAGTGAGTGAGTGAGTGAGTGAGTGAGTGAGTGAGTGAGTGAGTGAGTGAGTGAGTGAGTGAGTGAGTGAGTGAGTGAGTGAGTGGAGTGAGTGAGTGAGTGAGTGAGTGAGTGAGTGAGTGAGTGAGTGAGTGAGTGAGTGAGTGAGTGAGTGAGTGAGTGAGTGTTCAACAGTTAAGGGTTAAACCAAATGTGTCAATGTGTAACAGCAATACAGCTGTGTGTCTGGTAGGAGATAAAGGGCTAAGTTCCATGTGTCAATGTGTAACAGCAATACAGCTGCTTGTCTGGTAGGAGATAAAGGGTTAAGTCCCATGTGTCAATGTGTAACAATGTAACAGCAATACAGTTGGCATTCTGGTAGGAGGTAAAGGGTTAAGTTCCATGTGTCAATGTGTAACAGCAATACAGTTGTTTGTCTGGTAGGAGGTAAAGGGTTAAGTCCCATGTGTCAATGTGTAACAATGTAACAGCAATACAGTTGGCATTCTGGTAGGATGTAAAGGGTTAAGTCCCATGTGTCAATGTGTAACAGCAATACAGTTGTTTGTCTGATAGGAGGTAACGGGTTAAGTCCCATGTGTCAATGTGTAACAGCAATACAGTTGTTTGTCTGGTAGGAAATAAAGGGTTAAGTCCCGTCTGTCAATGTGTAACAGCAATACAGTTGTTTGTCTGGTAGGAAATAAAGGGTTAAGTCCCATGTGTCAATGTGTAACAGCAATACAGCTGTTTGTCTGGAAGGAGATAAAGGGTTAATTCCCATGTGTCAATGTGTAACAGCAATACAGTTGTTTGTCCGGTAGGAGGTAAAGGGTTAAGTCCCATGTGTCAATGTGTAACAGCAATACAGCTGTTTGTCTGGAAGGAGATAAAAGGTTAATTCCCATGTGTCAATGTGTAACAGCAATACAGCTGTTTGTCTGGAAGGAGATAAAGGGTTAATTCCCATGTGTCAATGTGTAACAGCAATACAGTTGTTTGTCTAGTAGGAAATAAAGGGTTAAGTCCCATGTGTCAATGTGTAACAGCAATACAGCTGTTTGTCTGATAGGAGATAAAGGGTTAAGTCCCATGTGTCAATGTGTAACAGCAATACAGCTGTTTGTCTGGTAGGAGGTAAAGGGTTAAGTCCCATCTGTCAATTCGTAACAATGCAACAGCAATACAGTTGTTTGTCTGGTAGGAGATAAAGGCTTAAGTCCCATGTGTCAATGTGTAACAGCAATACAGCTGTTTGTCTGGTAGGAGGTAAAGGGTTAAGTCCTATGTGTCAATGTGTAACAATGTAACAGCAATACAGTTATTTGTCTGGTAGGAGATAAAGGCTTAAGTCCCATGTGTCAATGTGTAACAATGTAACAGCAATACAGCTGTTTGTCTCGGAGGAGATAAAGGGTTAATTCCCATGTGTCAATGTGTAACAGCAATACAGCTGTTTGTCTGGTAGGAGATAAAGGGTTAAGTTCCATGTGTCAATGTGTAACAGCAATACAGCTGTTTGTCTGGAAGGAGATAAAGGGTTAAGTCCCGTCTGTCAATGTGTAACAGCAATACAGTTGGCATTCTGGTAGGAGATAAAGGGTTAATTCCCATGTGTCAATGTGTAACAGCAATACAGTTGTTTGTCTGGTAGGAGGTAAAGGGTTAAGTTCCATGTGTCAATGTGTAACAGCAATACAGCTGTTTGTCTGGAAGGAGATAAAAGGTTAATTCCCATGTGTCAATGTGTAACAGCAATACAGTTGTTTGTCTGGTAGGAAATAAAGGGTTAAGTCCCATGTGTCAATGTGTAACAGCAATACAGCTGTTTGTCTGATAGGAGATAAAGGGTTAAGTCCCATGTGTCAATGTGTAACAGCAATACAGCTGTTTGTCTGGTAGGAGGTAAAGGGTTAAGTCCCATCTGTCAATTCGTAACAATGCAACAGCAATACAGTTGTTTGTCTGGTAGGAGATAAAGGCTTAAGTCCCATGTGTCAATGTGTAACAGCAATACAGCTGTTTGTCTGGTAGGAGGTAAAGGGTTAAGTCCTATGTGTCAATGTGTAACAATGTAACAGCAATACAGTTGTTTGTCTGGTAGGAGATAAAGGCTTAAGTCCCATGTGTCAATGTGTAACAATGTAACAGCAATACAGCTGTTTGTCTCGTAGGAGATAAAGGGTTAATTCCCATGTGTCAATGTGTAACAGCAATACAGCTGTTTGTCTGGTAGGAGATAAAGGGTTAAGTCCTATGTGTCAATGTGTAACAATGTAACAGCAATACAGTTGTTTGTCTGGTAGAATATAAAGGGTTAAGTCCCATGTGTCAATGTGTAACAGCAATACAGCTGGCATTCTGGTAGGAGGTAAAGGGTTAAGTCCCATCTGTCAATTCGTAACAATGCAACAGCAATACAGTTGTTTGTCTGGTAGGAGATAAAGGCTTAAGTCCCATGTGTCAATGTGTAACAGCAATACAGCTGTTTGTCTGGTAGGAGGTAAAGGGTTAAGTCCTATGTGTCAATGTGTAACAATGTAACAGCAATACAGTTGTTTGTCTGGTAGGAGATAAAGGCTTAAGTCCCATGTGTCAATGTGTAACAATGTAACAGCAATACAGCTGTTTGTCTCGTAGGAGATAAAGGGTTAATTCCCATGTGTCAATGTGTAACAGCAATACAGCTGTTTGTCTGGTAGGAGATAAAGGGTTAAGTCCTATGTGTCAATGTGTAACAATGTAACAGCAATACAGTTGTTTGTCTGGTAGAATATAAAGGGTTAAGTCCCATGTGTCAATGTGTAACAGCAATACAGCTGGCATTCTGGTAGGAGGTAAAGGGTTAAGTCCCATCTGTCAATTCGTAACAATGCAACAGCAATACAGTTGTTTGTCTGGTAGGAGATAAAGGCTTAAGTCCCATGTGTCAATGTGTAACAGCAATACAGCTGTTTGTCTCGTAGGAGATAAAGGGTTAATTCCCATGTGTCAATGTGTAACAGCAATACAGCTGTTTGTCTGGTAGGAGATAAAGGGTTAAGTCCTATGTGTCAATGTGTTACAATGTAACAGCAATACAGTTGTTTGTCTGGTAGGAGATAAAGGGTTAAGTCCCATGTGTCAATGTGTAACAGCAATACAGCTGGCATTCTGGTAGGAGGTAAAGGGTTAAGTCCCATGTGTCAATGTGTAACAGCAATACAGATATCATTCTGGTAGGAGGTTAAGGGTTAAGTCCCATGTGTCAATGTGTAACAGCAATACAGCTGGCATTCTGGTAGGAGGTAAAGGGTTAAGTCCCATGTGTCAATGTGTAAGAATGTAACAGCAATACAGCTGCTTGTCTGGTAGGAGATAAAGGGTTAAGTCCCATGTGTCAATGTGTAACAGCAATACAGCTGTTTGTCTGGAAGAAGATAAAGGGTTAAGTCCCATGTGTCAATGACCAACAGAGTAACATCAACACAGTTGCCAGTCTAGTATGTGATAAAGGATTAAGCCAATTGTGTCAGTGTCTATAGTATGACAGCAATAATATCGTCATGGCAAGAGACACATTAACATAAGAATCTCATAAACCACTAACTGCCTTGTCACTCACAACAGCGTGACATGACTGACAACAGAACTCTCAACAACAACTACGATAATGTTCACAGCCACAATATACCCGTACAAACAAACACAGCTTGAGGACACTCGTACTGTCAAGTTTGTACAATAATATTGACTTCATCTACGGTAAAAATAGTTAAATATTACATTTTGGGGATTTGTGAATTCTGCACATTTGACGTTTTGTATTGGAATGTTAAACTTTGAAAGTAATGTTTTGTGTTACATGTCCAGTCTCACATCTCATACTCAGTCATCTAACTGTTCCTTGAAAGAATCTTTGTGGAATCTGTTTTGGTCAAACCAAAATGCAACTAGTATATGACATTTTTGGCTTTCTGACATACAACAATATCAAAATAGAAGCCTGATTTGTAAGTTCTAACTTTATAAAAGGGCTTTTCTTGAACACCTACATGAAAACGCCGCCATATAGCTGGAATATTGCTGAGTGTGGCGTAAAACTAAACTCACTCACTCCTACATGAAAATAAATGTCTTTCAGAGAATTGTCGGCATTGGTCAGTTGAGTTTCTTTGTTTTGTCAATTCCACTAACATTGTTTTCCAAAAGTTAAACATTTCAGAGGCAATATGTTTTAAGGCATTGTTGAAAGTGGAAACTAAAAGAATTCAAATAAAAAGAAAAATTTAACAACATCTCTTGTTTGAAAAAGAGACTTGGCAGGACGGAGAAAAGATTCCACTTCATACATTTTTACATCATGTGACATGATATTTTTGGATCAAGTGAGTGAGTGAGTGAGTGAGTTTGATTTTACGCAGCTTTTAGCATTATTCCAGCAATATCACGGCGGTGGACACCAGAAATTGGCTTCACACATTTGGATCAAGAAAGCAAGACCTACTCTATGATTTTTTAACAACTTACCCTTAAGGAAATGCATGTAGAGAATAATTTGTGGGTATATTTTGGAGGCAGCAATATTTCAGCTATATATCAATCAAGCCTGGACCAGACAATCCATTGATTGATATATCAATTATCATGAAAGATTGGAAACAAAACCAACAAAGTCCCAAATATCAACCACCCAATGCATTAAGCCACCTTGGACATTAGGTTGCTAGGGACAAACAATAATCTGAAATTCACAGAGGGGCACTGAATATCAGAAGCTTCTATAATAGTATAGCTATACAATAACAAAGTAAGGTCCCAATCAATAAAAGCAGAGACCATATAATAGTCTATTATATGGTCTCTGATGTAATGCTTAAAGGTCACATGCAACCAAAAAATCAAACATAATTAAAAAACAATTATCACTTCTTCATGACATATAATATGCATTGCTGATTATGAAAAAACAAATAAACAAAATTATAATTATAAGCGTATAATCGCAAATCAAAAGTGCAATATTTTGTACTTGGGTCTGCCTCCCTCGAAACGAAGCAGCCGGGATACCGAACCCAGTCAGAGCGGGTGGGTGTGCACTCAAGTGTAACGGCTGGTTCATTAGCAGATGCCGCCTTCACGTCTCTTTGTGTGTGTATATATAGAGATGTTGGGTTTTGTAAATACATGCTCATTTTTTGTGTATAACATTTTGCAATCAACAGACATCATAACATGTCATGTGTTCAACTATCACACCTGCCTGTCTGTGTAATTACATAATGTGACAGAGACCGAACTCGGGCCATAAATCAATGCATTTTGTTTATGGTGTATAGCCTGATTGGTGTTAAGTTCAAATTGCATGTGGTCAGTGATAGCAGCTGTGTATTGAATATTGTCATTAGCAGACAGGCAGGCAGACACACAGGTGTCAATAAAACAAGACAAACGCAACCGGTGAAATCCCGCTAAGGGAATTAACTCTCGGCCCGGATATTACGCAATATTGTTTACGTGGTTACCAGAGTGCTCATTTGCGAATGTCTGCGCATTTGTTGCGCATGTGTACCAGTAGAGGGAAGTTAGCAGCAGGGTGTCGATGTGTGTCAGTTACATGCCAGGCCGTAGCGCTGATGGTTAGTGATAAACTGTTGGGGAGGGCCGTCCCTCTATTATATGGTCTCTGATAAAAGTTAATATTCTCCAAAATGAACCCAGTGAGCCCAGTATTCACCACCCTGGCTACTCAGTATAGTCCTCTATACAACACAATGCACAATCACAGATCAGACAGCTTAAGTCAATAAGCCTTTTATACCACAATGAACTGTCAATATGACTTGACAGAAGCATATTGGTTTAGTCAATAGCTGTATATTAACAACTGGACCGACTCTCAGTTTGAATGGCAGTCAACTTCATTTAATCATACAGAATATTTGTGTTGACTTTTCAAAAGACCAATCAACTTCAGTTAATCATATAGGTGTATTAGACAGTGTGTCTGGGGGGTTACAGATCTTAAGACCTCGAAAGCAAATAGTCGCCTGGTCTTAAAACAAATTACTTCTTCAGCTGGCCAAAACTGGGGGTCTGCTGGCGCTTGCAGGTGGGTAAATAAATGAATATTATGATGTCATACCAGGTGAGCAGCAGTTAAAGGATTTCAGAACTTAGCCAGAATACTACTAGCTTAATAATAATAATAATGTGCCCATTTATATAGCGCCAAACTCCACACTAGGTATGCTTATAGCGCTAACAATCAAGGCACAGCACATTATTACCCAGGATAACCCAAGCTGCCTGTTAGGTGCTAGAAGGTTATAGTCATATGACTTTTTCCACCGGGTACCCATTTTCCTGCTGGGTGAACAGCGACAATTTTGAACAAACTCACTTGCCTAAGGTGAGACCACATGTATCACATGTGCTTCGTTGTGGGGCAGGACTCAAGTCCTAGAAACTCTCAGGAGTCAAGCTGCCAAACATGGTCACCCATCCAAGGACTCTCCGAGCTCGACGCTGCTTAACTTCACCGATTTGTGACCTGAGCTTTGAGCACAAGACCACGCGCCACCAGGTAAACAGTTTACACAGACCTACTGTCCCCTCCAAAACACAACCCTTGCCTACAGGGCAACTTGAGTTTTGAAACCTAGTGAGTGTTTTGTAATTGAATTAGCTGGATCTGAATAAAGTGAAATATGTCATTCCTTGGCAACTGATTGGCTAACTAAACAATATTTGTTGTGATTAGGCATCCATAAACCGAAAAAGAAATAAGCCGCATCAACTGACAGACTGTTTCTTGATTGGCTGACAACAGTGAGTGAGTGAGTTTAGTTTTACGCCGCTTTTAGCAATATTCCAGCAATATCACGGCAGGGGACACCAGAAATGGGCTTAACACATTGTAACCATGTGGGAAATCGAACCCGGGTCTTCAGCATGACGAGTGAACGCCTTAACCACTAGGCTACCCCACCGCCCCGGCTGACAACAGAAGGGATGGACTTGTGCTGCATAATGTGCCGAATAATGTCACAGATTTTGTATTGTTGTCAACAGTTTTTTTGTTGGTCGTTGAGGCCAGACAAATTTTATTTCTTGTTTTACGGATATTAATCCTTAGAAAACCTAAAGGCAGGAGGGAAAAAAAATATTTAAAAATCTAAAAAATCACTTGTCAAAGTAATATTCCTCTTAAATACTAAAAGTATTTTAGTTTTGGCAATTTATGAAGTGCATATGGGGCAAAAAACAATCTAAAAGATTTCCTGTAACTTCACATTTTTGGCCAATAATACTTTAGGATTTTATTTTTTGAGCGGGGAATATATATACATGTATATATTTTTGCTTATTCTTGATAAAATACGACTGGCGGATCCGTAAAACAAGAAATAAAATTTGTCTGGCCTAAATAAGCAGTATGAGTAAATGGATCGGGAGTAACGTTGCCTTTAACAGTTATATCATGGTGCATAAGCTTCATTTGGAAGGAAAGCCCAAAGTGATGCCTTAGCAGACACTTAGTTTCACCTCGACTCACAAACACAGGGACCCCTAATCATTAGTTTTAAGGGTCCTTGTGGGCTATGCAAGGTTCCTCTGAAGTAACAGTGTACAGAACTGTATGCTTTGCTAATTTCTTCAGAGCCTTCATGAATCATTGATAATGTGGACTGATGGATGAAATAATGCATGTAACTGCTCTGAAAGAAACAGCCAAACACTCAGCAAAGTCACAGATGTGTTGTGGGTACAGTGATTAATATTGTGCCTCGCTCTGGACGCAGTGAATGGATTTCTGTGTCCATTCTCTACATCTGTGCGTACTGGACGCACATTTGCGAGTGGTGTAAAACCCTGACTCTGGCGAAAACGAATGTGGCTGACAAACAAAGTATCATTAGAAGAACAGATTGAAACAGTAACAGCTGATTCTGACACTACTAAGGGACACAACTCCTTAAAGCAATTTCTGCCTCTTAAACTCGGGTATATCATGATCCCTGTCCATCTCCTGACAGTATGAACCTCCCAGTGCAATGTAGCTATCTATCATCTTCATCACGATGGTGTTTGTTTCCAAAGGAAGAGAAAAAAATAACACAACTGACAACATAGTAGATCTATCTTTTTATTTCATAACAATTATAAATAATATTATAAAAAAATCTTCTAAATATTTTTACAAAATATAAACTATATGCATATAACTAACAAGGTATCATTTGAACACACGAACAAATATAGAGGATCATTAAATAGAATAAAACAGATGACAGATGAGCTAACATTGCACTGAGCTGAAGTGACGAAGATGGTACATCTAACAGAATTTACAATACACAGCCTACATTCGAAACACATGTAACACACACAGGGTTAAAAATCAGTCAAATTGTTTTTTCACCAGTTTTCAAAAATAGAGTTGGCTACAGAGTTGCCATCTTGCTAACTGTGAAACTGTTGGTCAGTTGAGGATTTTTCTTGTCTCAAAAAATCTTGTAAAGTTAATTGGAAACCCTGACATAACGTTGACAAACATGTGACGTAAAAGTTACATGTTAGGTAAGACACCATTGTTTATAAAGAGTACCCTTAACAGTGAGATTCCATTGGTCAACTATTATGCTGTTTCACAGACAACTAGATATGTATGCTGTAGAACTACAGAGTATTATATTGTTGGACATCAAATTATTATACAGGAAACTGAATATGCCAATCACAATCAAGCATTCAGAATCAAGTCTTGGTAGGATTGGAACTAGTTGTCAGGACAAGTGTACTAGTACTTGTATTAGTTGTATATCACATGGATCTAACATTCCCCTAACATGTAAACTACACGTGATATTGAGATTGTAATATATTGACAAATATTTCATTTCATTAACAAATCCTGAATTTCAGGGGTGGAAATAACTTTAAAATAGCTAGTGTACTCCGGTACAGTGGCACATGTAAAATCACTTGCCCTGATAAGTTTTCCACTATACCGTCCGTTTTCTTGTTGATTTTTTAAATAAACAACATTATTAACATTGGAAAGTTAACTGGACACCGGTACAGCGTGATATACAAATTTGCTTGCCCGACAGAAAAAAACACTGGACTCGGATGTCGGGCAATGGGTTATTTCCACCCCTGAATTTATATAACTTACTCCAGTTGTGAATACCTGCTCAACATTTGCACAAAAATGTGTGTATTGCCATCATGGCACGGTCTGAGGCCAAATAAAGAATCATCGAGTGTTTTCCCTGACCTCCACTAGTTAGTAAGACAAGATCATCAACAGATTCATAAACAATAAGTCATTAAGTATTTGGGACCAGAGTGAGAATATAACCATGGAATATTGCTGCTATATAAAGCACAGTAAAATACACTGAGATCTGTGGTGTGATATGAGAAATATAGCACTGGATATAAGTATGATATAAACATATATACCAGCACTAAACGAAATAATCACAGCCAACATATATATCACGAGTATATCAAGCTTCATATGACCTTGTGAGGAAATAAACAGAAAGGTCATATAAGGGACCGTTCATAATTTATAGCTAGTGGGGTGATGATGATTTTTATGGAGAAGCATGTACAATGTGAATGACCCCTCCTAAAATTTAAGTACAAAATAAGTGACCCCCCGTGCATGTCATGTACAAAATCAATGACCCCTCCTCCCTTTCCCATAATTTTTAAACATAATTTTAAACATATTGTTAAGTACAAAATTGCTGACACGCTAGTACGTGAGTGCAAAATTGCTTACCCCCCACCCCATCCGGAGATCCCCAGAACAAAATGGGTAACCCCTCCTTAAAATCATCGTTGCGACCCCCTTAAAAATATATAACTGAAAACTTATTAGCTATCTTGTTGTGTTAACTAAAAGCCTATCTGGTGGCCCACGAGAATCCCGTGACAAGACTAGTTTCAAATCAATTTTCTATACGAGAATCACAAGTCTAAGAAAAGAAACAGGTCATTGCTTCTAACTACAATTGTTATTTCATATGTACAGTATCAAACATGAAAGTTTGTCACTACAATTCACGTCAATATTAAATATAAATGTCAATTCTCATAAATAAAATAAGTCAGCAATAGTCATAAGAACTTCACAGACTTCATATTGAATCGTAAACAAAGCAACCTGTAAACAACATGAAACCAGTGAAGTCATTCAGTACAATGATGCAACACAAACCTCACCCACTTATCACAGCCAATCAGGACCTCACCCACTTATCACAGCCAATCAGGACCTCACCCACTTATCACAGCCAATCAGGACCTCACCCACTTATCACAGCCAATCAGGAAACAGTAACGTGCTAGTGTGTGTGGCCTAATTGTTTTCTCAGACTTATGTATATTTGCAAAAATATTTAATCAGTACTACTTAATCAAATGACATGGAATCATTCTATATAACCAAATGAACATAATTTTAAACACAGACCAATTTATAACATTATTAGTAATCAGTTCACCTCATCTGTTCAGCAGAGCCTGGCTACACATTAAACACAATCGTTTCAGTATTTGTATACTAGTGTTGGTAATTGGTGTAAATCTCATAATTGATGATTGGTTCATTACAACCGATCAATCATCGAAAATAATTGGTTAGCGTCATTTATCAAATTTTCCTGGTTATGTTTGTTAATGCACAAAAAATAAAGAAAAAACATGTAGTTCTCTCGGGTTTTTTCGCAAATTGCACAAAATATATTTGCAAATTTCACATCTTTAAAGGATGACTAATGTGTTAGGAACATACATTTCCTGGAGTTGTTAAGATAAACTTAATCATGACTTGGAACGAGCTTGTAGTGCTTATGCAATGTCGAGAAAAAATCAACCTTTTGAAAAATATTGTTATTGCAAACAAGTGCTCCAAAATTGTTTGTGTTTGATTATGAGAAAACATGATCTATTGCTTGGTCGTTTTGTCATTGCGACCAATCTTCGATTATTTCAATTAATCGGACCACCACTATTGTATACAAGTCATGGATTGATCTAGCTGTATTCACAGCTGAATATTTGGCCTCATGTTTGAACAAATGACAGGATATCCAAACTGGAATTAAACATCTGCAAGTCATGTTGTCATGGTAATAAGTAAAGTTACTGCATTGCAAAGGTGACTTGAACTGATAACAGGACCAATAAACACAAAGCTGAAATGTCTAGTTTAACATTTATGAACTGAATGAAATGTTACAACACCCTGAACACATGATAACAAGGAATATTAAGGGAATTCCAAATTTCACACAAAATTCGATTTTATCAATACTGTCCAACAAAGGCACTTAGTTTGGAATCCTAGTGTCACATGACCAATGTCACATGACTGTCACATGAGTGAGTGAGGGAGTGAGTTGTTTTACGTCGCTTTTAGCAATATTCCAGCAATATCACAGCAGGGGACACCAGAAATGGGCTTAACACAGTGTACCCATGTGGGGAATCGAACCCGGGCTTTGGGCGTGACAGAGTGTCACATGACTGTCACATGCAGGATTCCATATTAAGTACCCTTGGAAGGTAAAACAAAAAAATAATTTTCTTGAAAATTTGGATAATTTAAAATTTTAATCTGTTTGAATCTCGATACCATTAACTTAACCTCTTCACTGGTTCTGTGACCACTCGGTTTGACAATGTTTGACAGTCTGATATTACAATTACAATAACGTGAACATTTTCTTATTCCAGTTTGGAAAGTGTTAGGTCAAGGTCAATCCCTGTACATGATAAAAGTCAAGTGACTACCACAGCTGAAGGCTAGAGCTGAGCGGCACTGCTACAAAACCCGGCCCACGGCGCCTGTAGAATCGTTTCGGATGGAAAGTGTATTTCCTGCCATCAGCCCAGTGGGTTTTAGAGAGAAATGGCGAACGTTTGCTGTAGCGAGGAGAGTAGATATCAAACATACTGTCATACTCCAGGGGTGTGTATATATCGTATTTATCCCCCCATGCCTTCAGTGTTTCCTTACCAACAGGAGACGGGGCATACGTCAGGTTATTCCGCCGTTCTCGCAGCCTCTCTCTGGCATCCTGGAGTCTCTGACGTTCTTTCTTCAGGTATCTGGAAACACAGACATGAACTTAAAGGCACAATGTCGCACATTTTCTACAATATTTTGGATTATATTATATATATTGGGGCATATGCACTCACTTTAGCTTCCTATTGATGAAAATAAAAGGATTAATATCCCTTACGACTTGCCTGGAATCGATAATTGAAACTTCGAGGCAAACAACTTCCAAACAGAACACTTTGCCATATATGGAATGTAAACAATTGCTCCTTATATCAAAAACTGTCACAATCTGGGTGTTTGCCAAACTGGTTTCAATCGCAAGTTGTGCGTAAAGAGCGCTCCAAGGGACATAACTCTATGGAGTTAGCTTAAAATAATGTTTGGCTGGTAGAGGTTGTGAGAGTAGATTTAATGCAACATTGTATTAATTCAATCGAACTTTTTTATCTAATGCTGTAATCTTAGTAAAATCTAAATATTTTTTTTATATTTGTTTACTTCTCCTGCACTACTTACTTCCTGCGCTTATTGCTTACGACTCAAAACGTGGCTGTGCCAGACGATTGATGTTCAAAGTTAATAGTGATGAAAACTATCATGTTCATCACAAACACCATCACTACAACAGTACTACAAACAAAGACGAAACAGAAGCGTAATACCTACACTCTCTGAAGAACAAAGGAAAACAACCAAAAGTCAGTTTATTATCAATAAACAAAATTCATAGGATACAAATCAGTCGAGCTGGCAAACCACACGTCTTGCGAGGCGTGCGAAAAGCAATAATCTGAGGTGGCTGACGTCACCTTCCGGTGATGCGTGCGCAGACGGATGTTTACCCGAGACCAGGAAGTGATCTCAGTCTACCCTTTTCAACATCAATCATCTGGCACAGCCACGTTTCGAGTCGTAAGCAATAAGTGCAGGAAGTAAGTAGTGCAGGATTAGTTAAAAATTAAATGCATAATTTTGGGGGGAATAAATTATATGGTAGCTTCCCTGAAGGCTGATAGTTTGTATCATTGAGAGAAATGCAATTTTTATTTTTAGAGAAGTGTAGCGTGATATAGTGCCTTTAAGCAGATATTCTATGAGGCCATCTATAACATACAGACATTCACAGGGAGCAAATCAGACATTCTGAGAGTGTACCTGTGATATAGTGCCTTTAAGCAGATAATCTATGAGGCCATCTATAACATACAGACATTCACAGGGAGCAAATCAGACATTCTGAGAGCGTACATTCACAAGGGCTTAATAGCCATCCTCAGAGTATATCTGTAACACATGCAAATTCACAGGAGCTCAAAAAAATGCTTTCAGAAAGGGTCTGAACATTTTTTCTAATGTACTTCATAAGTTGTAAATTCAGCTTACTGTATTTTCAGCGACGCTTCTTGTTGTGCGAGGGAGTGCTCCTTCGTGCGATGATACATGATGTCATTCATCGTCCCTGATCCCAGAGGAGTGTCATCTAAAGAACAAACACAACATTAGGGCACTGATCAAGTGATGTCTTCAAAAATGCTTTCACCTTTAAGTTACAGATGGGAAAGTTTTCCATCAGTCAAAAATAACCGTAGGTGATTTCAGGAGAGACAAAACAAACATATCTCGTTTACAGGTTTTCATTACAATGCTAAAGACAAGACAACACAAACATGTATGGTTTATGAGTCATAACACAATGCCAGGAACCACACAACACCAACATGTATGGTTTATGAGTCATAACACAATGCCAGGAACCACACAACACCAACATGTATGGTTTATGAGTCATAACACAATGCCAGGAACCACACAACACAAACATGTATGGTTTATGAGTCATAACACAATGCCAGGAACCACACAACACAAACATGTACAGTTTATGAGTCATAACACAATGCCAGGAACCACACAACACAAACATGTATGGTTTATGAGTCATAACACAATGCCAGGAACCACACAACACAAACATGTATGGTTTATGAGTCATAACACAATGCCAGGAACCACACAACACAAACATGTATGGTTTATGAGTCATAACACAATGCCAGGAACCACACAACACAAACATGTATGGTTGATGAGTCATAACACAATGCCAGGACTCACACAACACAAACATGTATGGTTGATGAGTCATAACACAATGCCAGGAACCACACAACACAAACATGTATGGTTTATGAGTCATAACACAACGCTAGGAACCACACAACACAAACATGTACGGTTTATGAGTCATAACACAATGCCAGGACTCACACAACACAAACATGTATGGTTGATGAGTCATAACACAACGCTAGGAACCACACAACACCAACATGTATGGTTGATGAGTCATAACACAATGCCAGGACTCACACAACACAAACATGTATGGTTGATGAGTCATAACACAATGCCAGGAACCACACAACACAAACATGTATGGTTTATGAGTCATAACACAATGCCAGGAACCACACAACACCAACATGTATGGTTTATGAGTCATAACACAATGCCAGGAACCACACAACACAAACATGTACGGTTTATGAGTCATAACACAATGCCAGGACTCACACAACACAAACATGTATGGTTGATGAGTCATAACACAATGCCAGGAACCACACAACACAAACATGTACGGTTTATGAGTCATAACACAATGCCAGGAACCACACAACACAAACATGTATGGTTGATGAGTCATAACACAATGCCAGGAACCACACAACACAAACATGTATGGTTTATGAGTCATAACACAATGCCAGGAACCACACAACACAAACATGTATGGTTTATGAGTCATAACACAATGCCAGGACTCACACAACACAAACATGTATGGTTGATGAGTCATAACACAACGCTAGGAACCACACAACACCAACATGTATGGTTGATGAGTCATAACACAACGCTAGGAACCACACCACACAAACATGTATGGTTGATGAGTCATAACACAATGCCAGGAACCACACAACACAAACATGTATGGTTTATGAGTCATAACACAATGCCAGGAACCACACAAACATGTATGGTTGATGAGTCATAACACAATGCCAGGACTCACACAACACAAACATGTATGGTTTATGAGTCATAACACAATGCCAGGACTCACACAACACAAACATGTATGGTTGATGAGTCATAACACAATGCCAGGAACCACACAACACAAACATGTATGGTTTATGAGTCATAACACAATGCCAGGAACCACACAACACCAACATGTATGGTTTATGAGTCATAACACAATGCCAGGAACCACACAACACAAACATGTATGGTTTATGAGTCATAACACAATGCCAGGACTCACACAACACAAACATGTATGGTTGATGAGTCATAACACAATGCCAGGAACCACACAACACAAACATGTATGGTTTATGAGTCATAACACAATGCCAGGAACCACACAACACAAACATGTATGGTTTATGAGTCATAACACAATGCCAGGACTCACACAACACAAACATGTATGGTTTATGAGTCATAACACAATGCCAGGACTCACACAACACAAACATGTAAGGTTTATGAGTCATAACACAATGCCAGGACTCACACAACACAAACATGTATGGTTGATGAGTCATAACACAATGCCAGGAACCACACAACACAAACATGTATGGTTTGGGGGCTTTAACAAATTGAGACACAAATTTACAAAAATGGGGGATGAATTACCACTCCAGTAACCATCCAGACATAACGGTATGACAAAAGCTAAATTATGGTTGTTGTTTTTTCAGAAAAATACCGAACAAGCCACTAAGATCACTGAACGATAATTTCCCAACAACCTCCTGAAACTGTACCTGACAAACTGTTTCTCATACTCTCATACTCACAAAATCTCATTTGCACATTCAGTAATACCTTCTCATGAACAAGCTTGTTGTATAGATAAATATTAGCCTATGGTTATCAATATTGCACAGAAAAGGTGAGGTGAAATGGGGTTTAATGTCGTACTTGAAAATATTTCGCTCATATGACAACGTGCATGCATGTTTATGTGTATGTGCGGCTGCTTGTACTAGCCCAGACTTAAGCTGGTTTTATAGTGCTAGCCCACTCAGATACCATGCCGCAGTGAAGCATGAATACCCCACTCAGACACAGTATACTGACTCCGAGCCGACCAGTCCTTGTTGTACCCATTAATGCCGAACGCCAGGCAGGGACCAACAAGTACCATATTTTAACGTCTTTTGGTATGACGCGACTGGGGATCGAACCCGCGACCTTCCGCTCTCCTGACGGACGCTCTAACCACTACACCACGGAGGTGGTCTCACAGAAAAACTTTCACAGTGTTAATTGCTTGATCTCACTTATTTGTCCATATCCTATGAATAACAGGAGATCCTGTATCACATTCACAGGAAATGTAAACACTGAATCCTGTACAACCAAGAAGCCACTGGAGGGACTTACTGAATCTCCTGGTGTTCTGTTTCCCATACAGTCTCTCCACCTCATTGTTCAGGATATAGTTCCTCTTGCCCAGACGATGCTGTGAAGAGAGACACACTCGTAATGATGGAATGAAAGGCAAAAAGACTGTTTCTGATGTATGAATGAGAGTAGGGTTGCAACCACTTTGTAAAGTGTTCCAGTAAAGTCACAACCAGTCAGCTAGATGTGGGAGGAAAGTCTGGAGGGATGAGGGTGGAGGGGTAACTTGGTGGCTCGTCACGCCGAAGAGTTGAGTTCAATTCCCCCTCGGGTACAGTGGGAGAAGCCCATTCCTGTGTTCCCTGCTCTGCTATCGCTGGAATATTGCTAAAACAGCATATAAACCTGAAGTGTGCTTCTCACTATATATTAAGCATCTCTTGGTTTCCCGGAATAACCGCATTTGAGCTTTTAATTTGCTCTCAGGTTTTACTTTTTGTAATTTCACTCCTCCCTCAGTTTTACATTCTTTACCAAAACTCGGGGGCATTTTCTCCTATACATAAAACCCAACTCACTCACTCACTGGAGGGATGCACTGTTGCTCACTTCTTTCATCAATGTATTTGGTCACATCATAAACCCTGTCTTTAATTTGATGCTGGCATTTAGTATTTTATTAATGGAAAGCTTGCGACAGTTCTTCAATATAGTTTAAGCATGTTAAATTATTTCATATTCAAGGGAAGAATATTTTTCTTACATCTACTCCAGGAAGCAGGTCAGTCAAGGATTGGGGGTATATTAAAAAATCAGCAAATATTTTCCCCACCATGATACGCTGTGTCCTCTCCTCCTCCACATCATGTAGGTGTTCGATGTGACCCAGGATCGACGACTGCTCCATCATCTGCTGTTCCACTTTCTCGATCTGACTCTGGATCTTGTTGATCTTATTCTGCTGGATGAACACCTTGTCCACCGGATCCATGATTGCTGAAACACAGTTACCATGGTTAATGGAGATTTATCCAGGCCTGCTCAGAGGCTGATATTCTGCCTTAAGTCTTCAGCAGAAAGTTGTAAACATTTCAAACTTAAATTGAAGGAATTCTATTTTCTAGAATATATGCACTTTTTAAATTATCCAATTTTTTTCACAATCACAATCTTTTTCCCAATTTGTCAGGCAAAGGCATTTAGGTTGAAAGAAAAAACCTTGGTCACACAATCTCATTTACACATTCAGCAATACTTCTCATAAACAAGCTTGTTGCATAGATAAACATTAGCTTTTGGTTATCAGTATTGCACAGAAACTTTCACAGTGCTAATTGCTTTATCTAACATATTTGTCCATATGGCCAGAACAATTTTATTTTTTGTTTTACGGATTTTTGTCCTCAGAAAACCGAAACGCAGAAGGGAAAAAATTAAAAATAAAAGTAATATCCCTTTCAAATACTAAAAGTATTTTACTTTTGGCAATTTATAAAATGTATATGGGGCAAAAAACAATTAAAAAAAACATTTTTTTTGTAAGTTTACATTTTTGGCCAATAAAAACATTAGAATTTTATTTTTTGAGCGGAGAAAATTAATATTTTTTCTTTTCTTATTCTTGATAAAATACGACCGGCGGATTCGTAAAACAAGAAAAAAATTAATCTGGCCTATCCTATAAATAACAGGAGATCCTATATCACAGGAATGTAAATACCATCCAGTTGCGCTATCATCATAAGGATTTGGACGTCATAAGTTTTCAGATGGAAGTGAGTGAATGAATCTAGTTTTACGCCACACTAAGCAATATTCCAGCTATATGGCAGCATTCTATAAACGTGATAAATAATCGAGTTTGGATCAGACAATCCAGTGGTCAAAACAGCATGAGCATCGATCTGCACAATTGGGATACAATGACATGTGTCACCTCTTATGACAAGCATGGCTTACTGAAGATCAGTTCTAACCCGGAACTTCACAGGTTCAGATGGCAGTGCTCAACAACGGATGTAGCATCACTCTTACAATGTAAAGTCTTGAATGACTGTGCTTGTGTTTGGGATAAAGTTAATATCTTTAATCACTTAGCAACATGTTTTATAATTGTTAGTGCACTAATCGAGACACACTTTAATGTTCTTAAGTGTCCAATAACCTGTAACACAAGGATAAATTATAAGGACATTTTCACAAGCTTATCAATAATAGGAATTACACTTGCTGGATTATAAGTTTTAAAAAAGAATTAGTTTAATTTATTAGTATTATGTACTTCATCAGATGCAGCAGTGGCTGTTTAATAAATTGTTTGACATCTTTGGTCTTGTGTGTTAAGTTTGTTTGAAATCGGTGCCAGATGACTCATAAATTGATAAAATCACAACTGCGCTTCACACATTCTGACATTGCAGCGAAGCTACTTAACACATTCCCTAAAATGAAAATGATTCAAAATGTCATGAAACAAAGGTCTAAACATCTGGGAAAGGCGCAGATATGACTGCCAAACACAGCACTTCCTCACTGGTCTAATCTCAGTACTTTGGATCAATTTATGTTGTCTAAACACGCACCTGTTGGTTGAAGTTGAAACTGTACAGCTGGTTTGGGTCTTTCTTCTCGATTAATTCTTCCCCATTGTGATTAAGAGGTACGTCCCAACCATTCACCGCTGATAAATGCACGTTGATAAGATATCCAACTACATGGTTTGTGTATTAGCTAATCCATCATATGAAGTGGTTGCCGTCACTCTATTGAAGACGCCATTTTCAAACAACTTTCGCTGTCAAGAGCGAGATTTCCAATCACGCATTATCATTGGTGGATCATCAAGGGGCAAGTAACTCTGAGGAAAACACACATATTGATCAATGCGCACGTAATATGAATATTTATTACCCATAAGGTGCAACATAACCGGTGTCATATATACCATAAGTGCACACGTGCACATCTCACTTTTGCTTGGCAACCATCGTTTTTGTATTTCGTCATCTGTGACGTCATTAAGCAATTGAACGTGACGTCAATGAAGATTGCCATCACACTTGCTTACAGTAATTTACTGCACAAAATTTTAATGTATATCTACATGCATAAAATGGATAAAGAAGAAACTATATCACTCACAGTTTGCTAAGGATCACAAACATTCACAACTTTACTTAAACATAGATTTATAATTTGAAATTTTATCCGTTTAAAACTAGATAAATAATGATATGGTAACCCGTCTTTGGACAAACAGCCACTTTAATCTAACCTTATGCACTTGATACATGAGTAACCATAAAAATGGCTTTTATGGCACCAATCAACCATTTTGCAAATCAGGGAACGAGTCATTGACAAGTACACAACACCTGTGAATAGCAGGTATGGGATCCACAAGATGCAGTGACATACTGAAACCTAGGATCCATGCTTACACTATGATAAGCTTAGATCTTTAAACCAAATTAGACTCCACATCACAGTTTTCTGTTGAATCAATGGTTTGATCCTTAGCAAAGTGTGAATAGTATATTACACTCGACCAAGTGTGTCATATGACTTATACGAAACTCGTACAAAATTATGTATTAGAAAATTTCACACTTGCTCACGTAATAATCTCTATATGCAAACATGAAAATTTCACTTTTTGTCATCCACTTTGATCTTGAGACAGTGCATTTTTTTAAAAACGTATGAATTATGTTTTCAGAATCTAAGTACTGTTTGTGTTACAAGCGTTTGACACATAATGGTGAAGAAATTTACGCCTAAATAATTATCATATGGACATTCACAATATTATATGAAACTGCAGATGTACCATTAAGTCTCACGTGTTTAAAGCAATCGCCGTTTCTTCTGATTGCTGCTGTCAGAAAAGAGAAGATTGACTATAAACGTAGTGTGGTCAATTGCTTATTTTATAAAGTTTTCTAGGTTCAGGTCCGGTGGGGTAGCCTAGAGCGTTCGCTCGTCACCCAGTGTCGATTCTCCACGTCGGTTCAGTAGGTGAAGCCCATTTCTGATATTGCGGGATATTTCTCGCATAAATATGTTTTTATGTATGCTCTGTAGAAGTACATGGTCATGTAATATACTGGAAAATCATTACTTGAAATTGTTGGCGTTTAAGTTTTCCCAGAGGTTCTCCTCTTCACACAGCTGAGGCAGAAATAGATTTCCACGTAAAATCTCACTTGAGTAATCAATTTGATCACTAGCATAGCTTCCTGCAGTGTTTGATAGGAGGATAATCATGTCCATATTGTCATGTGGTTGTCATGATTGTCAGTTGTAAGGGACGGTTCATAATTTAGGGGTGGGGTAAGGTTGGGGGTTGGGACGCGTGGGTACTTTGGGGGTTGGGGTGTGGGTGTGGGTTTGTTCTGGGGAGGTAGGGGGAGGTGTGTATGTGTGTGTGTCGGGGGGCGAAGCAACAATTTTGTACACATGTAGTAGGGGGTCATTCACATTGTACATGCTGCACCATAAATAATCATCATAACCCCCACCCCCAGCCATAAATTATGATCGGTCCCTAAATCGTCATGTCTGAACAAACTAATGACTGATGTCATGAGTAACATTCCGCGTCAGTTTGGTAATGTGGCGCTATCTACCAGATCCATTTGGTTGCCTCGCACAAACACGTCAAGCTTTCCCTCTAACCCGGAGTGCATATGAACACCACCTTTAGCAATATTCTAGTTCTATCACGCCTGGAACACTAGAAGCGGACTGCATATACTGACGCTATTTGGGAATCTACCCGGGTCTTATAGTCTGTTTGCAGTGAAAAGGTACCGATGAATTTCACTTTAAACAAAAAGTAAATCAAATAAAGTGAAATTAAGACTGCGAATCCTCATAAATTTGCCTTGCCAGCTGAACATTTAAATCTCAGAATTTTATTCATTGTAGGACAAATGTTGTTTAACAAACGATCATAGATTCAAATCGCTATTATTGGTTTGTATTACAAGGAAGTGCGCGCAGTAGATGGAACAGTGAAACAAATGCACGTGCGGTTCGTGATGAGCGTTAACTTAGACCAACTCCACTTGTTCTCGGTGTTTCATTTAACGTGCATACACCCTTGTAATACAAACCAATAATAGCGATTTCAATCTATGATCGTTTGTTAAACAACTTCTATCCTAAGTTGAATAAAATTCTGAGATTTAAATGGTCAGTTGGCAAGGTAAAATTATGAGAATTCGCAATCTTAATTTCATCTTATTCGATTTACTTTTTTGTTTAAATTGACATTCATCGGTACGTGTTCAATGCAAACAGACTTTTGGCTTGACCACTGAACGCCTTAACAACTAGGCTGTCAGACCGCCCCACGTATGATCTCATCATTATGCAGCTCCGCCAGTAGGTAAATCTAAAATCATGATAACAGATGCTGGATAAGTAATATGTTTAACAATGCATAATGTAACATGTTATATTGTACAATGTAGCCACATAATAACACAGTAAGTGTTACTTGTGTTTGGAGTATTTAAATTTGAGCAATTAATATCTCGTTAAAAGAGTCATACAATCTTGTTCCTCGATCAAATAGCAACATTGTAAAAATGTAACTAGAAATGCTTTCCTGTACATGTCAATTTAATAATTTGATAAAAAAGAAGTATGTTATATATGTAATTTAAAAATAAAGGAAAGTTCTGTTATATTTCACATCGATTTAACCATTACTCATTCTTGCCACAGTTTATGTTAAAATACACTGGTGCGTTTAAGTAAGAAATGAATGTGCAGCCATATAATCCCGCAATATTTGAAATATTTGGGTGCGCCCAAAAAAGAGAAAATATTTATAAACTTTCAAAGATAAGATAACTGATATACCCTTCAACACTTGTATAACGAGTTCTTATAACTTAAAAAAACCACCTCATAAATGAGTGAGTGAGTTTAGTTTTACGCCGCACTCAGCAATATTCCAGCTATTTGGCGGCGGTCTGTAAATAATCGGATCTGGACCAGACAATCCAGGGATCAACATCATGAACATCGATCTACGCAATTGGGAACGGATGACATGTGTCAACCCAGTCAGCGAACCCGACCACCCAATCCCGTTAGTCGCCTCTTACCGTGACAAGCGTGGGTTACTGAAGATCAATTCTAACCCGGACCTTCACGGGTCACCTCATAAATCAAGTTACATGTATATTCAAAAAGACAAAAGCATATAGAAGTACTATTTGATTGCTGACTAAGCGCCGGTACAGCTTTTTTTCTGTTAATTGTATGTTATATTATGATAACTTTTTCTTCAGAGTTGCATGGTCAGTATATTAACTGGTGTGTAGTTTGTGTGGTTTTGACGTGATGTTGTTTGACTGTTACTGCTTTGGCTGATGACTTGAAAACAATGATTATACGTGCGCACTGGAAGTGATCTTGTGTCTTTTATGTAAGGTTATCAGTTCATAAAAGTGAGTGAGTGAGTTTAGTTTTACGCCGCACTAAGCAATATTTCAGCTATATGGCGTCGGTCTGTAATTAATCGAGTCTGGATAAGAAAATCCAATGGTCAACAGCATGAGCATCGATCTACTGGGATCAGATACCACATGTCATTGTAGAAACCACATGTACATAGGTCCCCTTCTCTCTCACGAGGGGCGGTGGGGTACCCAAATGGTTAAAGCGTCCGCTCGGTACGCCGAAGACCCGGGTTCGTTTCCCCACAGGGGAAGCCCATTTCTGGTGTCACCCGCCGTGATATTGCTGGCATATTGCTAAAAGCGGCGTAAAACCATACTCACTCTCTCTCCCACGAATGTTTCATTTGAAACTCACAATGTAGATCTTTGTTCATTAAGAATGTAGGTCTCCGGTCCATGCCAAAGTCAGGTTTTCTTTATGATGTGAAATATGGTAAATAAGGTACAAAATATGTTTAGTTGAACATTGATCTAGGGGAGATAACTCCATTTTCTTTAGTGGTATGCAAGATGAGCATGCCGTCGGAGTACCCGGGGAATAACTCCTGGGGGTTTTGTGAAGACGTTTGAAGGTTGTAATGGTTTCTGAAATAAATGGTTCAACTGCACAATCACAATGAGTTTCTGTTGACGCCTGTCCTTGGCATTAGTCGTGACGTGTTTGTTCAGATGACTTAATTTAATAATATATAATCTACGTGTTCTTTCGCGTTAAACGTCAGTAAGACATACTTTAAACATACGTTTGGCCACCAGTAGTTCAAAGTTTGTCTAAAGTATCGTAGGTCTTTTACAGGGAAGCATACACTAAACGCCGAAAGAAACGTTACCCTCCTTCCTTAATTACGGAGGTACCTATCTTTGACGTCCACTTCTTGGTCTGTCTAGGGTGACCCCAGTCTGTCTGTAGCGCTGTATAAGTCTTATATAACCGTGATAAGGTGGCATCCGAGGGCGTTCGCAACAGCATTTTATGCCGCTGTTAGCAATATTCCGACAGGGACACCAGAAATAGTCTTCACACATTGTACAATTGTAGGGGATCGAACTCGGGCTTTCGGCGTGACGAGCGAACGCTTTAACCACTGGGCTACCCTACTTTTAAAGGAGAGTCTGTTCTCCACGATTTAGCGAAACATGGAAACAATCCCGGGAAAAGGATTGCAAGTTCTGGCTGAAGGACGGTTAATCTGATTTCATCAGCAAGGGTCCACATTGCGCCATCGAGTTTATCTAACACCCACTTATCTACAGATCTCGAGACCCTGCAGTGAGACCTGACAGCTGGGTCTCTACAGGTCGCCTAGCGCCAGTATATAACTGAATACGGAACTCGGTAGAACGTCTCGTTGTCCCAGTGGCGTATTAAGGTAAATAGTAGTGTTGGGAATTGGTTAAAATCTCATAATTGATGATTGGTTCATTACAACCGATCAATCATCGAAAATAATGGTTAGCGTCATTTATGAAATGTGTTTATGCACAAAAAAATAAGGAAAAAAACATGTAGTTCTTGGGGGTTTTTTTTGGCAATATTTCACATCTTTAAAGGATGACTAGTATGGAGGAACATAAATTTCTTAGAGTCTTTAAGATAAATTCAATCATGACTGGAACGAGCTTGTAGTGCTTATGAAATGTAACAGACAAAACCAACCATGTGAAAAATATTGTTAATGAAAACAAGTGTTCCAGAATTGTTTGTGTTCGATTATGAGAAAACATGATCGATTGCTTGGTTGTTTAGTCACTGCGACCAATCTTCGATTATTTCAATTAATCGGACCACCACTAGTGTATACTACACATTATTATGCTTGTTATACCACCCACTGAGTGTGGTTCGAATCTCTTGACTATGGTTCTTGGTACGGTACATCCATACCCAAGGTGAAGGTCTAAAGCTAGGTTTCCATATGTACGTATTGTCTGCGTAATGCGCGGTGCGCAGTGCTTATTACGTGTGCGTAGTGTCCAATTCCATGTGTACGTGAGGTGAGGTGAAATCGGGTTTAACGTCGTGCTTGAGAATATTTCGCTCATATGACGACGTGCATGCGTGTGTATGTGTATGTGCGGCTGCTTGTACTAGCCCAGACTTAAGCTGGTTTTAAGTACTAGCCCACTGAGATACCATGCCGCAGTGAAGCATGAATACCCCACTCAGACACATTATACTGACTCCGAGCCGACCAGTCCTTGTTGTACCCATTAATGCCGAGCGCCAGGCAGGGACCAACAAGTACCATATTTTAACGCTTTTGGTATGCCATGTGTACGTTTATAAAGGCTATGTGATGCGTTTAATCAAGTCCTTCCTTTCCTGGAGATTGTATTGATCACAACTGATGTCTACAATGCCAGCTTGTTTCTCAAAGAACGTTAGAGAACTTACAGAAATAACAGAGTATGTGATGAGTGCAGGTTTATTGTACTGTTATGTGAAAACACGAAGGCCCGGTGGTGGGTGCGTGAACTCCTGATACAAAGAAGGAGGGTTCAAATAATTGTTCAGTATCCTGGGTACCGAATTCCTTGGCATTTTGCAACTTGTGTGCACAATGAAAACCACGTGACATTGGGAAAAAACCATGGGAATCCCTACCTCCGGCCTCCGTATAGCGGCGTGATGCGTGACTCTTTTTTAGCGTAAGCAAATTCACGCACTCCGCACTACGTATCACGCATCACGTTTTACGCGTGCATGGAAACCACTATTACTATTATAGTATAAAGTGTTGTATACGCATTACGCATCACGCACTGCGGCACATGGAAACCTGGCTTTAGACCCACGTCACTGTGACATGACTGAAATGTTGTTGAAAGCGGCGTTAACCCACACTCACTCACTCCACGCGTTCACTTGTCTTTTTGCAATAGCAAAACAGTAAAACGGCGTAAAACTATCACCTCGGAAAAATGGGACTCACCCGTAATGGATGTTACATCATAACAACCGTTATCTGTATGGACACTTTCCTCTTTGACATTCTTGGTACAGTACAGCTCATATACTGCCTTTGTCATCCTCATGGTCCTGTTGGCTGTGTTACTCTCTGTACTCTCAAGATCAACTGGAAGCGGGTTCGAATCTCTTTGCAGTCTAAATTTTCCTTGGTCATCATTCCTGGTGTTGGGTCTAACTGTTTGAGTGTGTCCTGCCGGGATTCGAACTCGAACCTAGACTCTAAGAATATGGCACGTAATCGCCACTTCGCAAAGTCAGCCATCTATCCCACTAAAAGAAGCATTGTGTATTCATAGCTTCATAGCCGGGCCAGACAATCAGCTGTCAGAAGGAATTTTGTATTCTCATTAATTGTTAGACTGATCAAGAACATGCGTTTGTTGTTTAACGTAGTGATGTTCAAGCTATTTAAATGAGAGAGTGAGTGAGTATGGTTTTACGCCATATGGTTTTATTCGTACCCGATATCCCTACAGTTACTTTTCTGAATACCCTTAGATCCTCGTCCATTGTAAAATTAATTGTATACACAATATAAGTAAGAGTTCTGAGTGACATTCATGCACCTTCCTGCAGGACTTCCATTGGTACCGACCCAAGTTCCCCATCACTCTCTTTTTCTATTTTTTCGCCATTCTTCAAATATTTGTTCTTGTTCGGTTTAAATATATGTAAACTGCAGGTTCGTCTGATTCTGACTCGACAAAGACAGGATGACATAGCTGGGATGTCACTTTTCAGGTCAAAGCTTTTAAAGTTCGCCAAATGCTTTAATTGTTCAGATGCTCGGGTGTCGAAATCTTCAACGAAGTACCATACTTTTACGCCGTGCAGAAAAATCAAAGCTTGAATAACCGAATTTCATATCCTTGACGTATCTCTACGAAAGGGGCGGTGGGGTAGCCTAGTGGTTAAAGCGTTCGCTCGTCAGGGTTAAAAGCGGCGTAAAACTGAACTCACTCACTCACTATCTCTACGAAAAGCAGCTAGACGAATTTGACTGTCAAAATCATATAACTATGAGTCCCCATCAAATACCGATGATATCTAGTGTCCTACTAGAGGCCGACTTGAAAAATTTCCCCACTTTTAAGAGCTTTACTGACTCATTACTCTGATCAAATACCTTTTTAAAGTGTTGTATGACGCTCTTTGAAATCTTCGTTGAGGAGACATTCTCGATTGTACCTCTATAGTTGTAAAATGTAGGACTAAGGTGTGGAGCTGTTCGGATATTACTTGTCATAACGTCGTGGTCACCCAACTTGCCATACGGTCTTATGAGTTGTATAATGTAGGACTAAGGTGTGGAGCTGTTTTAGTAACAATGTCCCGTGGTCACCAGGTTTAGTACAATGCCCGTCGTCACCAGGTTTAGTAACAATCCTCCGTGGTCACCAAGTTTAGTCACAATGCCCCGTGGTCACCAGGTTTAGTAACAATGCCCCGTGGTCACCAGGTTTAGTAACAATGCTCCGTGCTCACCAGGTTTAGTAACAATGCCCCGTGGTCACCAGGTTTAGTAACAATGCCCCGTGGTCACCAGGTTTAGTAACAATGCCCCGTGGTCACCAGGTTTAGTAACAATGCCCCGTGGTCACCAGGTTCAGTACAATGCCCCGTGGTCACCAGGTTTAGTAACAATGCCCCGTGGTCACCAGGTTTAGTAACAATGCCCCGTGGTCACCAGGTTTAGTAACAATCCTCCGTGGTCACCAGGTTTAGTAACAATGCCCCGTGGTCACCAGGTTTAGTAACAATGCCCCGTGGTCACCAGGTTTAGTCACAATGCCCCGTGGTCACCAGGTTTAGTAACAATGCCCCGTGGTCACCAGGTTTAGTAACAATGCCCCGTGGTCACCAGGTTTAGTAACAATGGATCGTGGATCAAGACATAAGTTTTTCGTGTGGGGAAGTGGTGTAAACCGTTGAAAATCCCATTATTTTGACAGAACTGAACGTGGATCGTTTCTCCTATTGTAAAACGTCATGCAAATTCCATTGAGACTTTTAAAATCTACATAGCATTAATTCTGTTTTTCTTAATGCCATAGGTAAAAGTATAAAGAATACCATTCCTTGACCATTTCAAGGATTACGGTTACTCTTAGACACATGTATTTGGTGGTACATTTGCTGGACCAAGCAGTACACGATAGAATTATGTCCCTTTGTACGGATTTGTATGGAGCTTTGTAACACGGCCAATATAAAAGAGAAATGGACATCTTCAGGTTTTAGAGTCAAATTTAATACTTGATATACTTGTGTATAATTTTGGAAATTTTCTTTCCCAGTTAACGCACTCGCCTTATGTGTACCATAATATTATTTTTATATCACGTATACCAATTTCATTGATCGAGGAACCCGTGAAGGTCCGGGTTAGAATGTACCTTCAGTAACCCATGCTTGTCGTAAGAGGCGACTAACGGGATCGGGTGGTCAGGCTCGCTGGCTTGGTTGACATATGTCATCGGTTCCCAATTGCGCAGATCGATACTCATGCTGCTGATCACTGGATTGTCTGGTGCAGACTAGATTATTTGCAGACCGCCGCCATATAGCTGGAATACTGCTAAACTCACTCACTCGCTCATTGATCGAGGTGCCGATTCGTGATGCTTAGATATTTGATTGTAATTCTGGCATTCCTCCTATATACATTAAACTGATTGGTCATACATAACTTGAATACTGTTCAAATGGGCGTTTAAGAAGATTCACCCATTCACGTTTTCTTTCATACAGTCTATCCATGATGAAGTTGTACGCCGTAATTGCCGCCGCACTAATTGGAGTCTGTGTTGCCGACATCGTGTACGGTGAGTTCATCCGACGTTAGACACATGTTCTCGTCTACTCTGGAAGGTGGCTGCGGGGTAGACGCGTTTGCTCTTTACGCCAAAGACCGGGATTGATTCCCCATATGGCCACTATGTGCGAAGCCGATTTCTGGTGTCCCCCACCGTGATGTTGCTGGAATATAGATAAAAGGGTGTAAACCCCAACTCCCTACACGAACGATGTGAGAGACTTTGCTCTTAATATCAATCATTGGTTTTTGTGGTCGAATATTTACAGATCAACGTCACATAGCTGGATATTGCCGAGTAACCTTCAAACATCAAAGAAAGAAACATACCTACATGCGAAGAAAAACTGTCACAATTTGACACCAGTCACTTGTGCCAGTATGTATCCCGGATGGCAAATGGTGCCCCCTGCCGTATTGTATTGTTATACTGCAAGCAGCGGCGTAAAATCATACTCACTCATTTATTCAATCGTTTTTAGCTACGGATCTTTCATGTAAGGGTGTGGCGGGGTGGTTTAGAGGTTAATGCGTTCGTTCATCAAGCGGAAGACCCGGCCTCGATTCCCCAGATGGTGTCCCCAACCATGATACTGTCCAAGAGCGTTCGTTGTGGTACTCTCAGATGGTAGTTCAAGAGGCGGAAGACAAAAGTCAGCAGTAAGGTTGAAGACAGCAGCAGCCACGTTTATTATGGTTGGGGAATAATGGTAGAAATGGTACATAAGATGGAAATCACGTGACAGAACGCACATCGGGACCGAGTGACCAATGTTCCCGATGTGGAGACCCGCTCTGTCACTTACACACATTCAGAAGTCGGACAGAGATTCTTCATCGTCGATAAGCCGCACAGTCCGTCCGCTTCGGTGGATGATCTGGGCCCGTTTCCTCGCCTCGTCTCTGACTGGTCTCCCTGCTTGGTCTCCCTGCTTGGTCTCTCTGCTTGACCATGTGAGTCCGCTTTTATGCATATAGGGGCATTACGCCACGTTGTGCAAGGTCACTGACCTGTGCACATGTACATACGTAAGATCCGCCGACGTGGGGAGGTGTTAATTGACATTTACTGATGGCATTGAGAATTAAGGGTCCTGCCCTGAGGGGGGTTTATGATAAAAGGGCTATACCGAATGATTGCTGAATACATTAAACATGCAAAGGGGATAGAATTTCGGTGCACTTTGGATATATATGGAAACAATTATGTTGTTTGAATATATGAAGTTTTACAGAAACTTATTGAAATGGTTTACTCTATGACAATACTGCTGGAACATTGCTAAAAGCAGCATAAGACCATAGTCACTTTCATGGAAGATTTACCGTTGACTAGCTCTGTGTGGTCTTTCAGAGGCCTGTGTTGGACCCAATGGTACCAAGTACAACGACGGTGATATTTGGACGACCAGTGACCCTTGTGCCAGATATATGTGTCACGTTGACCCACTTACACAAGAGTTCGTGGAGGTCACAAAGTAAGTATTCCATTGGGGTCCGGCATTACATGTCCCAGCATCCTATGCTTTCCTGGGAGACGACAAAACAGATCGGATGGTTACACGTGGTGATTTTATGAGTGATTTTGAGTGAGTGATTTTATGAGTGAGTGAGTGAGCGAGCGAGCCAAAGACGCAGGTTTTGATTCCCCACATGGGTACAATGTGTGAAGCCCATTTCAGGTGTCCCCTAACGTGATGTTGCTGGAATAATGCTTAAAGCGGATTAAACCTAACTCACTCACTGAAAATCATGAACAGGTTTGGTTGTAATATTCTTAATTCCATACTTCGAACTGATGTAAGAGTACTACTTTGTACCATGTCCATTTCCAACCAAAGAACAGGGTTTGAACCTCCTCCGAGCTGCCCCTACCCCACCCCTTTAAAAACAAAACAAAATACAGCCCAGACGTGGATGCTGTTTGTGTTTGCAGGTGCCCCAAGATTAACGTGACGTCCCCTTGTGGCCTGATGTCGTACCCCTACAAACAGTACCCGGACTGTTGCCCCTTCATGCAGTGCAACCCCGTCGGAAGCTACGTGTGGAACGCCCACGGTCACGGCAAGTAGCGTAGTCGTCATCTCTGTACATCTGACCATCGCTTCAGTAATAAAATGAAGAGATCCTGGACAGACAAAACTGGTCTTTCCTTGTGCGTGCGTGCGCGCATGCATGCTTGTGTCGCTGATTGTTAGGGGTGGGTATTGCAGAGAATATTCATATTGCGATATATTGCGATGTGAAAGCATGTATTGCGATATGTATTGCAATATATTGCATGAAGTATTTCTAAACAAAAACACTACTACAATCGAATTACAGATTGATTTATAGAGCAAAAACACAACAAAATCACTATGCTTGATTAAGCTTTAATAACAAATTGTAATCAGGATAAAATAAAAATGTGAATAATATTTGGCACAAATGAAACAAGGAAATACCCGAAGATTTCCGAGTGTTACGACGTTTTCCGAATGCAAGTCAAAATACCGGTTTCGATCCGCTTATCGCAATACGTATCGTTTTCATGTCTGAACCGGTAAATACCGGTAAACCGGTTATATTGCGCAGCCCTAATGATTGTAGTGTTCGGGACTTGTGCCGGTAGTTGAGGTGAAAATAGGTTTGATGTGGCGTTCAAGGTTATAGTGACGTGAGTGTAATGTGTGGTGGTTTGTGTTGTGTGTGTGGTGATGGAGTGTCTGTTTGGTGGGTAGTGTTTGTGCTGTTAATGCACGCACGTATGTAGGCAAGCACGTTGGCACACATGCAAGCTCACCTGTACTGGCAAACTTTATGGTTCGGGTGAGCAGGGATTTGAGTGAGTGAGTTAGTTTTACGCCGCACACAGCAATATTCCAAATATATGGCTGCGGTCTGTAACTAATCTAGTCTGGACCAGGCAATCCGAGTGAGTGAGTTAGTTTAACGCCGCACACAGCAATAGTCCAAATATATGGCTGGGTCTGTAACTAATCTAGTCTGGACCAGGCAATCCAGTGATCAACAGTATGAACATCGATCTAGGGATATGATGACGTGTCAGCGAGCATGGCCACCTGAATCTGATTGCCTCTTATTAGACTAACAACTAGTCTCTGTAATGAACATATTTTACTGAAAAAAAAAGTTCATAGTAAAAAAATATATATATAATGAAAAATAGACCTGAGACTTTCTTCATTTCCTGAAATCTAGACTTGCCACATTTTCTAGACTTGCGTGGGCTTTCTTGGAGGTGAGGTGAAACTGGGTTTTACGTTGTGCTTGAGAATATTTCGCTCATATGACGACGTGCATGCGTGTGTATGTGTATGTGCGGCTGCTTGTACTAGCCCAGACTTAAGCTGGTTTTATAGTGCTAGCCCACTGAGATACCATGCCGCAGTGAAGCATGAATACCCTACTCAGACACATTATACTGACTCCGAGCCGACCAGTCCTTGGTGCGCCAGGCAGGGACCAACAAGTACCATATTTTAACGTCTTTTGGTATGACACGGTCGGGGATCAAACCCGCGACCTTCCGCTCCCCGGGCGGACGCTCTAACCACTACACCACGGAGGCGGGTCCTTTCTTGGATATATTTCCTTCAGGGTCTGTAGGAGAGACTAGCCTCTTATGACAAGCATCCGTTACTGAAGACACATTCTAATCCGGGTCTGCACAGGTCCCAAATTACTGTATCACAATCAAATAGAAACAAGATACACATCATGTATGTATTCTGTTTATTAGTTTGTAAAGTTTATATTTTTCATGTGATATGGAATAACAACCCATGGCACAGAGCGCATCTTCCAGAGCGCATCTTCAATAAATTAACATATACAGTAGAATCAGATTTTTCTACACGGACAATTCAGTACATCTAATACTACAAGAACAATGTAACATCATAACATCTCCTGTTTCAGAGACAGGTCAGGTAACCTCCACAATAAGTTATACTAAAGTGTAAATGGAAAGTCAAGACATATCAGTCAGTCAGTGAGAAGGGTTTAAGTTTTGCCTTCGTACACACCTGTTACAAACAGAACTTAAAAACATGTTCTTGATGACATCTAACTTCATCAGAAATAAATTCTTTCAAAAACAAACATACTGCAACCACCTCCTCACTCAATGAATGAATGAATTTAGTTTTTAGCAATATTCCAGCAATATCACCGCGGGGTACACTAGAAATGGGTTTAACATATTATACCCACGTGGGGAATCAAACCCAGGCCCCGATTTCTCGAAACAAATTTAAGTTTTTACTCAAATTTCAAACTGAGTTTGACAATTTATAACAGCTGAATTTTTCACTCAACTGCATTTTTAAAATGAAAAAGCCCAAACAACTTAAGTAATCCATCCACCAAACTCAAATTGTCTAGTATGTTTGAGTTAATATCAATTTCAGTTCATTCTGCTAAATGCATTTTCTCTATTTGAGTAAAAACTCGAACTTAAGTCAAAACTCAGACTTAAGTTTGTTTCGAGAAATCGGGGCCAGGTCTTCGGCCCCTCTCTTCACTCGACAAAAAACAAAACAAACATCCAACATTCTGTGACTTTCAACATCAAACATTTGACTACAAATAAAATGGGGATCACAGATTCGATTATCCTTCCTCAGTAACCATGGCAACTAAGTAAACAACAGTAGAGTAAGTGTAAATGAGTCCAGTTCTTCAACTGTACAATAAACATTTAACAGGACACCACATCATAATATGGAGTTGGTAAAAAGGCAGCAATTTATATTGCTCATAACTTAGTGATAAATATTAACAATGAATATTGTAACAAGGAAGATGTAAACATACAAATAGAACCTAGAGGAACTCGCAATATGGCACTACCATCAACCACCCTCTTGCATCTGGGGCATTTCATCTTACCACAGCTCAAAAAGCAGGTACGGTATCTGTCGGACGGATGTTTGAAATCATTTAATCCTTGGTCTGCATATTGTCAAATGCAGACTGTTTCATGATACAAAGGTATATGAGGGAGATTACTTTGAATCTGTTTCATATAAGGGGAGATAACTCAGCTCCACTTAAAGTGGGACAACTCTAACACAGTCTCACGTAAGGGACCGTTCATAATTTATGGCTAGGGGGGCTGATGATAATTTTTATGGAGAAGCATGTACAATGTGAATGACCCCCCCAAAAAATTTATGTACAATATAAGTGACCCCCTGCATGGTATGTACAAAATCAATTACCTCCCCCCTCCCCATGATTTCTATTATAAAGCATAATTTTAAACATACTTCTATGTACAAATTGATGACTCCCCCCACCCAGTATGTGTGTACAAAATTGATGACCCCCTACCTCCCCAGAACAAAATGGGTGACCCCCTCCTTAAAATCATCACACACACCCACACACATACCCCATAAATTATGAATGGTCCCTAAGGGAGGAATACTCTGACACATCCCCAACAATGGGAGGACCACTCTGAATTAGCTTTACATGAAGGGGACGAGTAGTGAGTGAATGAAAGAAATTTCTGAAAGAAATGATTTAGAAAGAAAACCCGGAAATAACCAATGCCACAGTCATTAACTACTTCAGGAAAACAAAATGCAAGGCTGATGATGCTGACCAATATGAAACTAAACTCATGCCCATCAATTACTAAGAGATACAACCCTTGACAACAATAGCTTCCCCTCCCCGATGATCAGTGAAATCAGCCCTTCAGTACAGACAGTGCTAACATTAGAAAGAAACCTACTCTCAGAAGGAATTCATATTGAACAGACACTTCTCAGGCATGCACACACAAAACAAGTTAAGACTTAAGAACATATTCGTTTCAGGATCATATAACACAAAACCTTCACAACATCAGAACTACCTGGAAGACTGACTGACTGAGTTTGGTTTTCGCCGCTTTTAGCAATATTCCAGCAATATCACGGCGGGGGACACCAGAAATGGGCTTCACTCATTGTACCCATGTGGGGATTCGAACCCGGGTCTTCGGCGTGACGACTACCTGGAAGAACTAGGACTGTAATGATATGATTTTGCAATGAAAGAGTGACCATAATAATGCCTTCATATATCGGTGTGATTTAATGGCCCGACTTTTCAATACAAATGTGACTATAACAATGCTTTCGTATGTTGTCAGTGTGATTTAATGGCATGACTTTGCAATGACAGCATGTTCTCAATGCCATCAGATACTCCAGAGCTACAGATAACTTTTTGGGTCATTGAGTTATATACTCGCTTGTGTTCATCTCAATTGGGTATTCTAATTTTCCTTTGAGTAACCAAATAAATTGTACCCACCTCAACTCAATCAGCTATTTTGCCATTTTCCATTAAATGTAAAAATATAATAAAGTTTATATGTTGGTTTACGTGTTTGTTATTAATATTTGATCAGACATATGAGAAACGATAAGAAAGACTGCAAGTTGCCAAGTTCAGTTCAATACTCTTATCAATACTTCCCAAGTTTACCTACAAATCATATCGTGTATAACAAGTGTCCACGTGTTTGTACATTTTACTTGTGAGAAAGTATACTAATCAAAAGATGTCACAGAACATACGTAACTCATATACCATAATGACCTAGTTTTGCAGTCGATGTAGATATATAATCATCAGTTGAATGAATGAGGACAGTGATCTAAATTTTGATGAAAACTGAGCATTACATGAGAAATATCAAGACTTTACTTACGCGAATAATATCATTTCCAATATTGCATATACCAGTATACACAGGCTTTATAATCATGAACGCACTCAAATTTCTAAAAGTTGTGAACAGAATTTAAAAGTGTGTTATAGAACAGTCTTCATGAAAAAACATATAGGCATTCAAGAAGCCCTCATCCAAATTAATTGCTCAAAAGATCATTGCCATGACTACAGAAATATATGTCACGTTTTTGCCTGTGTTTCAGAAATAAATTGCATTGTAATTTGGAAGCACATTGAAGGAGAAGATATCTAGGTGTAATCATTTACAAATCGAATGAAATTTGAACATCTTGAATGGAAATTTGATATCAAATAGCATTTTTCTACAACGTCAATCATATCAATTATGGACACTTAATATTGAGACAATCTGGGATGTCCAGTATTGGGATATTTTTCCATCCTAAAGACATGGCGGTGAGTATCAGCTGCTTTGAAAGCCCAGGCACATCCACTCCGGGACCCTTAGGTTAAGATACAAAGTAACACACACCTGATACCTCAAGAACACCATCTAATTTCCAACATTACCCTTATATCGACATCATCTACTCAAATGTACACCTTAACAACTGACTTTTGTCAAGGACCCATCATCATCATCATCATCATCAGAACTCAGGATCACTGCCTTCTGAGTCCCAGCCTGAGGTTTCTGCAGCCCCAGTGTCAAAGTCAACCTCGACTTCATACTGAAAATCAGGGTCACCAGGCTTTTTGCGATTTTTCTCAAACTCGTTGTCCATTTGTAACTTTTTTCTCTTCAATGTCTCTTCATCCACTTTGTTGAGATCTTCTTCGGGATCAATACTGTCCATGTCAAGATTCCGGGCTAGACTGGCCTCCAGGCTCATTCCTTTAAGCCTGTCTTTGACAATTGTCAACATTCGCAGGAGCTGGGCTTGAGGCAGGTTTTTCACATATTTTGAGTTTCTTGGACATGACCGTAAATCAGCAGCAAATCTGTCCACATATGACAATTTGGTAAAGTTTCTGAGCGGCATCGTTCTTCGTCGTTGCTTTTTTGTCTTCCTGTCATAATATATAAGCACCAAGGCAGGCGGATCTATCTTAATACCACATTTCTTTATGTCTATCCAGTCAGACATCTTTAGTTTTCTGAAATGCAAAAGTACATGAGTGAGAGAGTGAGGGTGTGAAGTTTAATGTCACTTTTACCAAGTATTCCTGTTTCATCACAGGAGGTCTGCCTAAGGTAGGTGGAGAGTCCAAAGTTATGCAGGACTTAGACGTAAACCACTTTGATGGGTACTTTACTGACAACCTTGAAACATAATTGGGCAAAACCAGGATTCGAGTCTACAACCATCGTTTTTTCTAAGCCACCCAAGGGATGCAACTCAGCATAGTGCATCACAGAGCCTTACACATCTGGGCCACTTGTGACCTCTAAAAACATATGAGGTTTCATATATGGTGTGCACTGACTATCTGGCAGTAATATAAATTCAGGCAGGCCAGTGACTCATAGCATGTTAATAAAAGGGGGGCTTCCAGACTGCTGACGACAGCTTTAGTCGTTACTTTATTTTATACAGAACTTTGTTTCTGAAATATTTGGACATAGAATGTTTTATCATTTGGGATAAATTTTTGTTGTTGTTATAACTGAACTTTTGTATTTCCGGACTCCCTGTTACCAATAACGTGATACAGCCAGGGGACTGTAACATCTTATACAAAATCGTTATGGAGGTGAGTTTGAAAAGTGGAATACAGGAATTTTTTAACACAGAACATTTGCAAGATCATGGCGTTTCCTATTCTCGCGGTACTTACGGATATCGGCTGAAAAAATAACACAAACAATTCTTATCGTATGAATGCTTGTTGTTTTTAAATGAAGGGCCTTCTCCTCTAACATCTACATCTATCAGCTGCTAGATCCATCAGGTGAATTACCACTCGGGAGCCCGGTGATAAACAATGCCATCTGCCCTTGACGAAACGAGGTTTCTCTCATTCTCGTGGTATTACCGGGAATGAACGTTATTTAGTGTATGTAAGAGCAATCCTGCTGGAAAGGGCGGGAAAAGTAAGGATATGTCCAAGTTGGTATAAACTCCCCAATATTCGTGACACTGCAAGATTTTGATCACTCACAGACTTGGTCCACTTCCTAGTTACCAGTCGGTGATGTAAACAACCGGTATGTGTTGCGCATCAGCGATTTCAGCAGAAAACGTGTTTACCGCGAGAATAGGAAACATATGGGAGAATAGAGACGAACCTATAACAGGAATGAATTAATCTTGTTTCTAATTAAAATGTGTGCAGATAAAATAAGTCGCATGCATAATAACAAAACATAGACAACAATAGATTGACAGAAAAAAATAATCTTTAGCAAAATAAACGCACCTGTACTGATTCGCATTTTCAAAAGAACTTTTCTGTAGGCAGTGCAATGTGATGGCATGAATATGTAGGTAATGTGTCTACTTTTTCTCTATCTTGGGGTAAAAAAATGAAACTAAGCATCTTGCCACCAAAATTATTATTATTAGTGTTGAAAGTGGAGTACAGCATTGAAACTCGTCCTGTACATATTGGCCTATATACAAGTTCACTGACATTGCCGGTTAAATATTCGAAACGATGAATATCACTTTTGCAAAGTGTACACAAATAACGCCGAGAAAAACATGTCTGATAACAAACTAAGAGAAAGCATAACTTGGGATAACTGGTTCGTATAATTACCGTAGCTACAAACAGCATCAGAGAAATATGTCACCAATACACCGATGAAGAAAGTAAAACTTCACTTGTCAAATCTTGCATTCCGGAATTTCTGACCTGACCTTGACCTTTCATGATTGACCGAGATTATGTGAAAACATGGAACCGAATAAAAACGAAAATGTAATCATTGGAGTTGAAATATATTTTTCAATGCATTATTTCACTCCAAACATGCTTTAAAATACACAGGAATGTAATATGACATGTAAATTCTAATATTACAACATACTAATTGCTCTGAAGATGGGAAAACAAACATGTTTTTCATTATGAACACGCATGCGCATTGCATACCCGCCATTACAGTATGGCGGACAAAGAGCGGTGCTTGTCATCGTAACATTTTACTTTTAGGATTTCCGTCTTTAGCAGGTGTGATATAGATGCAATAGAAGACACAGCTATACTGTCGAGTAACATATACGGAATGAGATCTATTGCAGTTATATCGGAGCTATCTATCTCCGCATTTTCTGAATTTTGAGCAATATATTTTGAGACCGGTGAGAAATATTGCAAGAAACTGTAAGAAAGTTTCTTGTTGCCGCATATAAACGCAAGCTCCAAAGCCATGTTAAATGTTTTTACACATCTGTGCATGGAATATGTTTTCCGATTACCAGGCTAACATACTCTGTGGTCAGAGTGGCATATGCGCAACTGATAACGGTGCCTTTTTAGTCGAACGATGTACCCTGTACATCACAGGATGTCCATCATAATTTAGGTCAGGTCGATCAATGTCGTCGGAAAATACCCCCTAAACAAAACACACGAGCATACATTGGGAAAGGATACCTCTGATAAGTGGCATTATTCTTTAATATTCGTCATTCTTTCATAGAAATATGCAGAGAGGTTTGCTTGCATGTGTTGTTTTCGTACATAATGTAAATTTTAAGAATGAACAGGAACTTCATCAATAGTGATGCCATTGTAGCAAAATAAGATCCTTTCATATCATGATTTGTTGTCTTTCTGTTTAGCATTGTCAGTGACATTAGTCACAGCAAACCATGTTCATTCACACGAAATATTTGGCTAATTGTATATGCATGGTGATTCAAGATACCTGGAAGTTTCACAGCTATTTTCTCGGTTTCAGGTGGGAGTAAATCTAGTTACAATGTGGCCCATGTTGTTAGATCTGTCTAGGGATGAATCCAAGCGGATTCTTCGTAGACTGGAGTTGGAGGCATATTCCTCTCTAATCTCAGCCTTCCGAGCACAGGGTGATCTGAATAAAGAAAAAAAATCTATGTTACAAGAACTTCAGCATATCCTGAGGTAAGGTGCTTGTGTTTTGACAATATCAAATATCTATCATTACCACCTTTTCAGCATTAAACATGCTTAAATTATAATAGGGTATGTCCTGTATTTGAATCAGACAAATTTCACCTCATTTTCAGCATTTCAACTGAGAGGCACAGAGCTGAAGTTCGGCGGGCAGTTAACGATGAGAAACTGGCAACTATTGCAGATAAGTAAGGAATTCATTGTAACTCTTTCCCAAATGCTTATATATTTTTTTCTTATCCTGACTCATGATCTTTTGCTTATCTCCCTTTTCTTTTGGAATGGTAGTGGAACACCTTGAAGTTCCCGAAGCGGACGTAAAAATACACTCACCCACGATTTACCTCCCTTTGCCCTTTTCCCGGGCAAACAGTCATGTGACCAGCCTTATTGTCACTCTCTCCATTTTCGCCCAAGTGGATGGTTGGGCGAGCACTTGAGTCCCATACACGGCATTATATCCTTTTTATTTAGGAGATCCTTCTTTGGGTTGGCCAGGTCCAGAGCCATCAACGAAGCATTGATCAATAAATTCCAGAACGCAAGTTCAGAAGAGGATAGAATGATATATTCGGCCCTCATAACACAGAAGAAGGACCAAAACTTTTTATCGGACCATCTGGCATCTATATCTGTAGGTCTCACTTTACTACGCAGACAAGGGCTACTTGCATCCTATTCATGGAGTGACAGATTCACCCAACCGCTACTGAGAGCTCCATGGGAGGCGCCTACTATCTTTGGATGACAAATAGACGATGCAGCTAAGGAAGCTACACTCGAGTCTAGAGAAGTTATGATGCTAAAATCCATAGATACTCTGGCCAATCCGTCATACTTCGCAAAAGTATAACAGCAAGTCCAAATATTCCGGCATACAGAAGGCAAAGGAGAAGAACTCCAGCTTCAGAGGCGCAAAGTCTTCCATCTTTCTCCTCGCGCCATCCGGGATACTTAGCAAAAGTATAACAGCAAGTCCAAATATTCCGCATACAGGGCAAAGGAGAAGAAGTACTCCAGAGAGCCACATCTTTTCACGCTTAAGCCCATCCGACATTACAGAGGATCCCCAGAGATTCCAGAGGAATTAGACATTGATATCAAGGTTCGGAACGACTGTAGTCTTCCACCCCCAGCCGTTCCTGTAAAACGTCTAGTTCCTCTGGATCCTCTGGGAGTGCGGCCTCTCCCTGAGTTTCCCCTGTAATCTTGCTGCCAGACAACCTCAAGAGGTATCTACTATGGTGGACGCACAGGTCGAACGTTTGCGGAGGGTCCTATTTACAAGAGTCGGCCTTCGACTCACATCTCTACGTAGACGCTTCAATACAAGGCTGGGGTGTGCATCTCAACAATCAAGTTGCATCAGGAAGGTGGTCCAAAATAGAGCAGCATCTTCACATCAATCTGCTGGAGATGAAAGCTGTGATCAACGCCTTACAACTATGGTTGAGCTCGCTGAACAACAAAATGCTGATGGTCCACACGGACAACTCTACAGTGTCATTCTCCATAAATCGGCAAGGATCCACAAGGTCTCCAAGCCTGCTACAGCTCACATTCCAGTTGTTCCACATCACTGAGGAAGCAAACATCTGGATAAAGGCTTGTCACATACCCGGAGCGAAGAACGTACTTGCAGACGCTCTCTCCCGACCACTGCACCCGTCACCTACGGAATGGATGCTCCATCCAGAAGCTTTCCGGCTCATCATAAGGGAAATAGGATACCCTTGCATAGACCTGTTTGCCACGAGGTTCAACAAACAACTACAGACGTTTGTCTCACCGGTTCCAGATCCTCAAGGCTGGGCAACAGATGCACTGAGCATATCTTGGGAAGGACTAAAGGCTTACGTCTTTCCACCCCCGATATTACTACCGGAAGTACTGTTGAAGATCAAACAGACACAGGCGCTATAACTAGCTTTGGTCACGCCATACTGGCCAGCGAGAGTATGGTTCCTAGACCTAAAGGAGATCTCGGAAGTCCAACAATCAAGTTACCAGATTGGCCGAACCTACTCATACATCCGCACACCAAGCAAGTCCACGGGAACCCGACAGTGTTCCAGCTACACGTGTGGACTGTATTAAAACATGTTTGAAGAAAAGAGGATACTCCGCCAGGGCAGCCAAGGCAGTAACGTTAGCGTTACGCAGATCTACTCGTAACATGTATGATGACAAGTGACTGAAGTTTGAGACTTATGCAAGGCGGAAAGGCTTCACTGCAATGAAAGCTACTCATCCTCAAGTGGCGGAATACCTGTGTCATCTTAGACAGACCAGACATCTGAAAGGTTCGACGTTATCTACATACCTCATGTGATTACCATGAAAACAGACATCAAGTTGACGAAAGTACCAGAATTACTTGCTCTGCTGAGATCTTTTAAACTGGATGACCAGCAAAAGAAGTTCAGAGCTCCGGCCTGGGATCTGAATGTAATTCTACGTCATCTTACCAGTGATGCCTACGAACCTCTAGACCAGACTACACTCGAACTGCTGACACAGAAGACTCTGTTCCTGCTTGCGCTAGCCACGGCAACTCGAATATCAGAGATACATGCGGTGGACTTTGGTCGAACCAGATTCGACACGGGGCAACATGCTGCAGTTCATCTAGGACTTAGATGGGACTTCATTGCCAGGAACCAACTACCTGGTCAGCCAGATAGACAGTTCCACGTACCAGCTCTATCTACAATCCTTGGCCCAGAGGATATAAAAGACCAAACTTTTGTCCGGTCCGGTCAGAGCCTTGAAGATATATCTTCAAAAGACTGAGGCAAGGAGACGAAAATTCAAACGCCTGTTCATCCCATTATCAACAGAGACATCAGCAGAAGTCTCAAGAACGACGATATCGTTCTGGATGAGAGCCGTTATATTGAGAGCCTATAAAGCAGCAGGACTAGAACCTCCTAGAGCTTCCAACCCACACAAAGTCAGAGCACTGGCATCAACACTGGCTCTGCATGGAAAATGCTCTATATCAGCAATTATGGAAGGCTGCTTTTGGAAATCAGACACAGTGTTTGCCAACCACTACCTCCGAGACATAGCCACTGAAGACGTCTCAGGCATTCACCAATTTGGGCCTCTCGTTGTAGCACAGCAACAACGGTTCCTCAAAGGTGCTGAGTAGGAAAATCTGACCCTTTATCACGTTGACTTGTTGATAACTTTTACTAAGGAAAAAGTATTAGTTTGAAAGTCCATGCGCACAGTCTAGGACAGGCTAGTATGAGTGATTAAAGATCCTGTAAAACGGGAAAAGATCTTACCTGTATCGCGGAAATGCCGTTTCTCAGTTCCCATGGGGGGGATACAGGACGTATCTAAGGACAGCTGATGAATCCACGGAGTCAAGATAAGAAAAAATATGTAATTTATCAAGTAAAATTGATATTTTTATACTTATCCTGACTCATGACGAGAAGCCCTCCCAACCTCCCCGCTGAAGACACTTTGGATTTCACAGCAGATCCAAGTGCATGTGCAGAAAATCAGGAGAGAGTGACAAGCAAGGCTGGTCACATGACTGTTTGCGCGGGAAAAGGGCAAAAGGGAGGTAACTCATGGGTGAGTGTATTTTTCCACTACCATTCCAAAAGGAAAGGGAGATAAGCAAAAGATCATGAGTCAGGTAAGTATAAAAATATCAATTTTACTTGAAAATTTACATTTTTAAGAAACATAAGTGAAATAAACCAACAACTTCATTAGTCTCATCTATTATACTGTTCAGAACATATGGTTTTGTATGAATGCATAAACTCTTCAAATGGCATAAAGTATCAAAATGCACTGCTGCTTCTACAACATTAATACTTCATGGGTTTGTATTCACTTTATTCCACCATGGACACATAAGTCTTCTTTGCAGTGCTCTTTAACGTCCGAAGTCTGGTTCCACTCCAGCAAAATCTCAGATGAATGAGTGTTCAGGTTATTACACAATCAGCAATATTTCTCACTTGCAAGTGCAACATGAATCATGGATTTCACCTTCTCTGTTTTAATAATTAATTGTTTCTTGGGCACAGTACTCATTTTATGTCAATATTTCCATCATTAGCACTCTGTTGTGTCGTGAACGTAATCTTGATATTATTTGGTATCCGCAGCATTGCTGGATCCAACACAACCACTGAGTGGGTGATAGAAGGGCGTCGTCTCATCCCACTCATGCCAAGACTTGTCCCACAAACCGCCTTCACCGTCACAGCCAATCAGGTCGCGAATGCCCAATCAGAGAAGAATGCTTCTCTTCCATACCCATCTCAAACTGGAAGTAAAGATTGTAAGTTATTATCAAAGCACAGTTTAACATGTATGCTTGATTGATAGCTCCCAGCTTTAAATGTGGTTTTAACAACTGTAATCAACATTGTTTTATGTCTGCAATCATTGCTGCTATATCTCCACGACTCGCAGAAGTTTGAAAAGTGCTTGAATTAAACCATGTCTGGTGAAAAGTACTTGATTCTGCCATTGTAACATGAAAGCGAGGAAATTTTGAAATGTGTTTCAATGGAAATATACATGATCTATAGTCTGTTTCAGTGAAAACGTACTGATGAATTTCACTTTAAACAAAAAAGTAAATCAAATAACGTGAAATTAAGATTGCAAATCCTCATAATTTTACCTTGCCAATTGAACATTTAAATCTCAGAATTATATTCAACTTAGGATAAAAGTTGTTTAACAAACGATCATAGTTTGAAATCGCTATTACTGGTTTGTATTACAATGGGGTAAGCGCAGTAGTTGGAACAGTGAAACAAATGCACGTGCGGTACGTGAAGAGCGTTAACTTAGAACAACCCTTGTGATTTTCGGTGTTTCATTTGATGTGCATACCCCCTTGTAATACAAGCCAATAATAGTGATGTGAAACTATGATCATTTGTTAAACAACTTTTATCCTAAGTTGAATATAATTCTGAGATTTAAATGTTCAGTTGGCAAGGTAAAATTATGAGGATTCGCAATCTTAATTTCACTTTATTTGTTTTACTTTTTGGTTTTAATTGAAATTCATCAGTACATTTTCGTTGCAAACAGACTATAGATGTGACAAGATAGCTGCTGAAATTGTTATCAAATGTCAATGCATTGTTACATACCCATTGCTTACAGCATTAGAAGAAGGGTTGCCTTCTATCTATTATGGGTTATGTACACTGATTTCTTTGTGCATTGGGGGCGGTGGGGTAGCTTAGTGGTTAAAGCGTTCACTCGTCAGACGAAGACCCAGGTTCGATTCCCCACATTGGTACCATGTGTGAAGCCCTGAGCTGGTGTCCCACGCCGTGATATTGCTGGAAAATTGCTAAAAGCGGTGTAAAACCACAGTCACTCACTCTTTGCGCATTGTCTTACATAATGTAGTTTCATTATCACTTGATCATGAGCAACACTTGAGCAAGTCATGTATATTATTTCAACTGACCCATGATAGAAGCAGGGCAGATAGTGAGCCTCATTATTTTGTGTTGGTGTTAAGATTGTAGTGCTTGAACTCAGCTTATAGTACTGAAACATAACCTACTTGTGAGCTATTGCACATACAGGATGTACTTGAGGAAGATTAAAAGTGGTCCTTGAAATCAAATGTCCTTCCTTAAAGGTCACATGCAACGTAAAACACAACTTTGCAGATTCTGATACCTTTCGGTATGGACTTACCGAAACAAAGCATCAAAAATGCAAATTCAACTTATAAAGTTGAAAAAAAAACGCGAGAAATCAGAGTTCAAACGTTTCACTAATTTTCCCCAGACTTTTCTGGGGAATACGGGTTTCAACAGCTGGGCTGCGCTCATAGCACGTGCGCAGTGAAATAGGTTCGCGCAACTTGGAAGCGGGCTGTCTGGTGAATACTCAGTGAAGGCTTTGGTGTGAGCTATTTTCATTATGTTTTGTTGATATCTCACAGGCTCGGGCTTTTTATATGTTATGACAGTAAATAAACTGTTTATATAATTTCATTTGTCTATTTCACCACACGTTCTTCTTACCGAGTCACTTACTCAGTTCGATACTTAAAAGCAATGTCATTATTTAGCGTTGACACAATTTCTAACTGTGATATAGATATGTTGCTGTTACAGACAAAACTCAATGTCTTGTTTTATTGACACCTGTGTGTCTGCCTGCCTGTCTGCTAATGACAATATTCAATACACAACTGCGATCACTGACCACATGCAATTTGAACTTAACACCAATCAGGCTATACACCATAAACAAAATGCATTGATTTATGGCCCGAGTTCCGTCTCTGTCACATTATGTAATTACACAGACAGGCAGGTGTGATAGTTGAACACATGACATGTTATGATGTCTGTTGATTGCAAAATGTTATACACAAAAAATGAGCATGTATTTACAAAACCCAACATCTCTATATATACACACACAATGAGCCGTGAAGGCGGCATCTGCTAATGAACCAGCCGTTACACTTGAGTGCACACCCACCCGCTCTGACTGGGTTTGGTATCCCGGCTGCTTCGTTTCGAGGGAGGTAAACCCAAGTACAAAATATTGCACTTTTGATTTGCGATTATACGCTTATAATTTTGTTTATTTGTTTTTTCATAATCAGCAATGCATATTATATGTCATGAAGAAGTGATAATTGTGTTTTAATTATGTTTGATTTTTTGGTTGCATGTGACCTTTAAGTTCCTTATAAAATGCTTGACTTCTTGACTTTTGGTCCAAGTATCTGTATGTATCCTGATCCCTCCAAGGATTCCAAACTGTAGTGCTCTGTGTTTCAGCTAATGGCAACTTGAACAATAGTGCCACTGCATCAACTAATACCCCTGTCTCCACCAAGCTGTCTCGACCGTCGAGCCCAACATCCAATGTTGTTGTCTTGCCGAGTGGGACGTCTATCCACATCAAAGGTTGGTACAAGTCATCACCTCTCTACTGAATGAAGTTGATATTTATTAGACATTTCACATCCTTTTGATATCAGATCTGTTTTATTTGGTTCTTGCCATGTTTTCAATTCAGTTGTTAGCTGCGCTGTCCGGCCAGATATGTCACAGTGCAGTATATGCTGTTGTTGTTACTGTAGGTGTTGTCAACTCTGAAGAAGAAGATGAACTACAGACCAGGAAGAGACGGCGCAGTCAGTCGAGTGAAGGCATGAGTTCATCTGTGGCTACACAGACGCCTCGACTCACGTACACCACCACAGCGTCCAACTCTCTGCCAAGCATGTCTCCTGTGAAGATCACCATTAGCAAGAGTCCACAGGGAAGAACAATGGTGTCCACACCAGGATCACAACCGCCGAAGGTGCGTGTCTGTGAGTGAGTGAGTTGGGTTTGAGGTTGCTTTTGGCAATATTTCAGTAATATCACTACGGAGGACACCAGAATGGCCTCTGGTCTCACATGTTTAACATATATATGGAATCGAAAATTAGGGCTTTGGCATGATGTGCCAATGCTTTAACCACTAGGCTTCACCACTGCCAGCTCTTAATATGTTTTCCCACATGGGTGCAATGTGTGAAGCCCATTTCTGGTGTCCCCGGCCGTGATATTGCTTGACTATTGCTAAAAGCAGCGTAAAACCATACTCACTCACTCACTCTTAATATGTTTTATACTTGTGGAGGTAAGAACGTAACATAGGTGTGCAGTTTGCTCAGCATCGTCTTGAGTGTTAACAGTTCTGCTAACAGTAGCAGCGAGATTGTGTAGATCGATGCTCATGCTGTTGATCACAGGATTGTTTGGTCTAGATTTGAATATTTACAGACTGTCGCCATATAGCTGGAATATTGCTGAGTGTGGCATTAAACAACAATCAAACCAAACCAAACCAAGCGGTAGCGGCAAGATAAGTGATGTCATTTGATTGTCATGGCAACTGTTTGTCACAATAATCTGCAAGGCATAGTGATTCAATTTCAATGATGCGACATCTCCTAGATATTGTGATTTCAAACATGGGATGCATCTTGTAGAGGCCAGTTTTGGTTGATGAATACTGTGCAGTGTTAGTCCGACTGTTACACGAATTTCACTCAAGTTCCAATGACTTGTGTTTCAGGTGATCTTGGTGACCAGCTCCGGTCAGTCTGTGGCATCGAGTGTCCTACAGAAGTCCATGTCTGTCCCCATCATCAGAGCATCAACATCATCATCAACTGTTTCTGCATGTCGAGCCTCCATCATTGTCCCTGGTAGCCCACCCATCACCATGAGCTCTGGCTACGGCAGCAACATCGTCACCGTGTCAACTACTTCCATCACAACAGCTTCGTCTCACACATGTAGGCGGTGTTCATATTGCTGTGTATTGAAATACCGACTGTGTTGTCCTTTAGCCTGGACCCTTGAAGATCCGAGTTAGAATCAGTCAGCAGCAACCCATGCTTGCTGTAAGTGGCGACTAACGGGATTGGGTGGTCAGGCTGGCTGACTTGGTTGACACATGTCATTGTATCCCATTTACGTAGATCGATGCTCATGATGCTGATCACTGGATTGTCTGGTCCAGTCTCGATTATTTACAGACTGCCGTCGTATTCAGGAATATTGCTGGATGCAGCATTAAACAACAATCCAATCCATAGGTTCCAGATGCAGCTAAGCTGCACTCTTAAAAGTTGAAACATTTGTCCTATTATCAGTGAGACCATTCTATAATGGTGTTTATATTTGAGGAATTAATTAACACCATATATATTTCAGCTACAACTCCGACGTCTGTGATGGGCAACCCAACAGTGACTGTTCCCAATCCAGCCCTTGCCAAACCTCGACCCAAGATCATCCCACGGCCACGATTCCCCAACCCACAGCACAAACCGGGTGTGGTCATCCCCATGGGTCCCCAACCAGTCCAACCCTCACCCCAGAACTACCAAGTGAAGACAGTCACTAAGCCTACCATACAGATTAAACAAGAAGGAGGTGTGTTGAGTTGTTGAACTTACATTGTCGTTCCCTAAAGAAACAGGTGTGGCAGGGGTGGAAATTGCCCATTGCCCGTCGTCGGAGTCCAGTGGATTTTTTCTGTCGGGCAAGCAAATTTGTATATCACACTGTACAGGTGTCCAGTTGACTTTCCAATGTTAATTATGTTGTTTATTTTAAAAAATCAACAAGAAAGCGGCCGGTATAGTGGAAAAATTATCAGGGCAAGTGATTTTACATGTGCCACTGTTCCGGAGTACACTAGCAATTTTAAAGTTATTTCCATTCCCTGTATGGGCTGCTGGGAAGTATAGCCAAACAGTTTCAAGAGCTGCTGTATTCATGTAATCATATAACACAATCATTTCACTGTAGATGTTCATAAATAGGGGACGGTGGGGTAGCCTAATTGTTAAAGCGTTGGCTCGTCACGCTGAAGACCCGGGTTTGAATCCCCACATGGGTACAATGTGTGAAGCCCATTTCTGGTGTCCCCCGCCGTGATGTTGCTGGAATATTGCTAAAAGCGGCATAAAACCAAACTCACTCAGTCAGTCATAAATAGAGTTGGTTCTAAACAATCTTTGCTGGTTGTAAGATGAATGCAAATGGTTTGAGTGGAATACTCAGTGACATGGTTCGAGTCTTTGCACCCCGAGACCCGTGAAGATCTGGGTTAGAGTTGGTCTTCAGCAACCCATGCTTGTCGTAAGAGGTGATTAACAGAGTCGGGTGGTCAGGCTCGCCGTCTTGGTCGACATATGTCATCGTATCCCAATTGTATAGATCAGTGGTCATCCTGTTGATCAATGCTTTGTTTGTTCCAGACTTGATTATTTGAAGACCGATCAGGTGGTCAGGCTCACTGACTTTGTTAACAAACGTCTTTGTATCATAAATGAGTAGATAGATGCTCATGTTGTTGATCACTGGATTGTCAGGTCCAGACTCAATGATTTTCAGACCACTACCATATGGCTGGAATATTGCAGCGTTAAACAAGAAACCAACATTGCACCCTGACGATGTGGATTGTTGCTCGCTATACTAATCACTGGATTGTCTGAACCAGACTCGATTCATGGTGGACTGTCACAATATGGCTGGAATATTGCTGAGTGCAGCGTTAAACAAATACAAACCTTGCATCCTGACGATGTGGATTGTTGCTCACTATACTAATCACTGGATTGTCTGAACCAGACTCGATTCATGGTAGACTGTCACAATATAGCTGAAATATTGCTGTTGTGTGGTTAACTAAAGAGGAATGTACAGATCTGTTTACTGATAACCGACAAATGTCCAGTAGTCTCGTCAATTTCTCCTGTTGTCCGCAGGTATGAAAATCATCACCCAGAGTCTTCCCCCGGGGACCAGCAAGATCCTTCCTAAGCCGGCACAGTTGTCGGGGAGCTCCGGTACACCTGTCGTGGTTGTCAACGCTGGGCCTTCTGGAACTGCAACTACCACTGTTACCATGGTAACAAAACCAGTGACAACTCTGTCAGGTAATTATCATTTGCCTAGAAAGCAGCGAGTAAGCCTAAAATGTCACATGGGCAATATTTCCGCCATATTGGGACAGTGCAAACAAAATGAATTGGATGAACATGCCTGGAGAGGTTTGCGTTACACAGGTCATGTAATAGCCTTGTATACAATTCTTTTAGCTTGCACTGCTTTTATTGATATATTGATAAAATATGAGGTGAAACCATGTCTGCGTTTAGACATAGGTAGGTAAGGTGAAACCCTGCCTACATTTAAACATAGGTAGTTGATTAGGTGAAACCCTGCCTACATAGAGACATAGGTAGTATGTCATGTGAAACCCTGCCTATATTTTAACATAAGGAGTATGTCAGGTGAAATCTGCCTACATTGAGACATAGGCAATATGTGAGGTGAAACCCTGCCTACATTTAAACATAGGTAGTATGTCTGGTGAAACCCTGTCTTCATTTAAATTTAGGTGCTTGATTAGGTGAAACCCTGCCTACATTGAGACATAGGTAGTATGGCATGTGAAATCCTGCCAACATTGAGACATAGGTAGTATGTCATGTGAAATCCTGCCTACATTGAGACATAGGTAGTAGATCAGGTGAAACCCTGCCTACATTGAGACATAGGTAGTATGTCTGGTGAAACCCTGTCTTCATTTAAATTTAGGTGCTTGATTAGGTGAAACCCTGCCTACATTGAGACATAGGTAGTATGGCATGTGAAATCCTGCCAACATTGAGACATAGGTAGTATGTCATGTGAAATCCTGCCTACATTGAGACATAGGTAGTAGATCAGGTGAAACCCTGCCTACATTGAGACGTAGGTAGATGAGGTGAAACCCTGCTTACATTGAGGCATAGGTAGATGAGGTGAAACCCTGCTTACATTGAGACACAGGTAGTAGAGGAGATGAAACCCTGCCTACATTGAGATATAGGTAGTAGATGAGATGAAACCCAGCCTACATTGAGACATAGGTAGATGAGATGAAACCCTGCCTACATTGAGACATAGGTAGATGAGGTGAAACCCTGCCTACTTTGAGTCATAGGTAGTAGAGGAGATGAAACCTGCCTACATTGAGACACAGGTAGATGAGGTGAAACCCTGCCTACATTGAGACATAGGTAGTAGAGGAGATGAAACCCTGCCTACATTGAGACACAGGTAGATGAGGTGAAACCCTGCCTACATTGAGACATAGGTAGTAGAGGAGATGAAACCCTGCCTACATTGAGACACAGGTAGATGAGGTGAAACCCTGCCTACATTGAGACATAGGTAGTAGAGGAGATGAAACCCTGCCTACATTGAAACATAGGTAGTAGATGAGGTGAAACCCTGCCTACATTGGGACATAGGTAGTCGATGAGGTGAAACCCTGCCTACATTGGGACATAGGTAGTCGATGAGGTGAAACCCTGCCTACATTGAGACATAGGTAGTAGAGGAGATGAAACCCTGCCTACATTGGGACATAGGTAGTAGATGAGGTGAAACCCTGCCTACATTGGGACATAGGTAGTCGATGAGGTGAAACCCTGCCTACATTGATGCACAGACAGTACATCAGGTGAAATAATGTTGAGATGAAGCTGTATGCCATGTTTTGTCTGCAGCTAGTCACACGGGAGGCAAGGTGCTGAACATCACTACTCCAGGTGGGCGTGTCATCGCTACCACAACAAAAGCATCGAACGTTGTCACAGTCAACCCTAAAACTCTACATCTCACAGCTGTCAAAACTGCCACTGGCACAACAGGTATTTAAAAAATGTTTGAAGTTCCAAGGTCTTCAAGATATTCATTCTCGTTATATTTATAACACCAAGAAGGGGTGGGTGTGACTGGGATAAAAATTCTGCTGGTTTGTATGTATGTTAGAAAAAAATAGAATTGAACTTCTGTAACCCATGTTTGTTGTAAGAGGCGGCCAATGAGATTGGGTAGTCAGGCTCGCTGACTAGGTTGACACATGTCATCGTATCCCAGTTATGAAGATCAGTGCTCATGATGTTGATCACTGGATTGTCTGGCCCAGACTCGATTATTCACAGACTGCCGTCATATAGCTGGAATATTGCTGAGTCCGGCGTTAAACAACCAACCATAGATACCATAGTTTTGATTGTGTTTTGAATGTGATTTATAGTACAGTTGAGAATTGATCAAACTGTCACAGATAAGAGATTGTTAATAAAGAAAAATGAAAATAATTAGCTCTGTTTGACAACAGGTTCTGTAATTGCTTATGGTAAATGGAGATATGAGTACTGTGTTCTTGAATTATGAGGTCAGACCATGGATTGTATTACATGATCAGGTGAATGTTATTTCACTTTCAAAGTAGACGGATATGTGATGTTCTGTGGTTGTTTTCAAGATTTCATGAAGAATGCCAAGTAAATTTCATTTAGAATTTAAAGCAGAAATCCGAGGCCGGGAATGAACTCTGTTAGAGTGACAGCATGTGCCACAGTGTTGTTGTTTGTGTTTTTCAGTCTCCAAGCCCAACGTCATAGTAGTCCAGAAGACCCAGCCTCGGAGATCCCAGACCCCCACGCCACAGGGAGGTGCAGGCCGCCCCCAAGCTACAGTCATCTCTAGTCCAGCAATGTTTGAAAAGGTGACTACTTTGTTTGATTGGCATTCTAGAAGTTGGTGAGTCAATAATGAAGCATACAAGTGGCTGTCTTTGAAATATGCCTCTGTTCCATATAGCAGTGAATGGGTACCCGGTAGTATGTGTGATGTGATGTCTTTGTTAACTTTCCAGTGTCGATTGTGAAAAGATACACTGCACAGGGTGGCTAAAATGAAAATCTATTGCATATTGATCAATATGAAAAGGGGGCGGTGGGGTAGCCTAGTGGTTAAAGCGTTGGCTCGTCATGCCGAAGACCCGGGTTCGATTCCCCACATGGGCACAATGTGTTAAGCCCATTTCTGGTGTCCCCCGCCGTGATATTGCTGGAATATTGCTAAAAGCGGCGTAAAACTAAACTCAGTCAGTCAGTCAGTCAATATGAAAAGTGTCGCATCAGTGTTTAATTCATATGTAACATAAGTTATTTTAACCCCCAGGAACTTGTGAACTTCATACAGAAACAGGAATTGGGGAAGCAGGTGTCTGTGTCAGTGACGTCAGCATCAGCGTTACACAGCATCGGTCCCGTCCTCGGTCGACTGCCGGAGAGGAAGGTCATCATCACCACGGCAACAACAGGAGAGGGAGGCAGGCAGGTAAGTGGTGCCGGATGAGAGTTCATTTCTTAGCATGATAAAAAGTGTTTGTAGTTCATTTCATATAGTTCATTTCATGTAGCCTACATGGGTACAATGTGTGAAGCCCATTTCTGGTGTCCCCTGCCGTGATGTTGCTGGAATATTGCTAAAAGCGGCGTAAAACCAAAACTCAGTCAGTCAGTCAGACATAGCGAAGCTACCCAATGCAGACACTGCCTATACAATACATCTACCAAACTGCCACCTGTCTACATAGCAAACCTACCCAATGCAGAACCTGTCTATACAATACACATAACAAACTGTCACCTGTCTACATACGTCAGTCATTTCATGTAGTTCATTTCTTTTCTGCATGGAGCTAGTTGAGTAGCCTAATGGTTAAAGCAGCGTAAAACCTCACTCACTCACACTCACTCACTCACTCTGGTGTCTCCTGTTGTAATGGTGCTGGAATATTGCTAAAAGCAGCTCACTCACTCACTCACTCACTCATACATGGATGATTGCAACTGTAAAATACTGAAGATTTGTCACAGTGACTATTAACGATGACGTTTTCATCTGACAGGCCGCTCCAATACTACACAGATCTAAGTCAGACCAGGAGGGGAGAACTTCGTCGCTGTTGGCGGAGCTCATCCAGGCTGCTGGGATTGTTCCTGATGGCGGAGGTGGGGAGGGGGGTACGTCTTCCTTACTTCTACATCCTTAGGAAATCAGTGATTTATCTGGCATTCAAGACTAACTGAATGTGTAATTGACCATAAACTGTGTAAATTTAGTGAGATGTAAGGTTTAGCCTCAGTATTCAGAGCGTACAGCAAAAATAGTGATGGGTGTGTTCGGGTAGTCTGGTGGTTATCACCACAGACTCAGGTTCGATTCCCCACATGCGTACAATGTGTGAAGCCCATTTCTTCTGTTCCCTGCCTTGTCATTGCTGGAATATTGCTGGAATATTGCTAAAAGTGAATAAGTGTAGATTTACAGAAGTGTGAGCCCAGGATGGCTAATATGAAAGAGAAATCTGAGTTTCAAGATAAATAGATATAGAGGGACTCACTCACTCACTCACTTGTACTGTGATGTGTTTTCCTAAACCAGAAGTGAAGATATTGAATTGGAAGTGATCATTACTCAGTTATTAATATCTGGCTAGAATTGGTCTTCAGCAACCCATGTTTGTCATAAGGAATGACTAACAGGATTGGGTGGTCAGGCTCGCTGACTTGGTTGAAACATGTCACAATTGTGTAGGGGGCGGTGGGGTAGTCTAGTGGTTAAAGCGTTCGCTTGTCACGCCCCTCATGCGTACAATGTGTGAAGCCCATTTCTTCTGTTATTGCTGGGATATTGCTAAAAGTGGATAAGATCAGAGGTGGCTTTGCACCCTGTGGTCTCCAACTCTCTTCATGTTATCTCCCTTATCTGCCTGGTTTCATAAAGTTGAATAGAGCTGTAACGATGCATTGAACTATCAATTGATTGCAATTGTTGAGTCTCTGATAGCAATTAATCGATGTTAGGAAAAAAAATACTATCGATGCATCGATAGTATGTGTGACTTATCGATAGTTTAGTAATTGACTTTCTTTGATGAATGCGCTGTGCAAAATACAGGAAGTTCCCGATTCATTCACTTTGATTTAGAGTTATCTGCCCCTTTTGCCTCTTAAACAGAGGTCAGTTACTAAAAGAGACTGAATTTACTTCAACTTGTTTTATTTCATATAAACTATACATTCATTTGGGAAATGACTTCAAATGAGACAATTTGAGGAGAAAAAAATGCTATCGCAGTTGTCGTTAACCCTCAATAGTCACCCCTAAGGTTGAACCCCTTCATCACTTTGGGTATTCCGCCCCTCTTTAAACTGGCAACTCCAGATATGTCTGCTGATATGGAGTGAGACAATACTTTATTCAACTGTGATGTAATTGGATACCGGTGGTATATTGTTCCCAGTGGCAACCCAGGCAGCTGTGGGTGGGAACGAGTGGTTCGAGTACGATATTGCGGATGACCAGGTGCAGACCGAAACGACGCCAGACTCCCAGGCCATTAGTGCTCTGATGCAGATGCAGGGAAACACTGAGGGAAAACACAAGGATGACGAGGAAAGGTACAGGGTCCGGGACAGAAGTGTGTTTTTGTGCCCTGTTGTATGTGTTCTTTTGAATTATAGTGTGCCAACTTTCTGTTTCAACTTCTTTGAGTGGCATTTTAGAAGTTGGGAAGTACAATATAGAACAAACTTTATGGATAACAACTTCTTTTATTTGTGAGTGCGACGTTTCGATACAGATTCTTGTACCGTTGTTAAGCCGCTTCGATACAGATTCTTGTACCGTTGTCAAGCCGCTTGACAACGGTACAAGAATCTGTATCGAAACGTCGCACTCACGAATAAAAAGAAGTTGTTATCCATAAAGTTTGTTCTATATTTCTGTTTCAAATTGTACTGTGAGGGGCGGTGGGGTAGCTCAGTGGTTAAAGCGTTCGCTCGTCACGCCGAAGACCCGGGTTCGATTCCCCACATGGATACAATGTGTGAAGCCCATTTCTGGTGTCCCCCGCCGTGATATTGCTGGAATATTGCTAAAAGCGGCGTAAAACCATACTCACTCACTCACTTGTACTGTGATTTTTTTTCCTAAACCAGAAGGGAAGATATTGAATTGGAAGTGATCATTACTCAGTTATTAATATCTGGCCAGAATTAGTCTTCAGCAATCCATGTTTGTCATAAGGAATGACTAACAGGATTGGGTGGTCAGGCTCGCTGACTTGGTTGAAACATGTCACAATTGTGCAGATCGATGTTCATTGTTTTGTTGGGTTTTTTTGTTGTTTTTTTGTTTGTTTGTTTTTTATTTGTTCCCATGGTTACAAAGTCAATAACAAAGGTATATGGTAGCACCAAGCACAGAAAAGGTGAAGATACATTGCTGTAGAGATGTAATAATAATTAGTTGTTGAATATTGGGATGAGCGAATTCCATTTAAGATTGAATTTTTTCGATTTCATTGTTTCTCTTTGAAATAAATTTTTCTACAGAAAATATCTCTTTTAATACCTTTTTATAATTACTGAATTTTGGAATTGATTTTTTTATATTACGATGTTCATTATGTTAATCATTGATTGTCTGGCCCAGATTCAACTATTTACAGACTGCTGCCATATTGCTGGAATATGGCAAAGTGCAGTGTTAAACAACAAACAAACAAAACTGTGTTATTAAGGTAGCTAGAGCTTGGGACTTTCTGTTTCAAGGTTGTACTGTAGACTTGGTGCAGAATATTGTCATGTGGGTATAACATCTCATATGGTGAAGTTTTTTTTCCAGAGCGGCAGCATCAAACTTAGAACAAATCACAGAACAGATGTCAGGGACACAGTACTACACCATAGGTATGCTTGGACTTCATCAACGACTTTCATATCCCAATGTCTGGATAAATGAGTGTCTGGATATCTGAATCCCTGTTAACTGACTAGAGTTATCTCCCCTACTCAAGTTAGCTGATGCATAAACTGCTTAGGGCTGACTTTAGGTTTAGTATTCTAATAATAAGTGATTTCCTTCTCATCTACTCACCTCATTATAGGCCCATTATTTATATTATTATTATTACATTGCTGAGAGTGGCATTAGATAAAAACATTAATCTTCATGATGCACAGTGTTCCTAAACAGTGGCAAAATATCCATGTATGATGTTACAGAGCAAGCAATGTCGTTACTAAACCAAGTTGACAAAGACGGCAATACAACAACTACAACAACGACGACGACATCAGAGGATGGCAACACAACGTATGTGTCCGTGCCTGTGTCGCCCCCCTCCGAGGTGTCTCGCCAGCCTACAGGACAACCTCAGGTAGTGGTACAATGGACAGATATTGGGGATGTCTTAAACTTTAGGAATTTAGTTTTTTATCCTACATTGAAATTTTGAATTGGTCCATTAGTGAGCTCTTGAGTGAGGGGTTAACACAGAAACACTTCTATATTGCCATGGAGACTTGTGCTGCATTTTATCAGTCATTCCTCCCTTTATGTCAGTCACTGGATCGTCTGGTCCAGATTTGATAACTTACAGGCCACCATCTTACAGCTGGACTATTTGTAAGTGCCGCATTAAACAACAAACAAGTGACACACTTTTATTTTCCAGATTCACATAGTGAAGCCTTCCAGTGGGTCTTCGACCGCCAAAATAACCAAAATTACAAGTGATCAAATCCCCCCGATGATAGTTCGACATACTCTCTCTTCCTCCTCCGGGACAAGTGGCAATACTGAGGTGCTCCAGGGTGAACTGGACCCCGAGACGGGTCTGTTCTACAAGGACAGGAACAAGGTTGTGACTGTTGTGACCCAACCCTCGAAACCTGTGACTGTGGAGAGTGTTGGGAGTGTGCCAGAGAGTGTTGGGAGTGTGCCACAAGACACGGAAGTGTCACAAAACTATGACTTACTGAGCAGTACTCTATCTCAAGCTCACATTGACTTAGGTGATATACAGTTCATTAATGATGGTGCTGTCACTGTACAACCGGTTGGCAAGGTCATAGAGGGAGACAACTCTGAACTGGCTGCTGGAGAGTCTGTAGTGCATATAGAAGGAGCAGGTATGTTGTACTTTAAATATTGTCTTACAAATATTTAAAGGATAATTGAAAACCTTGTAGGGAATTCAATAAGATTAAGTCACAGTAAATCATACCACCTGAGACAACTAGCGGGATCGGGTAGTCAGACTTGCTGACTTGTTTGACACATGTCATAGTATATCAATGCTCTGTTACATGTCACATAAACTCGTGACAGTTTGTGTCACACGAAGACACACTCATGCACACCCACATCTAGATAGCAGTAAATGACATATAAATATCATGTGTGATAATTTCGCCTCTGTCAAGATGTCAATGTATTTAACAAACACATGTACAACAAACTAATGGTCATAATGAATCGCTTTTTATCCCCCTGGCATGTACTGCGGGGGGATATAGTCGGCACCTCGTCTGTCCGTAATCATTTTGTTTCCAGAGCATTACTCTACAAAAATTGATAGATATATTAAACAAAACCTAAAGTGGTGCCTTTTGCTATTTACAAATTCTTGTCTTTTTTATTTTTGTTGGTTTCCATGGAAACGCTTTGGACTTAGTCTCAAAAGGAAGGGGTGGGTTTCGTTTCCGGAGCATAACACAAAAACCGTTCAGTATTTTTCAACAAGATATATATCAAACAGAACCAAAGGTGGTGCCTATTGCTATTTACAGCTTTTTGTCATTTATATTTTCCTCGGTTTCCATGGAAACGCTTTGGACTTAGTCTCAAAAGGGAGAGGTGGCTTTCGTTTCCGGAGCACAACCAGAAAACTGTTCGTTGGTAGATAAATCAAACAGAACCTTAAGTGGTGCCTTTTGCTGTTGACAAATTTTTGTCATTTTTATTTTTCAACATGATTTCCATGGAAACGTGCTGGACTTGGTCTCAATAGGGAGGGGTGGGTTTCGTTTCCAGAGCACAACTTGAAAGTCATTCAATATCTTCCAACAGAAGTTAGCAGATATGTGAGACATATCCCATATTGATGCCTTTTGCTCTATGCAGATTTTTGGCATTTTAAATTTTTCTTAGTTTCAATGGAACGTTTTGGGACTTAGTCTTAAGAGGGAGGGGTGGGCTTCATTTGTGGAGCACAACTTACAAGACTTGGCAGACATATCAAACAGATCTTGAAGTGGTGCCTTTTGCTTTATACAGATTTTTGGCATTTATATTTTTCATGATTTCCATGGAAATATTTGAACTTGTCCCAAAAAGAATGCTTATAAGGAACTACAGTTATAATGAACTGGAATGAGTGGTCTGTTAGAGTTTTTTGCCTCTGTCATTTAATGTACAAGTCAGCAAATTCAACAGGCAACAGTGAGTCATAACTCACAATGTTATGATATATTGTAATATTTTTCAGCGTGTACCTAAGCATCTGACCACCTCCGTGGTGTAGTGGTTAGAGCGTCCGCCCGGAGAGCAGAAGGTCGCGGGTTCGATCCCCGGACCACGTCATACCAAAAGACGTTAAAATATGGTACTTGTTGGTCACTGCCTGGCGCTCGGCATTAATGGGTACAACAAGGACTGGTCGGCTCGGAGTCCGTATACTGTGTCTGAGTGTGGTATTCATGCTTCACTGCGGTATGGTATCTCAGTGGGCTAGCACTATAAAACCAGCTTCAGTCTGGGCTAGTACAAGTAGCCGCACATACACATACACATACACACGCATGCACGTCGTCATATGAGTGAAATATTCTCAAGCACGATGTTAAACCCAATTTCACCTCACCTCACCTCACCTCACCTCACCTCACCTAAGCATCTCTACTGGTGAAGATCCGGGTTAGAATTGATCTTCAGCAACCCATGCTTGTCGTAAGAGGCAATTACCAGTATCGGCTGATCAGGCTCGCTGACTTGGTTTGACACATGTTATCATATCCCAGTTGAGTAGATCGATGGTCATGCTGGATTGTCTGGTCCAGACCGATTATTTACAGATCGCCACATAGCTGGAATATTGCTGATTTCAGCATTAGACAATAAACAAAACCAATAAATGTGCCTTGTCCCAAATAAAACATACCAGTCTTTGTAATAGATATGTAATTCTGCTACACTCACTCACTCACACATATTATATTCATTTGGTCTTGTGAAACAAGCAGTGATTCTGTGTTATTGTGTGTTCAGGAGGAGAAGAAGGCACAACGATACTCACAATCCCTGCATCCACTGCCGGGAGATGACATCTCACAGGTGACGGTCCCAAACACTCTGTCTTCAAGCTCAGCCAAGGTCAAGGTTGGATCATCATCTATACCATTACAAGATGTTGGGAAGGCCACATCAACTATGAACATTGTCACACAGCATGCACAGGTATGGTATTATTAAATTGATGTGATGTAGAATGAATCTAGTAATGAGAAATACTGGGTTAAAGGTTTGTAACTGTTGTACTTCTGTTAGTTTCTGAAAAATATGCACATAGGTGAAATTCGCTGTTCAATATCATCAAATTTTGATTAAATTTTGCACATTTTGGACAGAATTTGACTATCTAATGTTGTCTCTATAAGTTTTCATTCATGTCAATCAATAACTTGAACACCTGTCAATGACTGTAGCAGATTTTGTTTCATTATTTTCATAAATAACACTTTTAGACACATTTTTGTGTGACATGCAGAACTTCCCTGTCTGTGATGAGGCAGTCACGCGAATGAATGACCCCCTCCCAGGTAGTCACTGGTACGCGTTTTAGGGGGACCGTCTCGCGTACACGTTACACCCTCTACTGGTTAGGCCATGGCAGTGTTCACTTCTCAAAGGGGTACACAAAGTATACTGGACAAAAATAGTTAAGGATATATGTAAGTTTTGAAATTTTGAATACTGATCTATTTATTCATTGACACCCTGATAAAATATCAATCATCAAAATACCAATGTCCCTAACTTATTTTGTCCTGTATATGTGATCAAGACTACCATTTGTCCGACTTCCATTTTTGTTGAAGCAACTGCAGCTGAGGGGATTGGATCGCTGGCTTCATGTGGTGGCGAAAAGGTGCCTCATTCTGAGAGTGTGGTTTAGAATATGGATGAGCCCTACCATCTGTGCCAGTGGGATTAGGATGATTTTTTAAGACTGATGTTTCACAGGATCGTTGAACTAAATTCACTGTTTCAGTCATCAACTGGGTTGAGTCTCCTTGACAAGGTCGGAGCTGAGGAGGTTATTGCCAGCAGTTCAAATGTCAGCGTCGCAGTGGAGCCGTCGCCAAGCACACTGGATGAGCTGACGTCACAGCGTCTGGAGGAGAAGGAACTGGCGTCATCATCCCAGGGGTCGGAGGAGAGGGTGGAGCTTCTGTTTGACAGCGTGGGAGTCATCGAAGAAGAGATACCCACGTTAGCCAGCCCCCCGACAGGTAGGACAGTTGTCAGCTTCACTTCTCTGGTCAAGTATCACAATATAGCTGTATCCTTAAGTTGTTTCAGCACGGGTTCCTGTTCACAAGTTGAATGTATGATTCCTCTTCATTTTGCAGTTTGCTCTTCAAGCATCACAGTCATGCCAGCATCTATTGTTATATGCTCTGTTACTCTACCAAAAGAATTTTGCTGGACTTGGGCTAGTGGCTAGTGTCATAGACTGGGACTACTAAGTATCCTTCTTGTTACAGGGAGCGGGTCTGACAGCCAGGGGGAGTACGCTGTGTACCCAGATACAGGAACTGCCAGCTCCGACCCTAACAGTCTGTTCCGGAGCAAGAGGAAGCGGAAACCCCCTGCCGCAGCTGATGAGAGCACCCCTTCGTCCCCTAGCAACAGCTGGATCAGGATGGCTCTTGGGTAGGTGGACTGTATAGAGAGGTTGGCTCTTTTGCAGGTGGACTGTATAGAGAGGTTGGCTCTTTTGCAGGTGGACTGTATAGAGAGGTTGGCTCTTTTGCAGGTGGACTGTATAGAGAGGTTGGCTCTTTTGCAGGTGGACTGTATAGACTGGATGGGTGTTTAGTAGGTGGACTGTATAGAGAGGTGTATTGTATAGACAGGATCTGCATTGGGTAGATGTACTTTGTAGACAGGTGACAGTTTTGTAGGTGTATTGTATAGACATTGTCTGCATTGGGTAGGTTTGCTATGTAGACAGGTGGCAGTTTTGTAGGTGTATTGTATAGACAGTGTCTGCATTGGGTAGGTTTGCTATGTAGACAGGTGACTGGTTGGTGTATTGAATAGACAGGGTCTGCATTGGGTAAGTTTGCTATGTAGACAGGTGACAGTTTGGTAGGTGTATTGAATAGACAGGGTCTGCATTGGGTAGGTTTGCTATGTAGACAGGTGACAGTTTGGTAGGTGTATTGTATAGACAGTGTCTGCATTGGGTAAGTTTGCTATGTAGACAGGTGACAGTTTGGTAGGTGTATTGAATAGACATTGTCTGCATTGGGTAGGTTTGCTATGTAGACAGGTGGCAGTTTGGTATGTGTACTGTATAGACAGGTCTGCATTGGGTAGGTTTGGTATGTAGACAGGTGACAGTTTGGTAGGTGTATTGTATAGACAGTGTCTGCATTGGGTAAGTTTGCTATGTAGACAGGTGACAGTTTGGTAGGTGTATTGAATAGACATTGTCTGCATCGGGTAGGTTTGCTATGTAGACAGGTGGCAGTTTGGTATGTGTACTGTATAGACAGGTCTGCATTGGGTAGGTTTGGTATGTAGACAGGTGACAGTTTGGTAGGTGTATTGTATAGACAGTGTCTGCATTGGGTAAGTTTGCTATGTAGACAGGTGACAGTTTGGTAGGTGTATTGAATAGACATTGTCTGCATTGGGTAGGTTTGCTATGTAGACAGGTGGCAGTTTGGTATGTGTACTGTATAGACAGGTCTGCATTGGGTAGGTTTGGTATGTAGACAGGTGACAGTTTGGTAGGTGTATTGTATAGACAGGGTCTGCATTGGGTAGGTTTGCTATGTAGACAAGTAGTGGTTTGGTAGGTGTATTGTATAGACAGATGGTTCTTGGTAAAATGTTCAGTATGCCCAGGCAGGTCTTTGGGTAGGGATACTGTGTACGGACAGGTGATTGTTCTAAAGGTGTATTGTATTGACAGCATAACTCACATTGTCAATCTGTTTGCCTGGAATAGACCTGATAATTTACATATCCATCCTGATATGATTGGAATGAAGCTTTGACTCTATTTTAAAAGACAAAAAATCATCTGACAAAAATGGCATGCTTGGAAACAACAGTGTTGGTTGTTTACAGACTGCTGCAAAGAGTGTCTCGTTATCGTGGTGTCAACAGAGAGAAGGGAGAACTGAATGCGTCAGCGTGGTTTACACAGCCAGGTAGGTGGTGACATGTGTTGATACAAGCTCTGTGACTTGACTGATTGTATCATTCCCCACAACCTGTAGTGTGGAATGTTGGTCATGTTGTAAGACACCGGTATGTCTAGTCATATGTCATATACTGAACCAAACTATTCGAACAATTGTTTTTTGGTAATTCTCTGCGACTTCCCAGCGATTAATAGCATAATGTGCACAGTTCCTTGTTGACATCATGTTTCAGACCTACAATCTCCAATCTTTGATCCCTGAAATGTAAATCTTGTGATTCAGGGTTGTGATTCTTTTGCTGAAAGACAGCAAACATTATGAACTAAAAATATAAGAGTTTACAGCATCAGGACATTTTCAGTTTTAACTGGATTCATAATATTGCAAAAACTTGTATCCTAAAACACAGAAATTTAGATAGGAGATATGTATGGTCGCGTGAGTTGGGGATGCAGACGTTTCAGTTAATAAGATTCGTTCACCTGTAGCATGATACATATGTTCCCCTAACAATGTTATTCTTCTTTGAAATACAAAGTTCAGACTATCAATAATCCTTTTGAATGCTCACCTCTTTTGCATCATAACTGTTCATTCCTTTTTCGGTCGTCTCTTCATTGCCAAGTTACGAGGCTAGAAAGATCCCTCTAATGTCTGTCCTTCTTTACAGTCGACCCTGCAGATGCTCCTGATTATTATTCTATTGTAAAGAAACCGATGGATTTTGGAACGATACGAAAAAAGCTTGAGGTGAGTACACTTATCTGTTAAGTCCCTGAAGGTGACCTGAACAGAATTGGCCCCCAATTACACAGCTTGTATTCTGGCCCAGTGAAGTCAGGGTACAATAGGTCTCCAAGTCCCCTGGCTTGTATTCTGTCCCTGTGAAGTCAGGGTACAATAGGTCTCCAAGTCCCCTGGCTTGTATTCTGGCCCTGTGAAGTCAGGGTACAATAGGTCTCCAATTCCCCCTGGCTTGTATTAAGTTGTATTCTGGCCCTGTGAAGTCAGGGTACAATAGGACCCCAAGTCCCCTGGCTTGTATTCTGGCCCTGTGAAGTCAGGGTACAATAGGTCCCCAATTCCTCCTGACTTGTATTCTGGCCCTGTGAAGTCAGGGTACAATAGGTCCCCAAGTCCCCCAGGCTTGTATTCTGGCTCTGTGAAGTCAGGGTACAATAGTTCCCCAATTCCCCTGGCTTGTATTCTGGCCCTGTGAAGTCAGGGTACAATAGGTCCCCAAGTCCCCTGGCTTGTATTCTGGCCCTGTGAAGTCAGGGTACAATAGGTCCCCAATTCCCCTGGCTTGTATTCTGGCCCTGTGAAGTCAGGGTACAATAGGTCTCCAATTCCCCCTGGCTTGTATTCTGGCCCTGTGAAGTCAGGGTACAATAGTTCCCCAATTCCCCTGGCTTGTATTCTGGCCCTGTGAAGTCAGGGTACAATAGGTCCCCAATTCCTCCTGACTTGTATTCTGGCCCTGTGAAGTCAGGGTACAATAGGTTCCCAAGTCCCCTGGCTTGTATTCTGGCCCAGTGAAGTCAGGGTACAATAGTTCCCCAATTCCCCTGGCTTGTATTCTGGCCCTGTGAAGTCAGGGTACAACCGGTCCCCAAGTCCCCTGGCTTGTATTCTGGCCCAGTGAAGTCAGGGTACAATAGTTCCCCAATTCCCCCTAGCTTGTATTTCCCTGTGAAAATAGCAGAACTGGTCCCCATTCCTTGTTTCCCCCCTTGGTGAGGGAGGTGGCGTAGCCCAGTGGTTAAAGTGTTCGCTAGTCACGCTGAAGACCTGGGTTCAGTTCCCCCATATGGGTTCAATATGTGAAGCCCATTCTGATGTTCCCTGCCATGATATTGTTGGAATATTGCTAAAAGTGGTGTAAAACCCAAATCAGTCACTCAATCACTCCCCCCTCAGCTATTCATTCACTCACTCACTTGGTGTGTCTTGTGAATTTACCCAACAGGTTAATGGGAACACAGGTAAATGAATATGGCATTTATTTATGTATGCATTCCCACTTTTTGTTAGTCTGTCCCATGTTCATTCCCTCAGTCATTCACTATTCACACTGTCCCATCCTCCCTCACACATCTATTTGACAATACATATTCATTCACTCTTTCTCTGCCTCTTTACACAACCCCATCCCAGACTCAGACGCTCCCTCACTTATTCCATCTCTCGCTGATTGATTAATTCTCTCATTCCTTCCATACCTCCTTTGCTACTCTCACTTTCTTGGTCATTTCATATTGTCTCCCTAACACATTTCACTCTCCTTCCAACACTCACTCACTCGCTCAATCACGCCCTAGATTACTCACTCAACAGACTACGACACTCACTCATGCCAACAGTCAGGCCAACCCTCACTCACTCTATCACTCATTTTCACTATCATTCATTTTCACCATCTCTCACTCTCATCATGGTGCAACACTCACCCTATCCACCCCATGACTCACCCTCTTTACCCCATAACTCACCCTCTCCACTCCATCACTCACTCTCACTCCCCCCATGTTTTGCTGCTGACAGTCTGGAGGGTACAAGGACCATGAGGAGTTCCACCAGGACATGACCCTGGTCAAGGAGAACTGTGCCGTGTACAACCCCCCCACTAGTCGTGTGTTCCGGGACTGCACCGAGGTCTTCACCTTCTACACACAGGAGAGTGAGAAACTGGCTGACAAGTGGCATAAAGTAAGTCCTTCATCACAATAGCAAGAGAGTTTATTGTTAAACAACAGACTTCATAGACCTATTTCAGAATTTATTGCTTGATTGCAAAATATTTTGTTTAATAATCATTTTTCATTATTTGCTATTTTTTTCTGAATTTTTACAATATTTTGTATAATAAGAGTCTTTATTATTTAACATACAATTTTGTTTGATAAAATAGCATATTTTTCATCACATGTACATTGTGTCAAATGCATATATATTTTAAAATTAATTTCTTGTTTAATGAGAGAATTTTTGGTTCCAGGGACAGGTTAGCTCTCCGCCATTGAAGAAGATTAGAATAGACAAAAGCCCTGGGAAGTCATAACAGAAACTACACGTTAATTGTTAAGTTTGGTTGTTATCTATTTACTCTGTTACCATGGTTACTTTTTTATTTCGATTGTTGAACTGGGAGCCCTTGTTGAAGCTCCAGGACACTGGAAGGAAGATTGTGTTGAGCATGTTTTATGGAGTTCAGGGCTCAAAAGTACTTACAGAAGAGTGCCAATGGCAGTTAGGATTGTAATGCCCTGGCTAAAATGAGGCCACAGTGCCTGAATGGACAGCTAGAAATCATAATGTTTTACCCAGAGTACCCAGTGGCAATGTTTGTCATATGAAGCTACTGTGGATTTACTTGCCTGCAAGTAAACTGGACGACCTGGGCCTAGATTTCCCGAAGCTCTCTTAGTGCTAAGATAGTCGTAACTTAATGTTAATGTATGGCACTTACGACTATCTTAGTGCTAAGAGAGCTTTGAAAATGTAGGCCCTGGCTATGAATCGAAAAAGTGCAAGGAGATTCAGAAATTTAGTAGAATAATATCAGTTTCAGTGAAGAGGTAGGGAATTTCTAAATTTGGTCTGTATGTATCTGGGGTGGGGGGTAACCTGGCATTCGCTCGTCACACTGAAGATTTGAAGCCCATTTCTAGTGTCCCCAGCCGTGATATTGCTGGATTATTGCTAAAAGCGGCGTAAAACTAAATTCTCTCACTCACTGTAGGTAGCTCATGTTCATCCTCAGTTTCTCCAGGGCTAGCCTTTCCTGGATTATTTTCCCATGGTTCTCAAATCATCTGCCCTTGATTTTCATCAGCCTTTTTGATTTGCTAGGTTACTCATTCTGATGGACCAATGGGATTGCGGGTTACAAATCAGCCTCAATATTTGGGTGGCAATATCAACAACATGATTATTTTGAAATTACCAATTGTAAAACTATACCATTTGAAAGCCCTCTACAATAATTTTGATGGCAAGAATGTCTTCAAATCAGGGGTTGGTAATTTCAGATAGGGAAACCAAGGTAATAAATAGATCAATGGCTAAGTGTATGTTCACTGAAATGAGAGCCCAGGAGATATTGAGTGGATGGCTAATATGAAAAAGACATCTGAGTTTAAAGATAAATACGAAAGTATTCCACAGGAGAACTCGGAATCTCCATTCCTGTTCCTGGAATTGATTCTGGTAGATGGCGTCGATACAACTTGGGTCGAGTCCAGCTTTGTCAGTGGGTTGCTGAATCTTGAATCACTAATCAGGTATAAATTATTTTGCTGTTTTGAGTTAAAATGAAAATGATGAGGTTTCAACATTTCAATTACTTTTGTTTTTAAATGCGAACCTGCCAGAAAGCACCAAACCAATGACGTGTTCAAAATCAAAGTTGAGTGTAGCCAAAACACTCGAGTGTAGAGAAAACAGAAACAGATGAGGCAATTCTCAAGAATTCTTATTCTGTTAGCACATTTCTGAATTGGGGGCGGTGGGGTAGTCTAGTGGTTAAAGTGTTCGCTTGTCACACCGAAGATCCAGGTTCGATTCCCCACATGGGTACAATGTGTGAAGCCCATTTCTGGTGTCCCCCCACCATGATATTGCTGGAATATTGCTGGAATATTGCTAAAAGCAGCATAAAACCATACTCACTCAAACTCACATATCTGATTTCTTTAGTTGAAGACAAAGCCTACAGATTTCTACATGAATTCACTGCCTGAAAATCGGTCATGTTGTCCTAAGTGTTCTGAAATGAGGTACTTGAGAACATGCATGCAGATGCCACTTTTTAGTGGCATACTTGATACATGTTGCCAGCAGGCAGCTCTTTTTTTCAGGCAAACACGAGGAAGACAAAGTCGGTATGAATCTATTGTGCTACAATGTATGTCGTGTCACAGTCAGTGTTAGAAAAGTGTTGTATTTCAAGTTTTCTATAGTCCAGGGCTGGAAATAACTTTAAAATTGCTAGTGTACTCCGGTACAGTGGCACAAGTAAAATCACTTGCCCCGATCATTTTTCCACTATACTGGCCGATTTTCTTGATGATTTTTTAAAATAAACAACATAATTAACACTGGAAAGTCAACTGGACACCGGTACAGTGTGATATACAAATTTGCTTGCCCGACAGAAAAAAACAGTGGACTCGGACGTCGGGCAATGGGTTATTTCCACCCCTGTAGTCTCTGAAAGAAGGGTTGGTGGGTAGCCTAGTGGTGACATCATTCGTGCGTGTCAAAGACCTGAGGCATGTTCAGAACCGCGAGTGCCTGCGAATGCTAGCGAACGCTCGATCCTGAACGCCTGTGCCCGTTCGAGCGCCCGCGCATGCACGCGAACCATCCTTACAGTTGCCTCGCCAAGCGAGCCAAGATTGCGACCATGTTTAATGTCATTCGTCTCCACTCGCCTCTTTCCGTAACCTCCAACAAGAAGACATAGAGGATATTTTGTTAATGTTATCAAATAACATGTATATCTCATCGAGTGGTCTGACAAAGTTGATATGTTCACGAGTGGCGCTAACATTAACAAAATATTCTATTTATTATATTTTGATCATTGTTCATAAATGATCGAGACATCGATTTCGTAGTTCGCATTTCGTAGTTCCAGGCAAAAGTGATATTCTACTCAGTGAAAATACCATTTTTATTTTCACCAATATTTACAGTATTTCACCCTTAAGAGTACAATAAAAGAAGCTATTCGGTTTGTCCCGGAATAACACGAGTTTGTCATGAATGGTTTAATGTGACCAAGCGCTCGCGTCCGTTAAGGGCCGATGCGAGCGCTCACGGGAGGCAATAGCTCGGGCGCTTGTGGTTCTGAACACGCCTCCGGGTTCAATTTTCAACATGGGCACATGTTTCTAGTGTCAATCGCTGTGATATTGCTTGCATATTGCTAAAAGCAGCATAAAACCTTACTCACTCACTTACTCTAAAAAGAGTATTACACTTTGAATGTTTATGTCTGTCACGTTGCTGTCTTAATTCTTTTTCATAGAGATCGTCCTTGGGGTACATATATGCACTTTCTGCGGCTGAAAATGTCCTGTGACAGTTGTATCAATGTTTTAATAAAAATATTGTACAATCAATAAAAATCTTTTGTATCTATTATACGTCCCCCACCACGTGAAGTTACCTCCCTGCTATGAACGCTTGAATGACAGCAGAAGGAATGATGATACGAGCCTAGGTGCTTACCTGGTTGGCTGCGCATGCGTAGCAGGGAGGTAACTACACGTGGTGGGGGCCGTATAATAGATAAAAACGATTTTTATTTATTGTACAATTTTTTTTATTAAAACATTGATACAACTGTCACATGACATTTTCAGCCGCATTAAATGCATATATGTACCCCAAGGACAATTCTCTTCAAAGAATTGGAAACCTCTACAGGTTTAGCTAAATTTATGCATTTCTGATGTCCCCTGCCATGATATTGCTGGAATATTGCTAAAAGCGGCGTAAAACCATACTCACTCACTCACTTGAATTTATGGGGGTTGGTCGAGTAGCTTTGTGGTTAAAGCGTTTGCTCGTCATGCAAAAACCCAGGTTCAGTTCCCCACATGGGTACAATATGTGAAGCTCATTTCTGGTGACACCCCACTGTGATATTGCTGGAGTATAGCTTAAAGCGGCATAAAACTAAACTCTCTGACTCACTTAAATGGCCACACCCCCTTTAGTGATACCCTTTTGACTGACTGACAAGAATAGAATTCAGTCAAAACAGATCAGTTGGTCCAGAGGCTCCATCAGCAAGGTGAAGTAATTAACTGTTTTGTGTTCATTTCCATGGAAACCGTTTCTGTGTGTACAATATAGCCTAATGTTAGGATCCATTGACAAAATCAGAATGGCACAGAGTCACACCTGAAATGTTTTTCAGCAGCTTTCATGCAGCAAAAACTGTAATACGTTACTTTTAAATTATTAGTGAAGTAAGTTCTGTTAATGGATTCCCCAGATCGGTACAATGTGTGAAGCCCATTTCTGGTGTCTCCTGTCGTGATATTGCTGGAATATTGCTATAAACGGAGTAAAACTAAACTCACTCACTCTTTTAATGGACAATTGTGTGTCGATGTGTAAGGGGTGTTGAAGGATGTTTTTCTTGATATAATTCCATGGAACTGTTTATATCCTTCTACTATTGCTTTCAAACCAGGGATATTGCAGCTGCTCACGCTTATAAAAATAGAAGTAACTTGCATTTCTGTAGTGCCTTGATCGAGAGAACTGTTTCAGAATTTCATGCAGTGTTTTGGAAATTGTTTTCAGTTGTTCGGTTAATGTTTGTGGTTGTTTAGTCAGTTTTCAAATGCACACATTCTTTTGCATGGACTTTGTATGACCATGAATACCACAATATATATTTGATAGGTCCTGGGAGAAATATTAAGTTGCGATGTCATAATACATTTTCCCATTACAGAATCTCACTATGAGATTGTAGTATACTGAGGGGAAAAAATAAGGGATCACATGAAAGCACAAGTGTTCCTTTATTTTTTTCCAGGTTTCTTCACAAGCTTGGTATCGGATAGCTCATGAAGAAACCTGGAAAAAAATAAAGGAACACTTGTGCTTTCATGTGATCCCTTATTTTTTCCCCTCAGTATATCACTGGAGGGAGGATACTGGTGTTTCTATTAGTGTATTGTTATCGTTAAGACAGTTGATTTACCGAATACTTGATAGTAGTACTGTGTATGAGGGCCTTGTCCCACAAGGGGTAAAGTAACTCCTAATTACAGCGGGTAGTGTTACAGTAAGTTGAGTCACAGTTGTCTCATCACTGTGTGAAATGGGGCTGAATCAGCTGTTCTTGGTTTGTGTTTGGACAGCTCCTGAGGCTGATACCCCCTATGCTGTATAGTTGGCAAGGGTTTTGTGAATCTCATTCATGGTCTGTGTCTTATAGTGTTGGGAATTGGTTAAAATCTCATAATTGATGATTGGTTCATTACAACCGATCAATCATCGAAAATAATTGGTTAGCGTCATTTATGAAATTTGTTAATGCACAAAAAAATAAGGAAAAAAACATGTAGTTCTTTGGGGGCTTTTTGGCAGAATTTCACTTCTTTAAAGGATGACTATGTTAGGAACATAAATTTCTTAGAGCCTTTAAGATAAATTCAATCATGACTTGAAATGAGCTTGTAGTGCTTACAAAATGTAACAGACAAAACCAACCATGTGACAAATATTGTTAATGAAAACAAGTGTTCCAAAATTGGTTGTGTTCGATTATGAGAAATTATGATCGATTGCTTGGTCGTTTAGTCACTACGACCAATCTTCGATTATTTCAATTAATCTGACCACCACTAGTGTCTTATGACTGGAT